AATAAAATGTAACTAATCGCTGTCTGTACATGAAAGATAGATATGAGAAAGATTATTATTGGGACCTTTATCAACGCAAATAGCACCCAAAACAATGATTGTTAGAATTTTTGTCTGTTTAGCTGTTTGTATGTGCGTTTGTGCACGCTAATCTGAGAAACGGCTTATCCGATTTAGATGTGGTTTTCAAAATGTTATGCCAATTTAAATAATCACGTTGAACATTTGTTAACCTATCTATATCTAACTATTCTCTCTCTGTTCAGTAGCATTGATTGAAACATTCACGCAAAAACTACTGAATGGATTTTAATGAAAGTTTACAATATATAGCTCATACATCAGAATAATTCATAGGCTACTAGATACTATTTGTTCTTGTTCTTCTCTGTTATTAATCTCTGTTATTAATGTTCTAACTCTATATTGCACTTTTGTGCATTTCGATAGTTGTCATATTTATCAAAACATGATACTAAGAGATCACAGGTTCGATTTCTACACGGCAAGGTCGCTTACTATTGACTTTGGACAATACTAGAAACAATTTGCTCTGCTCTGATTAGGCTAGAAAGTGATACCAATTGCACATAATTTTTATACAAGCAAAAACGACCCACGGAATGAAGTAGACATTGGTAAAGCGCATAGAAAATTTTATAATAGTACATTTTAAGATGCATCTGTTATAAAGCTTTTTGATTACGTTTCATTTTGCTTATTATTATTTAGATCAAAGATATGCAATGAGGGAAATGAAGTTAGTGTTATCAGCAATGCTGCGTAAATATCGATTTTTGCCCGTTACCTAAGCCTCAAGATATTCGTTGTGTCGTCGACATAGTTCTGAAACCAAAAGATCCCATTTATATTAAAATTGAAGAACGATATAGAATATAAGAAACTGCTAAGATTAAACGAGCGCGTTTAATGCATATATTATTGTATACGTTATTCCTATTTTATGTATTAAGGCTAGAAAATTTCGGATAAGAAGAAACAACTCATACGCCACATAAGATGATCGTAATTTACTTTAAAAAATCTTTAAAGCTTGCGCACAGTATTTCATTGATGATAATTGGATAAAAAATATATAAACATATTGCAAATTTTGAACTTTGAACTTTCATTTCTTGCATATATTAAGTACATTTTGGATTATAATAACAAAAGATAAGGTTATAATTAAATTTAAAATTAGTTTATTTTTTTCTTCTTCTCAATCTTCCTTAAGCTAACTTTTCTTCACAAGTTTTTTAGTTTTTGTTATAGCCATATTTGCAACTGTAAATAATATTAAACACTGACTTGAAGGAACAGAATGCAGAATCCTGAATGCGTAAACGGGTGTAGATTCATAAAGGAATAATTTTAGCAAAAAAAAAGTTGTAAATAATTACGCTTGGATTAAGTAGTAAGAGTATATGTACTTCCAGTGTGGCTGAAGAAAAATATTGCAAGGCGACTAGTCGCTTACATTTTTTCATTTAATGACCTATTAATTTTGTTTAATCTGTTTTTATGGTGAGCGATATTGTTCTGACGAATTATTTTTACTCATTACTATAATTATCTGCTCATTACCATTTTTACAATTAGAGAATTTATATCTGCTCATTACCTATTTTACAATTAGAGAATTGAAGACGGTAAATTTGGGTAATGAAATAAATGATAATGATATTTCTTGACTTTTGTGATTTGCTTATTTATAAAATTGCATTAAAAAATCGATAACGATAAAAATCGATAACGATTATGTCAGTCTTAGTAAATTCGTCCATTTCCCAGTCAAAAGAAACTACCTTTGACTAGACCCATTTGTGTGATATTAAATGTGGAGATATTGCAACATATTTACACAAACCTAAAACTGTGTTTTTAAAAAGGTACGAGTATTAGCTGCCTCAGAAGAAGAAAATTGTTCAGAATTTTTTTGCGACCAAAATTGTTGACTCCGTCATTAATTATATTAGGAATCTTGTTATTTCATTTGTTATGTCAGATTATCTCGAGAAATATACAATGAACGGACCTTTGTGGTCGTCATTGTAGGATGGGGGACCTTCGGACATGGAGGCATCAACGAACTAAAAACATCTTTCATAATTTTTTTAGTTCGTTGGGAGGCATGTACATTGTACATAAACACTTGGATTGATGGGGTGAGGAGTGGCAGTGTCGGGATTGTGGATCGTTTTTTCAATCATATATTTTATAATATGTTTAATCATATATAAAAAGTAATCATTTATTTTATTCAAACTGTATAGTAGTGATACATTATGTTAAAACCATCACTATACATTTTGTTTGTCAATCTGCTTGTTACGTTTTATCGGCACTATTATGTCTAGGAAAGGATTTTTGTTAACACGAGTTTGTCGAACCCCCATAATCAATAGACCCCAAAAATTATGGTAATAATAATTATGCAAAGTAATATTCATATTACTTTACGCTTGCTGGTTGAGCTAATCTATATTATTATATTGTTTACCATCGACTCACCTTCGCTCCACTCGGGATCGTCCCTAGTTACGTTTTAACGTTTACTACTGATTTCTAAGATATGAGATATTTTCCCGCAGTAAAAAGTTTCCTATATGTTGACCTAGATGACCAGCTATCATCATGCCAAATTTCATCGAAATTTGTCGTGTGGTTTTCTCGTGATGCGGTCACAGACAGACAGAAAGACAGACTGACAAAAATTCTAAAAAACTATAGATTCAGCCTCTGTATCATAAATAATTACTATTTCAATAAGTTTCCAAATAATATATTTTAATGTACAGATTCAACTCAGACTTTTATTATATGTATAATTTTCCTTATTACTTAATTACTAATCAATAAAATATACTACTCTAAACAAAATAGCGACCACTTCGATACAAGATAAAAAATTGTTTATTTATTTCCTTATTTATAACTACTGGTAAGGTAGGTATTACATTGTAGTTTAAAATGGAACTCCATGAAGCAGATTAGTTTATGAGTCTTTATTTAATGTTTAAAGTGACAGATTTAATGTTTTTTTTTTAATGGGCAGACAAAGACAGCGGAAGTACTTGAATGTACACTATACGTTAATATAATCACTTATTTTTTTATGCTTGTTAGAAACGTTTGCAAAGAAACTTTTTACGCACAGCTATTTTGTTTAGCTTCAGTTGTAGTTCTGATTAATATACCTAGATCTTACTGTCATATGAACATGGAAACAGCGACTAGAGCGGTCGTTTTGCTTCAAGAGGAAGAATTTCAGACATGTGTAACGATATGTCTTTGTGTGTAACGAATAGCTACTCGAAATTTTTTTAACGCTACTTAGAAAAAGGTAGCATAGCTAGAAGATGGGGATCGGGAAGGATGCGTGCCGTAACATCACAAGAAGCCCGGTACATAAGGTTAACTGCGCGTCGAGATCGTACTGTGACCGCACGAACTTCACAAAATTAACTACGCCTACGGTAATCTAGCGATACAAGTGTTAGTAATTAAACCATTCGAAACTGACTCCATGAGGATGGACAATGTTTTAGAATTCGTGTTAAGTGGTTGAAACTAGCTTGACTATGGACAACTGTAGGACTGTGCTCTTTTCAGATGAAACTAAAGAAACTAAGGTCCAGTTTTTTAGTGACCACAAAATTGAGTACATATATAGAGAAGAGAAGGAAAACGTTTTGCAGAACCATGCATCCAAGAAACAGACCACTTGGGGGTCCAAGTATAATGGTTTGGGGTGGCATAAGCTTGTCTGGGAAAACAGAGCTGGTAATGCTGAATGAATGGACCGTGACTGCTGCTATTTATGTTGAGAGGATGATCAGACTTCTTGTAATCCCATTTTTACAAAACGTTGACCATAATTTTGTTTTAATGCAAGATAACGCTTGCGGCCCATACGTCTCGTTTTACAAGTAGAGCTCTTTCTGACGCCAATATTTCAATTTTACAATGACCAGCCATGAGTCCTGACCTCAATCCCTTTGAACATTTATGAGATCAGTTGAAAAGAAAAATTAAATACAATTACAGCCACGTGAATAGCCAACAAGAGCTCATAAACGCTTTAAAAGCCTGCTTGGAAGGAATACCAGATGAAAACATAAGACATTTAATTGAAAGTGCATTAGACAGGCTCAAATAATGCATACGATACCGAGGAGTTCCTACACGCTATTAAAACGTGACATGTATCTAAAACAACTTTTAAAAACAACTTCGTGTATAAAATATAATTAAAAGTTACGTTAGAAAATCTAAGTGGTCCCTATTTTGTTTGGAGTAGTATATAATATTTTTGATACTGTTATTTACCGTCTATCTACAGAATATGATTAAAGTCTGGTTTTAATGCTTTAGTAGATAGTTATAAAGCAAAAATATTAAATATATTTATTGAGATAAGAGCTACGAGTAGGTACCTATATTAAGTTGTTGAAAAGTAGTCTTTATATATTGTCTAGATATAAACGTATTCGGTACTCTATCGTAGTGCATCGTTAAAGTCGTGGAATCTTTAAATAAACTTAGTTTATAAATCTTTGTCAATAAATTAGATCATGAACAAAGTTTTGATGTTTTCAAAATAGTTTTATTAAATTATAGAAAATAAAATATTAGTGTTAGTATTAACGAATTATTATTTCGTACTAAGATAAGATGTTAGGGCTCTTTGTGTTATTTGTGGGAATACTTTCTTTGCTTTATTTTTCTTATAATCGTCTGTTTATCGATGATGAATTTAATAAAATTCCTGGACCCAAAGGAATATGGTTTTTTGGAAATGCTTTTGATATTTTATTGGAGTCCGGTAAGAATTATTTATGTTATTATAATTTTACTATCACTATTATGCACTTTCAATAATGATATATAAGATAGCAAAGAAATACTGGTTCATGTGTTTTTCAGTGGCGTTATTTAATTATTTTCGTGAATTGCCTAAAACATATAAGGATTTATATAAATTTAAACTTGGTACAATGAAAAGCGTACAAATACTCAATCCAGAGGACGTAGAGGTAAGTTCCTTAGATAAGAGTCCGTCTAAAACTATAGCTATATACCAAAAATAAGACTAATAAATAAACTCGATAGTCGAGTGCTTGCTAGCTAGTGCTGCTAGAGTTAGTCAATATAAATGAAAAATGACGGAACCCAGTTATACCTAATAAATGGATTTGAATGATTTTTTTCTGGTTTTTAATACTTTAAAGTACGGAGTACCCCAAGACAGTGGTAGCGCTGAATACAATACCATAAACTATAAAGTTTACCCATTAAAAATTACCGCTGTTTTGAAAATACGTAAATTTAAAAAAAAAGTTTCTGGAAATTTCCATAAAACATACAATTATCGGACTTTTTAAATATTTATTTTGAGAAAATAATAACTATTATAGTTTTTGAGGTTGTTTATACTAGGTTTCTTATATATTTTTTTTATAATTAACAAGGTTGTATCAAGTCCCCCTTAGAAATTAATATGGCTAACGCTGGCTAAAAGAGATAGGTATATCAAAACAATGTGCTAAAAAATTGTAGGACTTAAAAAGGAACTATTTTGTGTTGTAGTGATAACTTATTACTCGGGTAAACATTTAGGAAAATCTTTCATTCCCACGGGAAATCCCAATAACTAGTTCTATGAAATCGTTCTTAGAAAACATATCTAACGCTGGCTAATCTTTAAGAGATACATCAAAACAATGTGTTAGAAAATTGTAGATCTCAATAAGGCCTACAGAAAAATCTACAAAAGCTTAAGTCTTTCTCCTAAGGTACACTCGCAATAACTACTCATATCTATAACGAACCTACTACCTAAGAACGCACCCGGGCGAAGCGAGGGTAAGTCACTATATTTTTATAAAGAAACGGAGTTATTCTCAAAATAAAAAATAAATATAGCTGTAAAAGGAATGCACTACACTAGAAGTAGAATCACTTTCATCAAGAAATGCACAGGGAGGTGGCCCACTTCGGTGGGCGGTGGGAGGCGGCCCTCTTCGGAGGGTGGTGTACCATGCGGGTTGCTCCTGGTACTTCTCTGATAGCAGAGTGGACCTTGGAGCAATCCCATGGTCGTTGTGGTCTGCCTCGGCAGACCTGCCGTCGGGGCGTCGTAGTTGAATGCGTAAGCGATCCTGCGACGCCCTATTTAGTGGGTAGTACTGGCTTTGCCGGTGAGTCCCACACCTCGTGCGTAAATGCATTACGTTAAAAACGTATGCGTAAATGCCCAACGTTAAAAAAAAAGAATCACTTTCATGGGATAACTCTTAAAAAAAATAAACATTAGCGGAAGGTTTCAAAAGGTAAACTTGTTAGTTTTTAGTATAAGAAATTCAAAAAATCTAAAATTTCTCATTATTATAGCTGGATTCCAAGGTATAAACCTAATTGCACTCGACTACAAGAATTTTCAGAACTTCTCATTACATCAAGTCTCAAAGTTAATTTTTATTATGCAATAAATTCTTGCACATAGCTAATAACAAGGACAAGAATATCATTTAACCGGTTTTTAATTTTATTCGACAAGGACTTCCTGTCCGTCAAACTTTATATTAACAACTAAGGTCGTTCATGACATAAATAATATAATTGAGAGATTGCTGCCGATAAAATTTTGTGTAAATTACTATATATTTTTACAGACTGTGCTGACCAATACAAAGCATAATAAAAAAGGCTATATCTACTTCTGTCTCCGCCCTTGGTTAAATGATGGTCTCCTGCTAAGTAGCGGTAAAATAATTATGTTTTTTAAATATTTATTATTACATTAAATAAATAAATAAATAGTATGTATTTGCTAACATATTACATAATATTAATTTATGTACTTACTTCTTTTAACACCAAAATCGCAGGTGAAAAGTGGTATGAACGAAGGAAAATTCTCACCCCTGCATTTCATTTCAATATTCTTCGCCACTTCAGTACCATTCTCTCTGAAAATACTGAAAAATTTGTTGAAAGCCTCGAATCAGAAGTAGACAAACAAAAAACAGATATTTATCCTTTTATAGCAAATATGACTTTGAATTCAATATGTGGTAAGTTAAAATTCCAAATGCATCATATTACGAGTATTTCATATATACAATACAATACTACTGTGTATGATTACAGAAACAGCAATGGGAACCCAACTGGATGAAGAGACGTCAGGCATAGGCAAACGTTATAAAGACGCAATACATACACTGGGAACATATTTTCTTTACAGAGGACAGCGACTTTGGTTCCATTTAGATTTTCTTTTTAATTTAAGCTCAGTTGGTCGCAAACAAAAGGATTTATTAAATTTATTAGGAACATTTCGGGACCACGTAATTAAACAACGTCGAGATAACGGGAATTACAAGAATTTATATGCAGAAGTAATGAACGATCCTGAAGAAGATTTCTATAGCAATAAGAAGAAGCGGTTGGCAATGTTAGATTTATTATTAGACATTGAGGAGCAGGGAAAAATAGATACAGCGGGAATTAACGAGGAAGTCGATACATTTATGTTTGAGGTATGCTATATTTATTCCTAACGTCAATCATGCAAAGATTTCACTTCATGCTTTGTAATTCTTTTAGTCCTTTCATATTACTCTCCTTAACAACCAACCATTCGGTGTCTTAATTTATGTGGGTTGATAGTTCTCTCAAATAAGAATGAACTGTCGTGACAGCAACGCCTTAGTTGAAGTGGACAACAACTTCATCAAAGAAATTATCCCTCTAAAGTCTAACGAGCCGAGGGCAGTCGGGTGGGTGGCTTTTCCGCTCGAGTGCAAGTCTACCGCACTAGTTGGCAGAGCACCGTAGTTGAGTGCTTATGTATTCTTACGGTATTCCATTAATACGGGACAAATTAATACGGCTGCAGAGATTTAGTGGGTTATACAGGCTTTTCTAGCCGGTTATTTAATTATATTTTGCGGCACATACAGTTTATTGAATTGTAAAAAGTAACCATATATATATATATATATATATATATATATATATATATATATATATATATATATTGTTCGAGATAGGGAACAAACTTTAAATAAAAAAATATGTAGGTTTAATGGTATAATTACAATTAGTACTTTAGGCAAATAATTAGCTTAGGACACGACGCGCGTTCGATGCCGTGACAGGTGGTAATGTGTTGGCATCATTAGCGTAGGTTAAGAACGTGGCGAGTGTATGTCGTGATATTCCGATCTTGTGATTGGCTTGTTATCGCGTCATGCCGCGCGTGGTACCAATAGCGTTGACTGCGGGTAGCCAATAGCGTGAGGGCTGCGGCTGCGTTGCGTTCCTCGGTGCCGATGTGGCGCCGACATCTTCCCGGCCCTTGAAAGCTCTAGTGTAGCTTTCAAGCATCATGGCTTTCGTCAGGTGATAGGAGAACCAGGCGATTGAGCGCTCGCCTTATAGTTCCATTGGCTGTGGCTATATCGGCAACTCTAGGCGTTTGGTCGGACCCGACGTAGAGCCTGCTTACTCTTCCTAGGCGCCAGCATAGGGGTGGTGTATTGGCTTCCTTTATTAAGACTAGATCGTCTTGCTTGAGATCTCGGGACTTCACTCGCCACTTGGTACGCTGCTGTAGCTCTCAAACATATTCCGATGACCACCGGCTCCAGAAGTGCTGCTTGATTTGTTCAAGGCGCTGAAACCGGTCGAGCCGATGCGTCCCGTAGTTCAGATAGCTCGGCGAGGGTAGCGCCGTCATTTGCCTACCAATCAAAAAGTGAGCAGGGGTAAGAGTCTGGAAATCAGTAGGTGATGGGCTCATAGGACAAAGGGGTCGGCTATTACGGATAGCTTCTATCTGTGCAAATACAGAGGTCAGTTCCTCAAATGTCAAGTGAGACTGTCCTAGGATTCTATGCAGATGGAACTTAGCCGACTTGATACCGGCCTCCGCTAGACCGTTGAAATGAGGAGCGTAAACGGGAGAAAAACGAAATTCTATGCCCCTCCGGGCAGCAAAGTCACATATAGAGTCACTATTTGTTTGCAAAAAACTACCAATTTCTTTTGCGGCAGCTACAAAATTGCGACCATTATCACAGTAAATGATTCTAGGCATTCCTCTACGAGCAATAAATCGTTTTAAAGTTAACACGAAAGCATCTTTGGTTAGTTCACTCACTAGTTCTAAATGTAGGCACTTATATCTAAAGCATACGAAGATGCACAGATAACATTTAGTTATCTTGCATCCCCGTCCTTTTCGATCTGTTATTAGGAATGGACCGGCAAAGTCAGTGCCAACAGTACTGAATGGAAAGTCAGGCTCTACCCTATCAGCAGGTAAGTTACCCATTATATTAGACATCGTGTCGCCTTGGAAGCGACGACAAACTAAGCAATTTCTTGTCACTTCTCGAGCGAGCCTGCGACCTCCTATAGGCCAATAGCGCTCTCGAATAGAGGAGAGTAGAAGCTGGGGTCCGGCATGCAATAGGCGGATGTGCTCATAATGAAAAATAAGCTTAGTGAGATAATGATTTGACTTTAGAACAATGGGATGTCTTTTATCATAGGGATAGGCAGAAGTGTCAATTCTTCCTCCAACACGAAGTAAGCCATTCTTATCTAGGAAGGGATTTAATGAGCAGAGATGAGTGCTCGTCTTGAGGGTTTTCTTAGCCTGTAGAGAGTTTATTTCTTTTGAGAAGGATTCATTTTGAGCTATTTTAGTGAGAACAGTCATGGATTTTTCTAGTTCATGAACTTGTAGAGTTCCCGTCAGCTTATTATTACTGTTTTTACAATTGTGTATGAATCTAAAGACTCTAGCATAGACTCTTTGAAGAGTAGTAAGTTTAGAATATTTTTGAAAGTTTAGGGGTACCGCAGGTACATCCTCCACCACCAAAGCGTGCATCGCTTTTAATTCAGGTAAGTTGACTTCATTGCCAGCTGATAAGATTGGCCAGGATGACTCAGGTTGCATGAGGAACATAGGGCCATGCCACCATATAGTTGAATCATTGACCTCTTGGGGATCTACACCTCGTGAGGCGAGGTCAGCAGGATTTTCAGAAGTGGGAACATAGCGCCAAGCCTTTGGGTCGGTGAGTTCGCCTATGGCAGCGACTCTGTTTGCTACGAATGTTTTGGTTTTGTCGGGAGATCTAAGCCAACCTAGAACCACACAAGAGTCAGTCCAAAAGACGCAGCGCTTAAGTTCGATTCTCAACGCTTTAATGACAGCAGAGCTTAATTCAGCTCCAAGGAAAGCACCACAGAGCTCTAGACGAGGGATGGTGCAAGCTTTGATGGGAGCTACACGAGCCTTGGCACATAATAAGTTGACATGCACGTTGCCATTCCCGTCTATAGAGCGTAGGTAGATACAGCTTCCATAGGCTACCTGTGAAGCGTCACAAAAACAATGAAGCTCTACATTGTTTGAATTGGCTAGGGCCCGTCTGGGGACCTTTAGAGACGATAGAGCGTTAAGCTGCTGGCTGAACTTTTGCCAAGAGACTTGGATAGAGTAGGGAACTGGTTCGTCCCAATCTATTTTTTCTTTCCACAGTTTTTGGAGAAGGATTTTTGCTCTAATAGTGCACAGGGACAATAGACCTAGAGGGTCAAATATCTTGAATGCTGAAGACAAGATAGCCCTTTTGGTGAAGATAGTACTTGGCGAATGTTCGAGAGGAAAGTGAATACTGTCAGATTGAGGGGACCAGCCAATACCAAGGGTACTTGTGGCATTGCTGATGATTAGATTTTCATTATTGTTAGGATCAGCCTCTAGGACATTAGGTAAGTTTGAACGGTATTTTCTAAGTGGAAAGCAGCCTTTAGCCAGCTCCCTGGAAACCGCGCGTTGAATGCGACGTAGCTCTTCGGCAGTACTTGCCCCTGTCAATAAGTCATCACAATAGATATCATTTTGAATAATAGTTTTGATGGTAGAGTCGTCACATTCCTCGCCGATTTGCCATATGCACCTGGTGCTGAGGAAGCTAGAGCTCGCAAATCCGTAGGTTATAGTATTGAGCCTTAGAGTGCGCAATTTTTCATCTTCATTGTCGCGCCACAAGAAGAGTTGCAGATTGCGATCAGACTCTCTAACTCTACATTGTCGATACATCTTCTCTACATCTCCAGAAATGACATATCGATGCTGACGAAATCGAACTAAGATGTTAAACAAAGAGTCTTGGACAGTGGGGCCCACCATCTGTAAGTCGTTGACCGATAGGCCAGAAGTAGTAGGTTCAGAGGCGTTAAACACAACTCTAAGTTTAGTGGTTTCACTTTTGTCTCGAATCACTGGGTGATGAGGGAGAAAATAGGAATTTGGGGGTTTGGTCTCTGTTGACTCGGAAAGGTGGCCAAGGTCGGCGTACTCATGAATGAAGTCACAGTACATGTTTTTCAACTCAGGATTTTTTCTAAAACGAGCTTCAAGATTATAGAACCTTTTTTTTGCTATGAAGTAGGATTCGCCCAGACAGTCTGGTTCATCCCGTAGAGGGATACCTACACAAAAACGACCATCACTTTCTCGGCGAGTATCAGAGATGAAAAGCTTCTCACAAAGCCTTTGTTCCTCAGATAGAGGTTGGGATTTAGGGACATTTTCAAGTTCCCAGAATTTAGATAGATCCTCCTGAATGTCCTCGAGCTTATCCTTCCTTTGAAGAAAGTTGCAGGTTAGGAACCTTTTAGGTGGAGGTTGCATTTGAATAGGCGCAGGACCTGCAATGAGCCATCCGAGCTTAGAGCTATGAAGATTAGGGTTATTCAACCCTAGAGACCGCTGTTCGGAACCTATCAGGTCCCAGAACAGGTCAGAGCCTATAAGCATGTCAATAGGGGATGGTTCGTTGAAGCTGGGGTCTGCAAGCTCCAAGTTATTTAACTTTAGAGAACTAATATTGAAATGATGCTTGGGTAGGTCATCAGATATAGTTTTCAATACTAGACAAAACATAGAGACTTCGAACGACGAGGTATTAGATTGAAGTTTTAAAGAGCAGCGCTCTGGACTCAGATTTAGAGTATTATTTCCTATAGCGACAATGTTGACATTTGATGGCTGAGGAGTTAGATTGAGTCTTTGCTTTACACTCTCAGTGATAAAAGACGATTGGCTCCCACTGTCAAGTAAAGCGCGTGCGCATATAGTTTCATTGGTATTAGGATTAGTTAGTCGCACCTTGGCGATGCACAAAAGAATATCTGACGAAGACAAGGCAGACATAACTACTGACGAAGGAAAGTTGCAAGTTGAGGCAACTCTACTCTCTACTGTTGGTATATGTAGTAAAGTATTGTGTTTTTATTTACATGAACGACAAGTCCCAGGCAAACGGCAAGCCTTATTATTGTGACCTGACCTTAGACAGTTAGAACACAGATTAAGTGATTCGGCAATAGAGTTCCTATCTTCGGGCGTTTTGGACTTGAATGAGGTGCATTCATATATGCGGTGTTTACCGGAACAAACGACACACTCAAAATTGGATCGAGAAGAATTGGAAGCCTCTTTAGGCGTAGCTACAACAAATGCTCTAGTCTGATTCTTGTGTGGAATTGAGTGGTGGGTTACCTGTTTAGTTACTGTCTGTTTGTCTGTTTTATTTCGATTCACAGTTTCTAAAACATCAGCACGGTTCTTTAGAAATGAGAAAAAATCATTTAGTGTGGGGATGTCTGTTAAATTATTTCTATGTTCTTCCCATTTAAGAACAGTACCGCTGTCTAACTTTGCCACCAGGTTATAAATTATAAGGACGTCCCACTTATCAGTGGGTAGCCCCAGCGTTTTGAGCGCTCGTAGATTTTTTGTTACGTGATCGATAATGAATCGAAGAGATCTGTCAGTTTCCCGTACAGACTCAATAGCAAATAATGATTTTAAATGGTTATTGATTAGTTGCCTTTTGTTGTCGTACCGGTTGCAGAGGAGTGACCAAGCTTCATCATAATTTTTATCTGATACTTCTAAGTTACTTAGTACCCGGGCAGCTTCACCCTCCAAGTAGGTGCAGAGGTAATGAAATTTGTGTACATTTTTTATTTCAAGATTGTCATGAATTAGTGAAGAATATATTTCTTTAAACTCCAACCACTTAGAATAAGTGCCATCAAATTTGGGTATATTTATTGTAGGTAACTTGAACCCCAGAGGGTTGTGTTCAAGGTGATGGCACCCATTGGAGTTGGAACAGCTAGTAACATTACCTTCCACCTGCTTGGGAGCTGAGCTGTTAGACTGTATTAAATCTTGAGCGATAGCAATGCAATTATCAAATTCTTGTTCTATAAAATCGCGGGTGGACAATTCAGCAGATTGATTAGCCTCGCTATGCACCTCTATTTGACTCTGCAGCCCGTCGAACTCAATGAATAATGCTTCCATTCTAGATAGCTTCATTGCTAGCTTGTTGACTTCTACGGCAGAAATACTTTCCAAAGCTACTAATGATTCTAGATATATTTTAAATTTAGTCACGCGTCCCTTAATGGAACTGCGCTTTGTAATTAGTTCTTTAAATTTTAGTTCAGAAGTCATTGCAATGAGATATCAGAATGGCAGAAAATAATTAAATAGGTACGTTACGCTCCTCGTTTCGTAGTCCGTGGTGCGCGGCGTGGGGGTCAGGTTTCTTGTCAGCGAAGCGGGCGATTAGCTGAGCGGAATAGGCACCCAGCAGCTAGGCGCGCGCTGTTAGACCGCTGATCCCGAACAAACTGCTTACGCTGGAATCAACGTCAGCAAACTAAACAGCTAATAGAAGCAGGTAGGCACACAGCTTGGGACAGTAAGCACAAATGTAATTTTAAGTATGTTATCGAAATGGTTCGTGGGCAAGTAGGTATAAAGATAACCGTTAAGCAAAATGACTAGGTAGGTACCTAATTAATTTAGGGTTTTTTTATTTATTTATTTATTTAGTGAGGTAAATGCAGATGAAAATTTTAGGCAGCGTGCAATGACTTTAGCTCGCAAATTCCCTTTGGATGATTAGGCAAAATGCTTACCGCTAAATTTGGGACATGCAATGTTTTGCTAGCAATTGATTAGATCACCAAACATTTAGAGAAACAGACACTTAGTAAATACAAAGATAGAAGAGGATAGAACAAGGAAGAATGATAGAAACGGGCTCACTTTATGATCGTTGGCAGTTGATGGGAGAGGTAGGTAGGTATCCGGGTTCCCCAGCCGTGGGATCAGCTGATTAGGCGGCTCCAGGACGTAGGCACCTCCAATACGGTCCTCTTCTTATTCTGCTGGCTCCGAACTCCTCTGCAATGATGATGGCTGTCTGTTTCGGCGTCGATGATTTGTTGTAAAACCTGCCGGACTCGACAAAGATTATAGTGCAAGTCGTCGTGTCCTGTCACGGTCGCCACTTTTGTTCGAGATAGGGAACAAACTTTAAATAAAAAAATATGTAGGTTTAATGGTATAATTACAATTAGTACTTTAGGCAAATAATTAGCTTAGGACACGACGCGCGTTCGATGCCGTGACAGGTGGTAATGTGTTGGCATCATTAGCGTAGGTTAAGAACGTGGCGAGTGTATGTCGTGATATTCCGATCATGTGATTGGCTTGTTATCGCGTCATGCCGCGCGTGGTACCAATAGCGTTGACTGCGGGTAGCCAATAGCGTGAGGGCTGCGGCTGCGTTGCGTTCCTCGGTGCCGATGTGGCGCCGACATATAAATATATATATATATATATATATATATATATATATATATATATATATACAATAAAAATATTGTAGAATAATATTGTTTTTTAAAACATTGTAAAAAAATAAACAATGTATTATGTATTACAATGTATTATTTTAATAATAGATAAAAATATGTTATTAAAATAAGACATTGTAATACATAATACATTGTTTTCTTATTGACTTGCTCCGGTTCGCTTATTATATAACATTGTCCACGCCGCTATGACTCAGCTGTCATAGCAGACATTGCAGTACACGTGCAATAGTCCATTTAAAAGTTACATTTGGGGTTACATTTGTCAGAGGACGCAATTTTATTTTTTAGATATCAAGGGGGGGTTAGTGTGAAGTTAAATCCAAGTTTGTGGGGTTGCAGCCCTTGTCCCACGGCCGCCATCTTGGAAAAAGTGGTAAAAATGGTTTTTATGGTTTATCTGACAAACTATAGGTCTCACAAAAAAATTGTACAAAGATTTTTGGTTGCAAATAAAATTCTCTACAACTTTGGTCAAGTAACTTTTAGTCGTAGAACCATAAATAACAAAGTTATAAGCGAAAATCGGTGAAAAGTTAAGAAAAAAAATTCTATTTGTCGTTTTAACTTTTTTTCTGATCATTTTACAAAAAATATATGTCAGACCATTTTTATAGAAGCGCTTTTAAAGAATAATTTTCGTTATAAACTTTTAAAATTTTATTCATTAATTAAGGTTTTACAGAGCTGCGAAACGAATATACTATTCTTCAGTATTCATAACTATACATAAATATTAAAATATTATTGATTCACTGTAATTTTCAATCTTCTTTTCATTATTATTATGATAATCTTTTTAATTATTGATAATGCAATATTGTTATTAATTTATTATTGACTCTTTTTCCCACTACCTACGAGGTGGAATCTGGAGGCGCGTTTTTTTTACGTGGTATAATTACTCTGTCCTCGGTCTTTTTGATGGACCAAGCTGTGGCTCAGGATCTGGTTGACCTTCTATGTCAAATACTTGAGGGAAAACCGCCGAAGGAAATGAAGCAGGTCGAGTTGCTGCAATGATGGAATGACCAATCGATTAGTGTTAACGTTCTTCAGGAAATTATCAGAAGGTGGATACTACTTTATATCGTAAGGCTATGAACGAATATATTCCAAAATAATAGCAGCTGTATCTCTAGTTTTCTGCAATCTCTTTTCACGAAGATCATTTTTTTATGAGAAGGCGGTTGGTTTGATATAATTTTATAATTACGAGACAAAGCAGTATTCACCATCTGATGATTTTGTGAAGGACGTTAACACTTTAATTCCCGTATCTTTATCAGTTTTATTGAAAGGAATTATATGCCAATCAAAACGCAAGTCACTAAATGTAGACATTCCATCATCATCACAACAAACTTGGATTTAACTTTACACTAACCCCCCCTTGATATCTAAAAAATAAAATTGCGTCCTCTGACAAATGCACGCTAAGCCCAAAAAAATGTAACATTTCAATGGACTACAAACCAATCCCTGATTTCGTCCTGAATTTAAACCAATCACCAAACATGTCTGTTTGTAACCTCAGAAGTGATTCGTAGTTTGAATCAAACGTCGTTTTGGTTTGAAGAAGGGCCATTTTTTGTGTGAAATTTGTTCTGAATCAGACTTCCTGGGTTTATTCGTGGGTAAAACCCACGAATAAACAATAAGTCACAATAAGTAAGGAAGTCGATAAGTGATAAATATTTTTGAGAGTGAGCATACGTAAGTTTAATTATAGATTTAATATAGCAGCCACTGTTCTGCCCTTTTTAAATATTAAAAAAATATTTTCACTTAAGTTTTATCGTAATCACATAGGTAAATGTTTAATGCAGCCATACAAGAAGACCAAAAAAATTACACATCCGAATTAGCAATATTTATATACTTAATACCATTTATGTTCTAGGGACATGATACAACTTCAACAGCTCTTCTGTTTACTCTAATGTTACTGGCCAACCATCAAGAAGAACAGGTGACAATAAATTTAGCGCTATATTTTCCAAACTTTATGTATTAATTTAAATATAATATGATAGTTATCCCATTAGGTATATGGTAAATTTTTCTTATATACATTTACAAGAAACTCTTTAGACCGATCGGAATCTTTTTATTTTTATTAGATTTTTTAAATTAAAACCTGAAGTTTGAGGTCTGGAAAACGTTAGCAGGTACGTATATAAGGAATAAAAAACCGTAAAATGCCCCGGATGTCCAGCTACCCCTGAGAAATGGGTAGATGAAAAGCGTTGAAAAATAGTTTTATTCAATTTCTAACTCACTGTGACGTCTTATCGAAAAATGTTTTACAAGATTTGTAGGTCTAGTAAAAATTAACATACATTTATTTTTCTTGGTTTTTCTCGACCCCGCTCGAGGTAATCTCTGCTCTAAATCCAATCTTATAATAAAATTGTAACTAAGTCGAATCTGTACGTTAGATATTTTTTGGAAAATGTTATTGAAATAAACATTATTATCGATACAGAGGTCGAATCTATGGTTTTTAGATTTTTTGTCTGTCTGTCTGTCTGTCTGTCTGTCTGTCTGTCTGTCTGTTACCGCGTCACACAAAAACTACTGGAGGGATTTTGATGAAATTTGGTATGGTGATAGCTGTTTATCCGGGTCATCATATAGGATACTTTTTACCGCGGCAGAATATCTCATTTCTAAGGAAAAATTCAAAATTTGCAATGTAAGAGTATACTAATATGTAAAACATAAGAATTTGGTTTTTGGTCATCTGAACACGGGCGAAGCCGCGGGCAATGCTAGTACTATTAATAAGAATTATTACAGTCTAAAATATACTGTACATAAACACCAACATAGATAGCAAAATATTTATAATATATATCTCATTAGTTTTAAAGCAAAACTTTCTCTCAAGGCAAGTAGTAAGAATAAATAAATTCTCCTTATGGAAGATAAAATATTTTTGATTTAAATTAAGGACAATTTTTTCATGTTATAGAACAAAGCCTTTGAAGAATGTTTCCGAATTTTTGGTACATCTAAACGGACTGCTACAATGAGTGATCTAGCAGAGATGAAGTACCTAGAAAGTTGCATCAAAGAATCACTGAGGCTTTACCCACCTGTATATTATATATCAAGGAGCTGCGATGAACCACTTTATTTAAGTAAGCGTATATAATATTAACCCCTCCACGGCCGCGGATACGCCAACGTTACAGTTAACAATAGATTTATTAGGAATTTAATTAATTTCTTAGAAATTTACCTGAAGGTGTTAAAGCAGATTTTATCTATACATATCAAATTACTTGAATGATCTCACGGCTCACCAATTTTTTGACAACTCTTTTCAATAATACGTTATGGGTAACCTCTTAACATATAAATAAGTATTTTATATTACCTACTTTTATTAACTGAAAATATTAAGTTATTGTTGTTAACTTTATAAGTTTACTGTAGAAAAAACTATCAACATTTCAGCTCTTCATATTCTAGTTGTCTGATGTGAGCCTTCATCAATGATACAACTCGTTTTATGCAGCTTATAGCTTTTTATACCAAAAAATAACGATTTACATCTGTAAATTAAAAATTTCTTTCAGAAAACTACAAGTGTCCGCCTGGAATTGATTGTGGTATTTTAATTATCGACTTGCATCGACGCAGTGATCAGTTTGTGGAACCAATGAGATTTCGTCCAGAAAGATTCATGGAAGAGCCTACTTGGCACCCTTTTGCATATATACCATTTAGCGCAGGACATAGGAATTGCATAGGTTAGTTATAGATTTTTGATTTTAAATGATTAATAAATATTCTAACTCTATATTGCACTTTTGTGCATCACAGTAGTTGTCATATTTATATTACGCTTACTATTGACTTTTGACAATATTAGAGACATTTGCTCTGCTTTAGATTAGATTAGACTAGAAAGTGATATCAACTGCACATAATTTTGACCCAAGCAGAGACGACGCGATGGAATGGAGTATTGTATAGTTTTTAGTTTCAACCAACACTGACAATGTTTAAAAATAGTAAAGTGCATAGAAAATTTAATAATAATAAATTTTAACTATTATACTAACTTATTATTATTTTACTACCAGAATAAATATATTCTACAAACTGCACTCTTGTACACTTTATTCGTTTCACATTAATAAAAATAAAACATAATTGAGCAGAGAACAATGAGACTTTAAGTAATTCAAGAGACGACCTGTACAACTTAAATAAAATTGTCTTTTCAGATTTTTTCGCGAATTTATTTTGATTTTTGGTTCCCGATTTCGAATGCTTTACAGCAATCATGGTCACGGGAGAGACTGGAGCATTCGAAACGTCGGGAACCAAAAATGAATATAAATCTGCGAAAAAAACCAAAACGAGTTTAGATCATTTAAAATGTCAAATATTCGCGTAAATCTAAGAAAGTATTAACTTGTACAATATTAAACTATGTTGAGCACCATTACACAAACGTACATTGTTGCGAAATAAGTAAAGAGCCGCGGAATGAAATCTTGCAATGTATTTTTTTTTTAATTTAAAAACTGAAAATAAATTATGATGAAATTTAAGATGCATATGATATTAGATATTAAATTACCTTTTGCTTATTATTTTTCAGGTCAAAAATTTGCAATGATGGAAATGAAGTTAGTGTTATCAGCGGTGCTGCGTAAATATCGGCTGTTGCCCGTTACTAAGCCTCAGGATATTCGTTTTATCCTCGATATAATTCTGAGACCAAAAGATCCCATTTATGTTAAATTTGAAGAACGGTTTACAATATAAGAAACTGTTGAGATTAAACGAGCTATTGCTATTTTATGTATTTAGTATAGAAAATTTTGGATAAGTAAAAAGTTATGGTGATCATCATTATTATATTATAAATCTTCAAAGCATGCGCGCAATATTTATTTATAATACGCAAACATTAGTTATACGTACTTTGAACTTTAATTTCTATAAATGTAAAAGATACCAAATTTTTTTATCCATGAATAAATTCTGTACTTTATAAGGATAATATATAATATCACTTGGTGTAATTGCATAAATTAATAGTGTATATTTAGTAATTTTGGTACATTATAATAACAAAATATAACTTTTAAATAGTTATAATTATAATAAATACTGTCTGCAGTTTTATCTGGTAACTGACTTGATGCTGGCAGTGTCATTTTGTGCCAGACTGGCACAAAATTTACATTAGATAAAATCTCAGTAGTCAATAGCTCAACCAGTGCAACATAAATATACCTACTGTGTGAATTCTAGCAATATAATTTATAAGGGTAAAGGACCAATAGTTTGTTTTGTGTCATGTCATGTCAATTTTTTATCTTAGATTTTCTGTACAGTTAAGTAACTTGTAGACAACGTGGATATTACATATATAATATGTCGCTCATTTGCTATACATATTTATAATGACTCATATAAACTTATGACCCATAATAATTAGCTCACAGATAATTATAAAGGAACTAGCAGACAATTTAGATATTACCGATAACCATACGTTTATTTTATCATTATTATTTATTAATTTTTATTTATTCATTTTAAGCATAGCGTCGGCCCACTTCAATTTTATTATATTCAAGTATTTTCCACATAAAGGGTTTATTTTATTGTCGGAGTAGCCTTCTCGTGAATCGGTGCCAGCCGATACACGAGAAGGCTACTCCGATAGCTTATCACACCGACTTCGAAAATATTTGATTAGGTATGGTCAGTAGGTAAATGAAAACTATCAATCAGTTAGTTTTTTATTTTTAGTTTTTTCGAAGTCGGTTTTTATTTTTTTGTTAAAAAGTTTTTATGTCATAGCATTACGCTTTTCCTTTCAAAGTTTGCTTGCTGTTTAAGGCACGCTGTCATGAGGATTCTTTGAGCTAGGCATATAGATATACCACAAAATGGCTCAGGGTCATTGCTGAGTACCCAGAGCGCTCACTTTCGCAAGCGCATCGGCACCCATCTCAAAATTACCCTATTATTATTTCCTAATGAGCTTAATCGGTCTACGTACTCATCTACTAACCTTGATGAGATTATTTTTGAATCTACTGCTAGTAGTGCAGCTTGGTTGCTTGAATTAATGTAAATTATTTTCTCTACTATAGTAATGATTAATTGATCATCATAACGGAATTGAAACTTTGCAACTGACCTTTTCACTGTGAAAACAACTGCCAGATATTTAGCCACTGATAGTGACAGGCCATTATCAAAAAGCCATTGCCCTAGATAGTGCAAAGCAGAATTTAAACGAAAAATAATATCCTCTACAGATTTTAAACTGATGAGAGGACGATGTCGTCAGCATATTAAAGAACGTTACAAAAAATATTTACAGGAAGTTCGTGGGATTGTGGAAAGTTTTTTTTAATAGTCGAATTTGTATCGAGAGTAGAATCCTCCCCCTGGCGTTAACGTGAAATACTCAGTGTATTTATTGAAGGAGAGCTTCTACGATCCGGTGGCTCAGGCGGTGGATCGCCATCCATGCTTACAACTAACCTGCCTTTTCAAGATACACACGAATATATAAATAAACCAATCAGTCCGATAAAACACTTAATTATACACAAGGATTACAACTATTAAACTGAATTATAAATGCAAATGATATACCTAAGAATTAAGTAGATAAACTACACCGATCTCACTAAGCGTGTGTTTACCAAAACATACGCGAGCGAAGTACGTATTTGTTTTATATTCAATGTTTGTGACATCAATATAATAGTTTCTAAATAAAACAGTCATTAACCGACTTTAAAAAGAAGAAGGTATATAATTCCGTTATATGCTTTTTTGTGTAGGTATTTTATCTGCATGCGATCTTTTCGTCAACTACAAATGTTTTTGATAATTATTCTTTTATGACGATAATAATTATGCAAAATAAGATTCATATTAATTAAACATATACTCGGAGATGATTTTCAGAGAAGCATTTGATCAGGTGGATATAAGTATCACAGTGAATAGTCAGATTATTAACAATATCCGTTATGCCGATGACACTGTATCATTGCATCTGCAATGGAAGAGCTTCAGATCCTTATAGACAAAATTCAATCTGTTATTTCAGCGTATGGCCTCTCAGTATCAACACCAGGAAAACCTGCTAACCCTTCTCTACTATGTAATGGACAGCCCCCTACAAAAAGTTAGCAAATACACATATTTGGGATGCTGGGTACGGGAGACCACAGTCTTGAAATAAGGTGCCGCGTCGAACAAGCCCGTAACTCTTTCGTTAAGCAAGCTTAAGTCACTTCTGTGCAATAAAGAGCGGAACATCCAGCTACGAGTACGATTAGCACGCTGTTATGTTTTCTCCATTCTCTTGTATGGCGTTCAAGCATGGACCCTCACAGAATCGAGCTGTAAGAAGATCGCAGAAGCCTTCGGAATGTGGGTATACAGGAGAATGTTAAGGATATCCTGGAGAGACAAAATAAAAATTGTAACCGTGCTAAGTCGAATAAAGAAAAAAACCAGAAGTTGTTTATTTAGTAAAGAAAACAAAACTTGAATATCTCGGCCACATAATGAGAAACCGAAAATACGACCTACTACAACTTATCATACAGGGAATGATCCAAGGAAAGCGAAGTGTGAATTATTTGGAAAAAGCACCCTTTCCTTATTCGGAGCCGCGGCATCAAAAATACAGGTTGTTTTAATGATCGCCGACCGAAGATAGAAGATAGCACTTTAAGAAAGAAAGATCATTTTACGCTTGCTGGTTGAAACTAATCTAATTAGTTACATATTATAATGTTGGTTAGCTTTTTAAAGTCCGGTTTTAATTTTTTTGTAGGTATTATACTTATAACGCAAAGAAACAAGTAGATACGATAACATATTATTTAATTGAGATAAGAACGAGAATATTATTAAGTAGTTGCTATTTGTTGTTCATAGTGAACGGAGTAGACATACAGATTTTTGTCTAAAATAATAAATTAATATTAATTATTTTACGTAAAGTAGTTGAAGTAGTCATTATTCTATCTATTTGTAAACATATTCGGTGCTTTATCGTAGTGCTTCCTTAAAGTCGTAGAATACTCGATTGGATAAACTTAGTTCATTTAATTAAGTTTTTATCAATAAACAACACATCAATCAATAAACATCCTGTACAATGTCTTGATATTTTCAAAGTTATTTTATCAATTTATAGAAAATAAAATATCAGTGTTAGTGTTATAGAATTATTATTTCGTACTAAGATAAGATGTTGGAGCTCTTTGTGTTATTTGTGGGAATACTTTCTTTGCTTTATTTTTTTTATAATCGTCTATTTGTCGATGATGAATTTAATAAAATTCCTGGACCCAAAGGAATTATTTTTTTTGGAAATGCTTTTGATTTTTTAATGGAGTCCGGTAAGATTTTTTTATATTTTATTGTGATTTCACTGTCACTATTATATACATACAATAATTATATTTAAAAATGTTATAGTAATACTGGTTCATGTTTTTTGCAGTGGCGTTATTTAACTATTTTCGTGATTTGCCTAAAACATATAAGGATTTATATAGACTTAAATTGGGTACAATGAAAAGCGTCCTTATACTCAATCCAGAGGATGTAGAGGTAAGTTTCTTAGAAAGAATCCGTCCAAAATCGTATAGTTCTATATAAAAATAATACTAATAAATAAACTCAGCAATTTTAACTTTTCATAATTTTAAAAATAGTTTGGTTCAAGTTAAATTAAAGTAGGACGTAAGTACTTTAAATTAACTTAGCGCAATTTTAATTGAAGCCAATAAAAATATGTAAGTAGGTACTCTAAAGATGAACAACGGAAACCGGTTTGGGAACAAAAAAATAAAACCTGAAGTTTTATGTTTTTAAAACGTTAGCAGGTATATAAGGAACATAACCCGTAAAGTATATTCTAACTTTGCAATTTGACAAGGCGTGAAATAAAAAAAATTGGAAATCACGTAAAGTACCTTTTCTTCTGTATTTTTTCCCGTAGAATCTATTTATTGTTATTACTTTTTTAATCGATATTTTGTTAATTTTTGATCGATTTTTTTCTCTTAAAAATAAACGAATTCTGATAGGTCTAATAGGACAATTGTGAATATAATTTTTAAAAGCAAATAAAATCTAGCAAGACATAATATTATTGAGAAACTTGTCTGCTGCTGATGGAACTGTGTAAATTGTTATATTTTTTACAGACTGTGCTGACCAATACAAAACATAACAAAAAAGGCTATCTCTACTTCTTTCTCCGCCCTTGGTTGAATGATGGTCTCCTACTAAGTAGCGGTAAAATAATTATGTTTTTTAAACATTTATTATTACATAAAAAAAATCATAGTATTTGCTGACATTTTACTAAATATTAATGTATTTACATCTTTTAACACCAAAATCGCAGGTGAAAAGTGGTATGAACGAAGGAAAATTCTCACCCCTGCATTTCATTTCAATATTCTTCGCCACTTCAGTACCATTCTCATTGAAAATACAGAAAAATTTATTGAAAGCCTCGAATCAGAAGTCGACAAGCAAAAAACAGATATTTATCCTTTTATAGCAAATATGACTTTGAATTCAATATGTGGTAAGTTAAAACTCCAAATGCATCATATTACGAGTATTTCATACATACAATACAATACTACTGTGTGTGATTATAGAGACAGCAATGGGAACCCAACTGGATGAAGAGACGTCAGGCATAGGCCAACGTTATAAAGACGCAATACATACACTGGGAACATATATACTTTACAGAGGACAACGAGTTTGGTTCCATTCAGATTTTCTTTTTAATTTAAGCTCAGTTGGTCGCAAACAAAAGGATTTGTTAATTTTATTAGCAACATTTCGGGACCACGTAATTAAACAACGTCGAGATAACGGGAATTACAAGAATTTATATGCAGAAGTAATGAACGATCCTGAAGAAGATTTCTATAGCCATAAGAAGAAGCGGTTGGCAATGTTAGATTTATTATTAGACATTGAGGAGCAGGGAAAAATAGATACAGCGGGAATTAACGAGGAAGTCGATACATTTATGTTTGAGGTGTGCACTAATCGTTTCTAACCTTAATGATGCAAAGATTTCTCTTAATCCCTTTTAATTCTTTTAGTGCTTTTATGTTGTTCTCCTTAATAAGGTCATTAAGGAGAGTAACATACATTTTAAATAAAACTCGCGAGTATTTCTTGACTATCAAAGCGAATGTAGTGGCTTGTGCCCAAGCCTTTAAGTTTAGAAATAAAAATCAACAAATATTTTAGGGTACTTTACTGCCATTTTTGAATTTTTTAAATTATTTTTGTAAAATTGTGGATAGACACTGTCTGTAACAAATATATGTTTTGAGACGTCTATACCTTAGTCTCTCCCGTGACCATGATTGCTGTATAGCATTCGAAACGTCGGGAACCAAAAGTCAAAATAAATCCGCGAAATAATCCGAAAAGATAGTTTTATTTAAAATTTCAAATATTCGCGTAAAACTAAGAAAGTATTAGAGTAACATACAATTCGGTATCTTAATTTATTTTCCAAATTGTCGACCTTGAGCGACCGCCGTTGGAGAGAGCTGAATGTTAGTTTTGTGAAAGTATCATTTTCAGGTGCATGCATCTTTTGTAGGTACTATTTATCTTATTCTTATTCCGAAAACTATATCAAATAACCAATTCCTAAAACTCTTTTTTTTTTTAATTTCACCTTGTCGGAGATGTGCCATATGGGTTGATAGTTCTCTCAAAGACGTGGACAACAAATTCATCAAAGAAATTATCCCTCTAAAGTCTAACGAGCCGAGGGCAGTCGGGTAGGCGGCTTTTATGCTTGAGAGCAAGTCTACCTCACTAGTTGTCAGAGCACCGTAGTTAAGCACATATAATGTTGCTTGGTTAAAACAAAGTAGAGCTAAATATAAAACATACTAGCAATAATAGTTTTGAGTACCATTTTTTAACATAGTATCGTAATAAACGGTCGTTCACGGTTCCAAGCTCGGAGTATTAATTAGGACACCAATTTTTTTTGTTATATTTCTGTCTGTATTTACTGATAAAAATTTTTTTTAAATGAGCATAAGTAAGTTTAATTATAGATTTAATATAAGTAACTGTTCTGTCCTCTTTAAATAATAAAAAAATATTATCACTTAAGTTTTATAGTAATCAGATGATTAGTTAGTTAATATGCAGCCATACAAAAAGATTAAAAAAATTACAAATCCTTAATAGAAATATTTATATACTTATTAATACCATTTATGTTCTAGGGACATGATACAACTTCAACAGCTCTTCTGTTTACTTTAATGTTACTGGCCAACCATCAAGAAGAACAGGTGAAAATTAACCTATACATATAATAAAATTGTAACTAAGCCGAATCTGTACATTAAATATTTTTTGGAAAATCTTATAGAAATAAACATTATTATCGATACAGAGCCCGAATCTATAGTTTTTAGAATTTTTGTCTGTCTGTCTGTCTGTCTGTCTGTTACCGCATCACAGAAAAACCACTGGAGGGATTTTGATGAAATTTGGTATTGGTTATCCTTTCTTTTTTTTTTAACGTTGGGAAATGCATTTACGCACGAGGTGTGGGACTCACCGGCAAAGCCAGTATTACCCACTAAACCCTGACTTGATTCCCTACACAAACTTTCATCCCCATTTTCACCCCCTTAAGGAATGAATTCCGGGATAAAAAGTATCCTATGTCTTTCCCAGGGTCTCAAACTATCTTCTTACCAAACATTTAAATCGGTTCAGTAGATCCAGAGATTACCCCTACAACGTCACAAACTCACAATCTTTACTTCTTTATAATATTAGTATAAATAATGCTTTACTGTCGTGGTTTTTTAATTTGTTTTATTTAATATCAAGTAAGATAGTAATAATTTAAATACAACATTATCTACAGTCAGACAGTTTATAGAAATTCATTATACATACATATGCGTATTCTCAATTCCACGAAATACTTATACAATGTTTATAGAGGAAATTAAAGCGATGTTTTGATGATGATTCCATCGCTTAAAATCCCTCTCTAAAAATTGAATTTTTATTTCCGATAGTTATTGTTATTGTGTGCATAAAATTGGTTTTTAAATTATTATTTAATTTTTACGAATAAATAATATAGTATATAGTAAATATTGTGACGCGATATCGTGGGCAGTCTTCTTTTTTAAGGGTAACTGTCACCTGTACTGACTTCGCAGCATTAGCCTTTATTTTCCATTTTTGCAGCCACTCATTTACTTTGTTAAGGCCTTTCTGCAAGTTCTCTGATGCCAGTCTTGGATCTTTATTACGTGCTAATATAGCGGTATCGTCTGCTAAGATTTTAAATAAGGAATATTTTTTCATGTTAAAGGACAAAGCGTTTGAAGAATGCTTAAGGATTTTTGATACATCTAAACGGACTGCTACCATGAGTGATCTTGCAGAGATGAAGTACCTAGAAAGTTGCATCAAAGAATCACTGAGGCTTTACCCACCTGTATATTTTATATCAAGGACCTGTGATGATGCACTTAATTTAAGTAAGCTTATATAATATTAAACACGTTATATTATATTATCTATACATATTAAATTACTTCAACAATTTTGACTACTCTTTTCAATAATATAAGACATGGGAAAGTGAAAACCCGTAACCAACTGACACTACAAGAAAACAACCAATGAATACTATCACAAAAATAAGTATTATGAACTGGTTTAATTAGTATTTTGAGTTATTGTTTGAGTTATTGTTGTGAGTAATTTCATCATTATCAAATATTAAATTTTATTTACCATATAAACTTTAATAACCCCTCCTGGTAGAAATTTAGCTGTCAATATTAGTGATCTAGAAGTAAACAAAGTTAGTACATTTTTGGTTGTAATAACGTCTATCTGGTTGAATGTAGAAAAAATTGCCAACATTTCAACTCTTCATATTCTAGTTCTCTTTAATCTGAGTCTTCATAAATAAGTCAATTCGTTTTATGCAATTTATGGCTTTTTATATCAAAAATAACTATTTACATTTATAAATTAGACATTTCTTTCAGAAAACTACAAGTGTCCACCTGGAATGGATTGTACTATTTTAATTTTCGATTTACATCGACGCAGTGATCAGTTTGTGGAACCAATGCGATTTCGTCCGGAAAGATTCATGGAAGAGCCTACTTGGCACCCTTTTGCATATATACCATTTAGCGCAGGACCTAGGAATTGTATAGGTTAGATACTAACTATGATTATGATTTTACTACTAGAATAAAAATATTCTATTAATTGCACTCTTGTACACTTTTAAAAAAAATAACACGATACATAATTGGGCAGAGATCCATAAAACTTTAAACAATTCAAGAGATATCTTGTACAATATTAAACTATGTTGGGCACCAACACACAAACGTACATTGTTGCGACATAAGTAAATAGCAGCGGAAAGAAAAAATAAATAAATTTAAAAACTGAAAATACCTAAATTTAATGATGTTGAAATTTGAGATGCATATGTAATAGGAAAACTATTTAATTACATTCGTTAAATTACTTTTTGCATATTATTTTTCAGGTCAAAGATTTGCAATGATCGAAATGAAGTTAGTGTTATCAGCGGTGCTGCGTAAATATCGGCTGTTGCCCGTTACTAAGCCTCAAGATATTAGTTTTGTCGTCGACATAATTCTGAGACCAAAGGATCCCATTTATGTTAAATTTGAAGAACGATAGAGAAAATAAGAAACTGTTGAGATTAAGCGAGCACGCTTGAAGCATACCATAATTGCTATTTTATATATTTAGGCTAGAAAATTTCGGATAAGTGAAAACTTACGGTGATCATTTTATATTTATATTAAGGACAGAGATAAGTGGAAAGGACTGGAGAAGGCCTTCACCCGAGGAGGGGTTCTTATCCAATAGCAAAAACTAACTCTTACTAACATTTAGACAATAAGCAAAACATTAATAACTAACTAAACACTAACAAACAAATACCAACATTTGAAATGGCTTAATTTCCATTACAATGATAAGGAAATACAGGCTTTTTTTTTTATTTATTAATAAATAAATAATGATGATGTTCTCCCGACCGATTCCGGCCACGGCGGCCAATCTCATTGAGACTAGCCAACTGCGCAGGAGATATTATAGTGCACAAGTGTACGCGCAGACACAGGTTGCACTCTCTATTCCTGTCACTCTCATATTCTGGTGGGACGACCACTCGACACGACCAGTGAGAGTTAAGGCGCAGGACCGACGGCTTTACGTGCTCTCCGAGGATAAATAAATAAATAATACCGACTGCATAAAAGCTAACTAAAAAGATGAAAACAAGTTCACGAAAGAATATAGTATTATTCAGTCGGAGACATACACGTTTGATCCTTGTCGCGAGATGTACATACTCGTATTTATTACAGTTTCATACAAAATACGGTAGGAAAAGTCATGTACTTCATCGTTTCAGTTAACAGAATTGGCCCCTAGATCATGTGATTTAGCACCATTGAATTTCTCTTTATGGGTTTGTTTGGATTCGAAGGTCTTTCTTAATAAGTCCACATCCACCTGTGCATTGAAGGAGCGGTTTCAACACTACATCTACGAAATTCAGCCACATTTATGTAAAATGATGACATCATTGTCGAAATCATGGAAAATTGCGGCGAATGAGGGCGTATGTCCCAGCAATACCCAGGCGGCCATTTGCCGGGTATGTTATTCTACACATAACCCTAACCTACCTACTTTATCGTTCAATAAAAAAATCAATTGAAAAAATAAACTGTGATTTCTATTTATTTTAAATCTTGCGTGAATTTTTTGACAACCTTTATCAATAGTAAATACATTTTTAATGACACCTGTGCAATCGCTCTTTGTTCTATCACCAAAGCCCTCACTGTTATAATACTCATAAAATGACCAGCGTGCGTAGGCAAATACCTACCAGGTCTTATGGCAAGTCTTGTGGACAAACATTAGGTTTTCTCTGTTGACCAATCACTATAACTACCGCTGACAATCTCTCATATCTCGTTTTGCACACTTTGCACCTGATAAATTGCTTGTACAAGTTCAAAATTAATAATATTGGCTTGATAAAAAAACAGTTTTAAACTACTCAAATTATAGTGTAATCGACAATTGCATAACCAAGTTTCAAATGGCAATATTATTATAATTTACGTATAGTAGATTATATTCAGCAATAGGGAATTTATTTTTATTTTTTATACAATAGCTTACATCGTTATATAATTGTAAAAAAACCAGCTCCAAAAAACTTATACTTAGTATTAAAAAAATGTTTAAAAATATCATACCGATACGGATACTTTAAACGCTCACCATTTCGCGCGCTTATCGTGACGTCACATTATGATAAATACAGAAAAATGACGACTCAATTTGTAGGGACCAAATCGCTAATCGCTCTGATATGATATACTCTGACGTCATATTCGGCCTGACCAATGGCGTTCTTTTCAACTACTTTGAAATTCCCACCTATATTTCCACTTTTTAATAATTACTGAACCGATTTTCAAAATTCTTTTACCAATAGAAAGCCACGTTCTTTCTGAGTGTCATAAGCTATATATTAACCCGGAGAATGAAAAGGCTTTTTCGTGGTAGTCGGATTTGCAAAGTAAGTCGGAGAAAAAACGGTCAAACGAAAACGTTTCTTACGAACGCTGCCTTAACGATGAGATATATATGATTATGTTCTAGAGAAAAGTTGTAGAGCTTAATAATGCCTACAAAAAAGTCAGCGACAGCATATGTCTAACTTTTATGTTTAAGTCACAAAAATTAGTTTTTTATATAAAAAAAATAATTTAAATCGGTAGGTCATGTTTATTGGTCATATTATCAACAATTATGAATTCTTATCAAAATAAGTAAATTTATCGTCTAAAATGTTTAAAACAAAAGACTTTTCCCTTTTACTGCATATAATTTGGTCAAATGATTAAAGAGATAATACAACATATTCGTAGGTATGGACGAACCCGAGCGAGCTGTTTGTCTGTTTTTCTGTTTGTACGGGCTAATCTCCGAATCTATTGAACCGATTTAAATGAAATTTTGCATGGTGGTACCTTATATCCCCGGGCAACATCTTAGATACTTTTCATCCCGGAATATATATATATATATAATAACAACTTATACAGCTTAGTACACAAAAAGTACTGATTGGATTTTAATGAAACTTTACAATAATATAGTTCATACATGACAATAACAAATAGGTTACCTTTTATCCCGGCAAAATGTACTGTTCCAGTGGGATAGATGTTTTTGTTTATTTGTATTGTGTACACAACATAGACCCCAAAACAATAGTTATTAAAAAAAATGTCTGTTTGTCTGTTTGCCTGTATGTCTGTTTGTCTGTTTTTGCGTGAGCGTTTCTCGCGAAAAGTATTGTACCGATTTCAACGAAATTTGGTGAAGTCATAACTTATTACTCGAGTCAACATTTAGGATACCTTTTGTATGTATGTAATCAGCCCTTTTTAACGTCCCACTGCTGGGTACGGGCCTCCCTTCAGTACGAGGGCGATTAGGCCATAGTCCACCACGATGGATAAGTGCAGGTTGGCGGACTTCACATGTCTTTTGAAAACTTGCTAGGTTCTCTCAGACATGCAGGTTTCCTCACGATGTTTTACTTCACCGTTATAAAAAGTGGTAATTGTGTTAGAAATGATTCACACATGAAAATATCAGAGGTGCGGGACCCGGGATTTAAACTTGCTTTACTCGGTTTCCCAAGAGAACGCGTTACCACTGGAATACCACTGCCTAGATACCTATTACTTTAAGAAAATCTTTCATTCCCACGGGAAAATATAATAACTGGTTTTATCGAGTCCTCCCTAGAAACCTTCCGCTGGCTAAGCCTTAAGACATACATACATCAAAACAATATACTAAAAAATTGTAGGTCTTGAAAAGTTCTACAGGAAAGTTCTGAATAGTATATGTATATCTCCTAAGCAATATCTATTCTTATCTATACCTATAATATAACTAACTTAGTCAAATCGATGTGCGCGTTTCATGCAAAAAGTACTGAACCGATTTTAACTAAATTTTGTATAGTGATAAAACTTAGTACTTGGGTCAACATTTAGGATACCTTTTACGACAGGCAAATTATTCATTCCCACGGGAAAACACAATAACTGGTTCTATCGAATCGTCCTTAGAAAATTATATGGCTAACGTTGGCTCAAACTTACGAGATAGATCAAAACATTTAAGTCTTAAAAAGGTCTATAGAAATGTTCTACGTAGTATATGTCTATCTCCTAAGGTACACTCGCTATAACTATTTTCATTATTATATGTATTCAGCCCTTTTTAATGTCCCACTGCTGGGCACGGGCCTCCCTTCAATACGTGGGGGGATCAGGCCATAGTCCACCACGCTGGCCAAGTGCGGGTTGGCGGACTTCACATGTCTGTGAAAACTTGCTAGGTTCTCTCAGACATGCAGGTTTCCTCACGATGTTTTCTTTCACCGTAAGGCAAGCGGTAATCATGTTAGAAATGATTCGCACATGAAAATATCAGAGGTGCGAGACCCGGGATTTGAACCCGCTTCACTCGGTGTCCCAAGCGAGCGTGTCACCACTGGGCTACCACTGCCTTCATTATTATATATTACTGTTTTATTATACGTTATTTATTCTATCTATACATATAATAGAACTGTAGAGGTTAGAAAAAAATGCTAAAAACCGAGTCAGTTCTCTTCTTACATCCCAAAAGAAGAGAAAAAGAACAAATCCAGTTTTTTTTTCAATTTTTTTGTTTCTCTGTCTGTTTGTCTGTTTGTACGGGCTAATCTCCGAAACTATTGAACCGATTTAAATGAAATTTTGCATGGTAGTACCTTATATCTTTTCATTCCAGAAAATTAAAGAGTTTCCGTGGGATATTTAAAAACTATAGTAACTTATACAGCTTAGTACACAACAACTTATGCACCTAATTTAGTAAAATTTGGCATGCTGATACCAACATGCATGGCAATTGAATCACCAATCATGCCATGCGATAAAACAACAGGTTACTTTTCATCCCGGAAAAATGAGCGGTTCCCGTGGGATAGATCTGTTTGTCCTTTTCTAGAGGTGAACTCCAGCGAAGCGAGGGTGAGCCGCTAGTATAATAATAATAATTGTAGTAGTACAAACGTAGGCAAAACAAAAGTTTTGAATTATTTAAAAAACAGAGTTTAATATTCGATTCACTTTTTTCTTTCTATTAAGTCTAAAAATACTTGAAAAAAAATATAAACCGACATCCAGGCACTAAAATGTAAAAATAACTAAACGGGAGTTTTCATTTAGAAAAGATACCTAATTAGATATTTTCAAGTCGGTGCCAGCCGATGCAAAGCAAATCTAATATACTTATTTCGATACCTAATATAAGTACATCATAAATTGATAATAGTTTAAGAAATTTTAATTTAGAAAACAACGTCAAAACAAAATTTATTGTGAAATCAAAATTTATTAAAAATATATCCGAAAATAACGTTAAAAATTTAAGTAATAGTATAAAAAATATTTTAAAAGACAAAAAATCGAAAGTGCATAATAATATTACAAGACTTCTGCGATACCATTCAGACAAATATACACATACAAGACAATAGCATTCCTAAGGAGGGTTGACGGCAGGCGGCCAGTCGTAAAACTTTTGCCAAATCCTATCAGCAGTACAGAGGATGTACTGCGCCGACCCCAAGAATATTGGGAAATGGGCAGGGAGAAGAAGAAGATAATAGTTTAAGCTTTTAATTACAAATAATTAGCTCATACCTAATCATATCTTAAAATACTTGACTAGATTTAAAGTATTTTGAATATTAAGATGAATCTTACAACGTTTCCTTATTTTATATACTTTGTATTTTTCTACATTTCTTTATAAACTGGCCTTCGGGTTTTTTTTTGGCGCGTACGCTTTTGCCTTGTACGAAAATAGAATGAGAAAGTGTTCCTGAACGGCAGTAAGGGCAAATAAAATAAAGCCTTCTGACGACATCGCGATGTTGCCGGTAATTAAAAAATAATTGGTATATTTTTAAATAATTTTTAAATAAAACTATCTTTTCGGATTATTTAGCAGATTTATTTTGATTTTTGGTTCCCGAAAGTAGAAAGTATTAAGAAAGTATTATAATTGGTATACCTAAAAAATAATAAAGCAAAGAAAATTACGATACGTACGGATACCTACTGGTGTACGAGTATATTATGGCTGACAGCAGTTGAAGTAAAGTAGTCCTTACCGATACTTTATATGGAGCATATATGTATTTAGTATTTTGCTTATATTCTAAGTGTGTCGTACAACGCGTGGAATATTTAGCAGATAAACATTGTTAATTTATTATTAAGTTTTTTAATAATATCGTGGTAATTCTTTGTTATAATATATTGATATTTTGACGAAATTCATTTATAGAAAATATTATCCTAATAAAATTATTAAGTTATAGACTTATTTTTATAAAAATGTTGTGGTTCTTAGTCTTATTGGTGGGAATACTTTCTCTTTTATATTTATTTTACAATCGTCTGCTAATCGATGAAGAATTTGAAAAAATTCCTGGACCCAAAGGAATATTGTTTTTTGGAAATACTTTTGATTTTATAATGGAATCCGGTAAGATATGTTTTTATAGCAATCTGACTATCACTAAAAGTTTGTGTATACAATTAATATAAACATTAATATAGTATAACAATTAAGCTAAATATAGTAAATAGAAAAATATTGGCATGAAATTATATAAGAACATATTTATATTTTTTCCAGAGGCGTTATTTAATTATTTTCGTAAATTAGCTAAAACATATAAGGATTTATGTAAAGTCAAAATTGGTATAATGAGAAGCGTAATAATATACAATCCAGAGGATGTAGAGGTAAGTTTCTTAGACAAGTTGTATAGGAAAACAGAGTGTATAAATAATCTTAATAAAACAAAAATTGTGTGTGTGTACTTATATTGTATGCACCGAAGAAGTTATACCTACATCTTTGGCGTAACATAACAAAAATAGCTAAAGATTTCATCCCTTATGACACAACTCTCGGTTTGTAAAAGGAATGAAGCTAACTTCGTTATGTCGGTTTCAGCTAACTTCATCATGTCAGTGTGCGCGCGCATCGTAAAAACTATATAGTAGGGGAGCCCAAGAGGGGATTTTTAGTTACTCAAGCGCGGCAGATCATACATAAATTTTATAGTCGATTTTTGCCTCTTCAGCTTATGCAAAAATGCAGATTATTGAATTGCACACTTTTCAGGATAATTAAATGAAAAAAGAGGGAATTAGCCCACTATACCTTAATCTGACGGTTTCAAGTATTTCTACCTCATCAAAATATTTTTTAACTAATTTGATCGGCCTTTATATAGAGGACATATATTATGGTGGAGGTACTCAACAGAGTGCAAGGTCCCCCCCTGATGTTGATCTGCCGCGCTTGAGTAACCCCACAAAAACCCTTCTTGGGCTCCCCTACTATTTCTCTCATATTTTTTTCCAAACGTGTCAAAAGAAGTATAAATCCATAAATAACCTATAAATTTTAAGAAGTCCTATTTTTTTAAATAAAATTCGATCTTTAAAAAATAAAATTGATGTAAAATAAGAGAGAGAAAAAGGCAGTGGTAGCCCAGTGATAACGCGATCGCTTGGGAAACCGAGTGAAGAGGGTTCAAATCCCGGGTCTCGCACCTCTGTGTTTTTCATGTGCGAATCATTTCTAACATGATTACCACTTGCCTTACGGTGAAGGAAAACATCATGAGGAAACCTGCATGTCTGAGAGAACTTAGCAAGTTTTCGAAAGACATGTGAAGTCCGCCAACCCGCACTTGGCCAGCGTGGTGGACTATGGCCTGATTCCCCTCGTACTGAAGGGAGGCCCGTGCCCAGCAGTGGGACGATAAAAAGGGCTGAATACAATACAAAAATAAGAGAGTAATTATTTATATAGGTATTCGCTGATTAGCTGGCTTAGATTAGATTAAGATATCACTTAATAAAATCTGACGATTATTTTTGGTGATTACTATGCTAAAATTAAAAATGATTAGATAGGTACCCCAATCAGACATTTAAAATTATGGGCCTAGCTCGAAGTAGTTAAAGCTGGATTTCTTTGCTATTTGCTTTAAAGCATTTTTAAAAGTAATAAACATAATGTCAATATTAGTAAAATTTTGTGCGTTACCATTTTCATGAATGAAGAAAAAATCTTTTTATATTTCTGATTCTATCGTATAAAAATTCTTTAAACTATCTTTAATTTTATAATCTTTCACTTTTTACCACTTATACGTACGTTTAAAAATATTACGGTGAATTGGTACATAAAACTCAAATTGGCTAAACGGCTAAAACTAAAAAGCATATACAATTTATATGTAAAACAAAATGTATATATGTGTAATAAAAAAATAATTAATAAAATGAGAACTAAAAATATTGAAATAAGTGGACGAAAGAACATAGCATTAAGCAGTCAGACAGACATACGAACATGTTTTTTTTGCTGCGAGATGTAAATATGTCTTCGACTGCATAAACCTAGTATAGTATTATGTGATCTGTGATAATACTATGTAATTGTAATCTGTTTCTTTGTCAACTTGCGTTCATATTTTTAATCTCAGTTTACGCAGTTTGGTTTTCTGTTAGCTGAGCATAAAGGAAAAAGCATTGGTCTCCGACAATTTCATGGCATTTTATATAAAATGTTGAATACTCAAAATTTATAACCTAAGCTTTCAACATTTGTTTAAAAATTAAGATTTAATAATTTATTTGTTTGGACTATTTATTATGTTTTACTATTTTGACATGACATTATAAATCGGGTTCCTTTCACGGCAGTACATTTTAAAATAGTAATTTTAATTACATAAAGCTAAACCTGTTTAATGATCTGAGAAAGTATTTAGGCTATTTATTATTTTTCATAACATCTTGAATTAATTATTCTTTCAAATTTTTCATTATATACTTTTGATTACACGTTACAAACAATAAAATCGAATCGAGTTCAAGTCTGTACAATACATATTTTATCAAAATGCCCGTCTATCTGAATGTATATTAATTTTTAAATATTATGTAAAGCAAAAATATAAAAAATAAAGTTTTGTAAAATAATATAGAGAACATGAAGGTTATTTTCATACAAATGCCCTCAACACGTTACTTATAAGAGTAGGACCACGAAAAAGAAGAAACAAAGGAAGTGCGGTGTGACTACGCACTACAAATAACCCTAAAAGGACTATACCGAGTAAAACTATTTTTTTTTTCAATTATTTATACAAATACTACACAATAAATTTTTTTATAGACTGTGCTTACCAATGCGAAGTATAATAAAAAAGGTTATTTTTACTTCTCTCTTCGCCCTTGGTTAAATGATGGTCTCCTGTTAAGTAGCGGTAAAATGATTAAATATTTAAAAAACAATTTAATAATAATTGCTTTTTTCAATATTTGCTAATATATTCACAAAATATTTATTTATACTTGTTTTAAAATCAAGCAAACTTTTAGGTGAAAAATGGTACGAACGAAGAAAAATTCTTACACCTGCATTTCATTTCAACATTCTTCGTTACTTCAGTACCATTCTCATTGAAAATACTGAAAAATTTGTTGAAAGTCTCGAATTAGAAGTAGACAAACAAAAAACAGATATTTATCCTTTTATATCAAATATGACTTTGAATTCAATATGTGGTAAGTTAAATTTCCAAATGCAAGATATTACAAGTATTTGATACTTGCAATATAATAATACTATATAATATTGTGTGTGATTATAGAGACAGCAATGGGAACCCAACTGGATGAAGAGACGTCAGGCATAGGCAAACGCTATAAAGACGCAATACATACACTGGGAACATATTTCATTTATAGAGGACAAAGAGTATGGTTTCATATAGATTTTCTTTTTAATTTAAGCTCAGTTGGTCGCAAACAAAAGGATTTATTAAATTTATTAGGATCATTTCGGGACCGCGTAATTAAAAGACGTCGAGATAACTGCGACTATAAGAATTTATATGCAGATGTAAATAATGATCCTGAAGAAGATTTTTATAGCAATAAAAAAAAGCGGTTGGCAATGTTGGATTTATTATTAGCTATGGAGGAGCAGGGAAAAATCGATAGCGCGGGAATTAACGAAGAAGTTGATACTTTTATGTTTGAGGTAAGCACTACTTATTCTAAATTTTCAACCGACTTCAAAAAGGAGGAGGTTCTCAATTCGACTTTATTTTTTCAACCGACTTCAAAAAGGAGGAGGTTCTCAATTCGACTGTATGTTTTTTTTTTTTTTTTTTATGTTTGTTACCTCAGAACTCCGTCATTTATTCACCGATTTGAACAATTTTTGTGTTGTTTGAAAGGGTATACTTCCAGATTGGTCCCATTTAAATTTCAAAAAAAAATACCACCCCTAAGGGTGGAAAAATAGCGAATGATGAATTTAACCTACTTCTAATTGTCATATTGACTTGAAACTTTGCAAGTATTTCTATTTCCGTTGATAGTACAGTGGTTCGGTGTTGTTGACCTGATCTGATGGCAAGGCCAGAAGGTGGATAGGTGGAACTCTTCAACGGCTCATAGTAGATACTTTGAGTTTGAGCTTATTTTGTTTGATTTGACAAGCCTAACACGTTAGAATCCTTCCTTTTCTACTACTGTCTACACTAAAAAGGGAAAAATAAAAACTTTTTAACAAAAAAATAAAAACCGACTTCAAACAAAAGCACTAAAAAGTAAAAAATAACTGATTGGTTGTTTTCATTTACTATACATACCTAATCAAATATTTTCGAAGTCGGTGTGCTTTGGCTAAGTAATTAAAGCCTACCTATTAAATACATACCTAATCAAATATTTTCGAAATCGGTGCCAGCCCATACAAAGCAAAGCACACCGACTTCGAAAATATTTGATTAGGTATGTATAGTAAATGAAAACTACCAATCAGTTATTTTTTACTTTTTAGTGCTTTTGTTTGAAGTCGGTTTTTATTTTTTTGTTAAAAAGTTTTTTTTATGTTTGTTACCTCAGAACTCCGTCATTTATTAACCGATTTGGACAATTTTTATGTTGTTTGAAAGTGTATACTTCCAGATTGGTCCCGTTTAAATTAAAAAAAATACCACCCCTAAGGGTTGAAAAATAAGTAATGATCAATTTAACCTACTTCTAACGATATTGACTTGAAACTTTGCAAGTTTTTCTATTTCCGTCGATAGTACAGTGGTTCGGTATGGTTGACCTGATCTGATGGTAAGGCCAGAAGGTGGATAGGTGGAACTCTTCAACGGCTAATAATAGATACTTTGAGTTTGGGATTATTTTGTTTGATTTGACAAGCCTAACACGTTAGAATTCTTACTTTGCTACTACTGTCGACACTAAAAAGGGAAAAATAAAAACTTTTTAACAAAAAAATAAAAACCGACTTCAAACAAAAGCACTAAAAAGTAAAAAATAACTGATTGGTTGTTTTCATTTACTATACATACCTAATCAAATATTTTCGAAATCGGTGCCAGCCCGTACAAAGCAAAGCACACCGACTTCGAAAATATTTGATTAGGTATGTATAGTAAATGAAAACTACCAATCAGTTATTTTTTATTTTTTAGTGTTTTTGTTTGAAGTTGGTTTTTATTTTTTTGTTTAAAAGTTTTTTTTGTTACTATCCTCATGACTAAAAGTTTATTATTCTGAAAAATTAATTATAAAAATATTTAAAGTACCTACTGTGTATGTACTATTACCACCTATATTATATATGCAACTGGTAAGCATAAATAAATTACACAAAAAATGAAGGAAAAACTCCGAAAAGATAGTTTTATTTAAAATGTCAAATATTCGCGTAAATCTAAGAAAGTATTATGAATTACAGAAAGATAAAAAAAGTCGCGCTAAATAGAATATACCTACCCGCAATACTAGTTTTCGGTGGCATTTTTTTTAAATATAGCGGCGTAAGAAGCTGTCGCAAACTCGGAACATTAATAAAGGACACCAAATTTTTTTGTTACGAGAGCAAATTTTTATGTCTTACGTAACAATATTTTTGAAATGAAGTAATTACATAAGTAACATTATTTATAAATTAAATACAGCAGATACTGTCCTCCACTTTTGAAAAGATAATATGATATTATTATTTCGTAATCAGATAAATGATTTATGCGGCCATACAAGAATACCAAAAAATGACAAATTAGTATAAGCAATATTAATTTACTTAATACCATTTATGTTCTAGGGACATGATACAACTGCAACAGCTCTTCTGTTTACTCTAATGTTACTGGCCAACCATCAAGAAGAACAGGTAACAAATAATTTTAGCTCTGTATTTTCAAAACTATATATAAAAACTCAGGTAATGAGATCCTTTAAGCTATTCCTGGTGTTTGTGGAATCGATTTAGTGGGTAAATTAAAAATGTATTTTATATATTATAGTTATCTATACATACTCGTATGTATAATAAAACAGTAACTCTGCGAAATCCGTACAAAAAATATTTTTTTAAAAACTACGACTTTTAACTAAATTTTGTGTAGTGGTAACTTATTACTCTGATCAATATTTAGGATACCTTTTACTATAGGAAAATCTTTCATTCCCACGGGCAAACACAATAACCGGTTCTATCAAGTCGTCCTTGGAAAGCTAATGCTGTATTAACCTTATGACGTACCTACATCAAAAAAATGAATGAAAGTTGTAGATCTTAAAAAGGCATACAAAAAAGTCCCCAATATCATATGTCTATCCCTAACTTACTCTCGCAATATCTACTTTTATGATTTATCTATACAATAATAAAACAATAACTTAGCGAAATCGATGTGCGCGTTTCAAGCAAAAAGTACTGAACCGATTCAAACTAACAATAAATTTTACTAAGTGATAACTTATTACTCAGGTTAACATTTAAGATACCTTTTACTACAGAAAATCTTTCATTCCCACGGGAAAAGACAATAACTGGTTCTATAGATTCCTTCTTAGAAATAGACAAAAATTTTATAGATTCGGCCTCTGTATCGATAATAATGACTATTTCAATAAGATTTTCCAAAAAAATATTTAATGTACAGATTCGGCTGTTAGAATTTTAGTATATGCTTTACCCAAGGTTTGTGCTTTACCTGGGTTTCCTGTTAACTAGGTTCTCTATAGATTTAACTTATTTATTATAATAATTGTATTCATAAGATTAATAAAAGTCTAAAATTTACCTATATTACTTATACAATATTATAAATAGAAAAATATTTATATATATTTTTTTTTATATTTAAATAAGAAATATTTTTCATAAATAACTTAAATGTTATAGAACAAAGCCTTTGAAGAATGTTTCCAAATTTTTGGTACATCTAAACGGATTGCTACAATGAGTGATTTAGCAGAGATGAAGTATCTAGAAAGTTGCATCAAGGAATCACTGAGGCTTTACCCACCTGTAAGCATCATATCGAGGGCTTGTGACGATCCACTTCATCTAAGTAAGTAATGTCATTATAATTTTGGTAACCACTAAACATAGTAGAAATTGTTAGTAAGCTAAAAAAAACAGTGTCTCGGTAATGTTATTTATCTAACATTACCGTGACCTCGTTATCAGTGACGACTTGTTGTGATGTTTATTTATTAATTAGGTATTATATATTTCGCATACAATACGTTCATTTTCTTCCCTGGTAAAACTTAAAAACCTGCCTTTTAATTTCTGTTAACGGTTACATATCTCATTATAAACTACTAACGGCTTACCCTCGCTTCCCTCGGTTTCGCCTCCAATCTAATCTATCTCACAGGAACCATACATCTTTCGTAATAAAAAGTAGCCTATGTGTTATTCTGATGTATGAGCTGATGTATATTATTGCAGTTTTTGCGTGAAAGAGTAACAAATATCCATACATCTATACATCCAATACATCCAGACATCCATACATCCTCGCAAACTGGCGCATTTTAATATTAGTAGGATTATCTAAGGCTGTCAAAATGTCAGCTCCTATTATAAAACCGTTAGTTAGTTTGAACGTTGCGTTGATTTATTAAGGATTTAATTCGTTTTATAAATCTTATGGCTTTTAATACCAAAAATAGACATTTACCCTTTAAACTTAACCTAAAAAAAAATATCTTTTTTTTAGGATACTACAAGTGTCCACCTGGTACTAGCTGTACTATATCCATTTTCGACTTACATCGACGTAGTGATCAATTTGTGGAGCCAATGCGATTTCGTCCGGAAAGATTCATGGAAAAACCTACTTGGCACACTTTTGCATATATACCATTTAGTGCAGGACCTAGGAATTGCATAGGTATATATTTATATATGATTATATTTTAGATATATATTTTAGATGATTAATAAATGTTCTAACTCTAAATTGCACTCTTGTGCACTTCGATAGTTGCCATATTAATAAAAACATGATACTTAGAGATCACAGGTTTGATTTTACTATTGACTTTTGACAATGATAATGATGAATAAAGAAATAGAGCAAGAATAGGGAAATGATAAATGGTGAATAGGGAGAGTTTGCTCTCCTCTGCTTAGGCTAGAAAGTATCAACTGCTTATAATTTTGACGACGAAATGTATTATTGTATTGTTTTTGGTTTCAACTAACACTGATAATATTTAAAAACAGTAAATGAAATAAAAAATTGATAATAATAAATTTTAGGAAACATGTGAATATAATGATAATGCTTTTTAATTACGTTTCCTTTTGCTAATTATTTTTCAGGTCAAAGATTTGCAATGATGGAAATGAAAATAGTGTTGTCAGCGGTGCTACGTAAATATCGGCTGTTACCTGTTACTAAACCTCAAGATATTAGTTTTATCGTTGACATAATTCTGAGACCAAAGAATCCCATTTATGTCAAATTTGAAGAACGATAGAGAATATCAGAAATTGTTGAAATAAAACGAGCACTTTCTATGTATACATGCGCCTATGTTTCTTACTACATATATTATTCCTATTTGTTTTGACGTATGTAGGCTAATCAATTTCCAATAATTCTCCAATTAGTCCATCATTAATTCTTAAATTTGTCATTATTTTAACAATTATCATTGGGCATGAGCACAAAACTTATGCAAGTTTCAACGTTTAAAAAATATATTCAATTCATTGCAAATGCAATCTTAATAAAGCAATAAAGAAATTATATATATCAGTATAAGAGGGGAAAAAGATAGGGGGCAAAAATTTTTTTTCATAGACGATTCTGGTCATAATAATCTTATAATATAAAAATGTATCGCTGAATGTGTTGGTAAGCGCAAATCTCGAGAGCTGCTGAACCGATTTCGCAAAATTTTTTTTAGAATATTCCTTGAAGTGCGAGGATTATTCTTACGGAGAGAAAAATTTAAAAAATTGCCTGAAAAAGTCTAAAAACAACACTTTTCTATACTCCCATACAAAAGATTCGTAATAATACTTAAAAGTCAATTCGAACTTTAATACCATACCATAAAGTTTAAGCGCTAGTGGAGAGGTTCCAGGAAGGCAAAACAATTGAATGGCGTTAGTATCGTATAAATATTAATGTCAATATTTGTCAATATTATTAACAAAAATGATTAAAATTTATATGGCTAACGCTGGCTAATAACTATTTATATCTATTTAAAACGTACCTAGCGACGAACCCGAGCGAAGCGAGGGTGAGCCGCTAGTATGTAATAATAAATTTTATTAAGATTAGCAATGACTCAATTTGTTAGATTTATTTTCTATGTTAGTAAATTAAAATAAAACTACTACTAGTACTACGTAATTCATTGCTGTATTGTCGGTGTGTATTTGTATTGTAAGTTGTATATATTGTATTATAGTTGTGTTTAATGTAATGTACGTATGACGCAGTTTACTCGCAATCATTTCGACTTTTCGAGGATAAGATAAAGGTTCAATTATTTTTAAACGATCTAATAATTTTTTTACGATATTTTGAACATAGCCTTATTTTCATTTGAAAAGAAATCTCAAAATTAAACAAAAATTACAAGAACCTTGAACAAACATCAAAATAAAAAGTTTTTATATTTTTATTGTTTTAATAAAATATTTTTTTGTCTCTATCTCTGTTTATCTGTTTGTCTGTGTGCATTTCACGCAAAAATTACTAAAACGATTTTAACTAATTATTTTTTAGTGATAACTTATTACTCGGATCAACATTTAGGATATCTTTTACTACAGGAAAATCTTTCATTCTCACGGGAAGACACAATAACAGGTCGGCCGAGTTGTCCTTCATACAAAAATGTCTATTATTTAGACAAAAACTATTAGTAGCATGATCATGATTAACATATTATTATGCGGTAAAATCTCTTATTTTCATAGGAAAATGCAAAATTTAGTTCGAGTGCAACTCGCTCATCTACATACATATATCTATGTGTACATAGTGTAAAACAAAGTCGCTGTCGGTCTTTGGCTGCTTCTACGAGTACGCTTACTTCTTCTAAACCACGCAAACAATTTTGGTACAGTTTTCACAAATAGAATGAACGCCTAACAAGATAAAATTGTGTATATAATTTGTATATATTTTTCTACGAAATGGCTGAACTTTGACGGTGCGTTTTTCAAAAAAAGTTTTCGTGCACGTACATAACTAACTATACCCACATCAAAACAATTTACTAGAAAATTGTAGAGCTTAAAAAGGCTTACAGAAAAGTTCATAATAGTATGAGTGTATCTCCTAGGCCCCTAGGATTTTATTGACACTCACAACAACTATTTTTATCTATTTAACACGTACCTAGGGACTCACCCGAGAGAAGCGAGAGTAAGTCGCTAGTAAAATAATAAAATCTTTAAAATCTATATTTTGCGTTATTTTACTATTTATTTTCATTGCTAATTAAACCTCTATGCTATTAAACCTTTGACCTATTGTGCAAAATATTATAGCTTCTGACAAAGTGATATTATGTTCTTTACATGAGAGTTGTTGTACATGAAGCTGATTCAGTGGATAACTAATATTGACAAGATGCTGTCAATAATTCTATGTTTTTCTTTATTTTTATGTTTACTTCATTACTTAATACATTCTAATAAAAATGCCAAGTTATACTTAAGTATTCCTGGACCTCGAATCAAGTTTCTTATTGGGAATGCTCTAGAGATATTACTTTCACCAGGTAATTAATTTATAGTTTTTTTTTATCCCTTTTTTAATTCTGTTGCTGTTTTATCTACTCTTTTAAATATCATAAGTATTATGAGTACATTATAAAATTTGATTTTAGTGGAACTTTTTCGTATATTACGGATACATGCGTCTACTTACAAAGGCATTTACAGATACTACGCTTTCAGTCTTGGAACTATAAACATTTATAACCCAGACGACATAGAGGTAAACGAATTACCCATGTAAAATTAACGAATTTATTTTACTTAAACTGTTACACTTTAACCGTGTTAAAATTCAAATTAATGCAGATCGATTTCTATTTTCAATGTATTCTAATCAACTTTAAAATAACTGTAATAGTGTATAAAATTTTTCTATGCACAATAAAAAAAAACTTAGTTATTAACATAGAAACTGTTTATGATATTATATGCGAAAATGATGTTCTTAGTAAATAAAATAAATAAATAAAAAATAAATAAATGAAAATAAATAACTAGTGATCTGTTCCTACTGCTTTTAGATTCCTTCTTATTGACGAGTATTAAAAGAAAACAATATAAACTCAGTTCGTTTTATGCTGCACATAATATGCACCTTATTATAAATGCAAAAATATATATATTCAGTGATATGATAGTAACCTAAACTAATTTATGTAAAAAATATATATTATATTATGAATAGGTCGTGGTTTCGAGCAAGAAATATCACGAGAAAAGTTTAATTTACAAATTTTTAAATCCGTGGTTGCAGGAAGGACTTCTTTTGAGCAACGGTAATACTTATTATGTATCTTTATTTTAAGTATCTTATTATTTTATATTCATATATTGTCCATTATGGGGTAAAGGGAGCACCATTATACGACTATATCACTAAAGCATAAGTACTGTTTCGCATCTTGTATCATCATCAAGCCTCGTGATTTTTAGTGAACTCTTTGTAGAATATTAGCGTTGTATATTCAGTCTTTATCGGCTGATTTGATTTCACAACTTTTTCCAAGTCTATCATTAACTTTACACCTTATCACTTCAACTGGTAACAAAAGAGCTGGCTCGTTTTTTAGACAATCAATCGGAATTGCCATTCAGCGGGAGAATGCAGCTAGCATTCTTGCCACAATTTGTATGTCATGATTTGTACCAGTGAAACAGTCATTTTTTTTTTAAATATTTCTTGCAGATACAATAATTATAACTCCTAGTATTGGACAGTGCCATCTCTTTTAACAGCGAATTAACTTGTTGTAAAAATGTTATATTATTATGATATACTATTAGGTATCCTAAGCTAATTTTTTTTGTTGATGATGCTTTTTTAAGGTGCAAAGTGGCAAAATCGAAGAAAAATTTTAACTCCAGCTTTCCACTTTAATGTTTTACAAAAATATTATCCAATTGTCCAAGAGAACAGTCTACGATTGTTACAACGCCTAGATAAAACTAATGGCAAAGCCGTCGACATCACTCCCATTCTATCTGAATATACTCTAAACACCATCTGTGGTAAGAATTACATACAAGATAATTATTTTTATACTTTTATAAATATGGATCTAGTTTAATTCTAATAATGAATATTATTTCAGAAACTGCAATGGGAACACGGCTGAGCGAGGAGGCAACCGACGAAGCAAAATTATACATACAATCATTACACAAACTCGTAAATTTATTGTTTATAAGATTTCGTAATATAATTTACATTTCAGATTTTATTTTTAATATGTCTCCCACTGGAATAAAACAACGAGAATGTTTATCAGTCGTTCATCATTTCACAGAAAATGTCATACAACATCGAAAACAAAATTTTCAAGAAGAATCTGAAAATGAAAATTACGACACCGATCGCACACAGAAAAGAAAAGTTATGTTAGATTTGTTGATTACTTTTGAAAAGAAAGGTTTAATTGATAGTAAAGGTATACAAGAAGAAGTCGACACGTTTATGTTCGAAGTTAGTAAATTTGATCAGCTATTTTATTTTTATGGTGCTATTATATTTTATAACGTTCATTATTACTATATATAAATATTATTACAGGGTCATGACACGACGGGAGTAGGATTATGTTATTGTTTATTGTCTTTAGCAAATGAACAAGACATACAGGTAAATACATATTTATAGGTATTGTCTATATAAGTATAATACAGTGGTCAAATCGGTATTTGAAAGTTATATATTACTAGCATTGCCCGCGGCTCCGACCGCGTTCAGATGACCAAAAACCAAATTCTTAGGTTCCACATATTAGTATACTCTTACAATGCAGGTTTGTATTTTTTCTCAGAAATGAGACATTTTCCCGCGGTAAAACGTATCCTATATTTTGACCCGGATAACCAGCTATCATCATACTAAATTTCATCAAAATCTGTCCAGTGGTTTTCTCGTGATGCGGTAACAGACAGACAGACACAAAAATTCTAAAAACTATAGATTCGAACTCTGTATCGATAATAATGTCTATTTCAATTAGATTTTCCAAAAAATATGTACAGATAATGTTCTGATTCGACTTAGTTACAATTTTATTATATGTATAGATTTCATAATTTCATCATATTTTAATATATAGATGAATAAATATAAAATCCAGAAAAAATCATTTAAAAAAGCTTCTATATTATACTATCTATTTCATTTTACTAGTAATTCATTTTCTTTCAGGATAAAGTGTACCAAGAACTGGAGAGTATATTTGGTGATGATACACGACCAGCTACTATGGATGATTTGGCTAAAATGCGCTATTTAGATTGTTGTATTAAAGAGTCGTTAAGGCTCTATCCACCAGTGCCGTTTATAAGCCGTAAACTACCTGTTGAGACTGTTCTTAGTAAGTTTATTATATTTAAAAAGGCTTAATTTTAGTTTGTAGTTAGAGTGTGTGTTGTTAGAGAGTGTATGTGTGCGTCTCTATCTACATTTAATAATGTATTAAATAGTTTTAAAACTGATCTTGGTGATATAGTGTGATTTAAAAGAATATATGTAGCGACATGTCAGTCCTGTTCGTCCCCGTCTTTTAAAATTTCTTTCTTCTTTAATATTTACTTTTTAAAATTGATCTTTAAAGCAGCGTAGCATATGATGACGCTAGCCTTGCAAAAAATTTAGTAATTATCACATTTAAGAATTTGAGTTGAATTCTATTTATATTTTTAGGTAATTACACAATACCAGCCGGGGCAACATGTCACATCCATATATTTGATTTGCATCGTCAAGAGTATTTATTTAAGAATGCGCTTAAGTTTGACCCGGATCGATTTTTACCCGAAAATAGTGTTGAGCGACACAATTATGCGTACATACCATTCAGCGCTGGTCCTAGGAACTGTATCGGTGAGAGATATTTTTTTTATAATTTTACTTTTTTAACGTTTAAAAACTTTTCTTATGCCAATTTTTTCTATGCGATATGAATTAAAAATGATTGACTTTAAAACACTTTTCATTTCACATGTTTTCAGGAATTCATTTACCTACACTTATGTAATAGAACCTGTGCTATTAAAACCATCTGTCTGATAATCTAAAACATATGTATTTAAAGTTATTTTCCTTTATATCCCATTATAGTTTTATATAAGTTAAACAAAAACCGTAACATTCATTTTCAGGTCAAAAGTTTGCTATGATTGAAATGAAGTCTGCTGTCACAGAAATCTTAAGAAATTTCAAACTAGTTCCGGTCACCAAGCATACGGATTTAAAATTCGCTTCGGATTTAGTGCTAAGAAACTCTGGACCAATTTATGTCAAATTCGTAAAAAGAAATAGTAATTAAATAATTAGTCTATGTCTGAACATTTGGTCCTAATATTATACCAATCCAAATACTCCAAATCTCAAAAGAATATGAATGATTTTTAGTAGTATCGTGAATACATTGAATTAACTAAAAGTTACAGTGTGTTCTTTGATTGGATATTTGGTCTTTGATAGTGCCTATTGAGGCAATATAAAAAATATATGTTAGGTTACATTACGACCAACCGAAATCAACATTCAATTGAATACTCTTAAGTCTTGTTAATGGCTTTAAAGCGTGCCAGCAATATATAAATATTATATTTATTAACAATAAATTTAATCATTAAAAAATGTAAATACATATATTATTATTTATTGTTATATATTGTTGTTTATTAAATACAAAAATATCCAAACAATATAGATTCCATTTATCTACACGTAATTCCTAAATAACAAACTTCTTAGGAAAACTCGTAGAAATTACACTAAATAATATGTATAATAATGCAAAATATCTTGAATAAGTGTGCATGTCCTAGAAACATATTCGCAATCGCTAAAATTCTTTTGACGTGAACATTCACAATCATATACAATCTAAATATAAGTTTATTCCCGACACAGTTCTTGGCACTCCTTGGGATAGTATTTATAAGCGACAGGCGGAAAATAGTTGTACAGTTCAGTTAGGTAAAAGACGACGCCTCATTCGCAGTTCAAACTAATATATTAGTGTCGCGATACTTTGTAAAATCACGTGTCTCTTCACTACGCATGCGCCTTTTGTCTAAGTGCAGTTTTGACGATTTTATTATGGAATACGGCAATGATTTTGAGGTAAGATCGTTTATATATTTACACATTAATTTACAATATTTAAAAAAAGATTGTATAAATTAAACGAAATATTTTTTTTTAAATATATATATATATATTTGTAAATTGTAATTAATTTTATACCTTTTTAGGTCTTAAAATAATAATGAATTGTATTCAATTATTCATTAAATTTTTATTATTTATTATATTTCATTTTATTATTATGCTTTAAATACATATATTATTATGTTATACCTCTTCTGATTTTACGGGCTCTAAGAAACCCAGTCCTTTAGAAGGCTTGCGTTGGGACACAGGTCCAACACGTAGCCCCTTAAGAGATTCAATTTTCACATGAGCCTGGATCCATCCATGAGTAACCCATAGAGAATTGCCCAAAGAAGGTCTTTATATTATACAATTATTATTTATTTTACTAATGTAGCACTTAGTTTTAAGCATTATTTACCTTATAAATGTCTATTTTTAACTATTATATTAATAATACGGAATTTAGCTGTAGGCAAGTACATATATGTAATTTTATGAAGCCTCTTTATTTTTATTTTCATTACATTAACAAAATACAATAACTTGTAAGGTAAAATTAATTTATTTCCTTATAATAATATTATAATTATTTATTTCCTTGTTGATCTCTAATATTGTAACGAATTTTCGTAGTCTTGATGATGTTATGTAATGGATGGTATATGTTAGTAAGTCTGCCTGACGTCGCTTATACTGGACACAGCTTTTTCCTTTCGCCGACAAAATCGGAGATTCTATTATCATAGATAACAGTTTTTCATATGAAGATATTTTAAGTGTTTAATAGCATAAAACGATATAGTGTAATATAGCGGAATGGCCGGTAACGAAGCTTTTCTTTTTTAATATAAATTAAATAAAACAAAAAGAAAAAAAAACAAGAACAAATCTATCCCTATATTTAAACGTAAATTATCCGTAACCGTATATTTTTCTGGGATAAAAAGTAGCCTATGTGTTATTCCAGACTATATTATCTATCTTTGTGCTAAATGTCATCCAGATCCGTTTAGTCGTTTTGGCGTGAAAGAGTAATAAACATCCATACATACTTTACTCACAAACTTTTACACTTATAATATTTATATATTAGTAATATAAAAAGCGAATGCATGACTAAACTACAATAAACACGAGTGTATGAGTATACTATGTTTACTTAAAATACGTAAATACCACTGTTTTGTTGAGGTTTACTTGTTGTTTGTGACATTGTGAAAATTTTGAAATAAAATGGTTTATTTATACATAAAAGCTTTATGCCTAATAAGTTTTCAAAATTTGATTAAATGTTAATATAATACGACTGAAGCGAGGGTGAGTCGGCTAGTAATAAAATTTTATATAAACTAGACTCCTATTCTACAGGAGATTCCTTAAGAGTGTTGAGAATTTTTTTAAATAAAAACTTATCACACCGACCTTGTTGGTTATCTACAGTCATTACCACGGTCAGTGAAAAACTGTCTAATACCAGCTCAGCTGTTTCTATACACATAGTAAAAAAATATATGTGAAAATATTAGTCTTTACTCTTTATTTCTATTTAATCATACTCAACTCAATTAATAATTTTAAAATTTTAGGCACTTTTTAATTGTGTTTGCAAATGTTGATGTAATAGTATAGACTTAGTTTTTGGAAAAAAAACAGACAACTCGTTTATTTGTCTTACTATCACGTCCTATAAATTCATAGAAAATTGTTCGAATTTCTTGATGGGTAAATATAGAAATTTTATACATAAATAAAATAATTGCCTCGTTGTTCTGTGGCTAGCATATACGACTGTAGATTTAGAGTTTAAAACCCAACAAAACCTTCCCCGTCTTAAAGAGGCATTGCAGGATCACTTACGCATTCATCCCTATTTAAAAACTCCAATAGGATCTCATCAAAAGCGACAAAAGCCACATAGAAATCAATAAATATTTATTGGTATAATAGGGAATTACGACGTCCTGACGGAAGGTCTTCCAAAACAGACCACAACAACCAACCACTTTTCTGATAGCAGAGAGGTAAGTTGCTCTCACGGTCTACTCTGCTATCAGAAAAGTACCAGGAGCAACCCACATGGTACACCGCCCATCGAGGTGGGCCCGGCTGCATTGCCGGATGGTTGCTCTACCACGAAAAGGTGAACACACATCGGGGGGATGGCCATTGCCACTACGTTAATTGGGAAACTATTAAAATTGTGAAAATTACAAAAAAAAGTAAACTAAGAAAATTCTTTTAACTTTCTAAACAGTACGAAACCATACATTACGGAAGTCTGGCTCGCATTCAGATACCTTCATACTATGCTACTTAGGTATATCTAGTATTTCTCCTACAAAATTGATTAATATACATATATTTATATATTAACTAGCAGAACCCGCGGCTTCACTCGTCCTAATACTACAAAAAAACTCTAAAAAGGTAGGCTTCATACAAAATTTAATGTGCTATTTTACCTCTTTTTGAGATCGATTTCGAAAAATGCTAAAACATGTATTTATTTAATTGTATTGAAGAGCATTAATACCAAGTTTCAAGTAATTGTTAGTGTTGTGTTATAACGTGTTTCCCTGTGGGAAGTAGATGATCTTCCGCGGTAAAAAGTAGCCTTTGTCACTCTCCAGCCCTCCAACTATCTTCACACAAAAAATCACGCCAATCCATCATTCTTTTTTCACGTGAAAAAAAGACAAACAAACAAACAAACAAACAAACAAACAAACAAACAAACAAACAAACACACTTTCACATTTATAATATTAGTATTAGTGAAGAGAAAACTTTGAACCCCTTTTTAAGCATATTGCATGTAAGGAGGAGTATGAGCTCTGGCATAGTTAAAGTTTATATAGACAAGGACTGCAGAAAGCCAAAATCTATTGATATTATTTTTATCCGCGAATCTGCTCGCATATTATATTTATGTAGGCATATAATATATAATCACTTCACTGCTAAAAGATGCAGCACGATGTTAGATAACACTCATCAATATTATACGATTAGGTACTTAAGTACATAATACATAATTTAAAGACGGATTTGCTTGTCTGTACGTGCAAATCTCTGAATCTATGGGCCCGTTTTAAAATTCTTTTGCATTTTATAGGCTATCTATATAACTTTGAAAAAAAACCTTAATCAAAAAATCGATCATACTTAATTATGGTTGATTTCAACCAAGCGGCGATTACTAGTTTATATAATTACATATTATTACTTTAAAGATATTATAATAAAAATTATGCAAAATGACAAAGATACAAAAGGCAAAAAAACTTTATATATTTAAGTAAAACTTCAAAATATTAAAAAAGTAAAACTACGAAATTCCACTCTATGAAAAGATACAAAATCGTTTCATATGAAACACGTCACAATCGAGGTAAATAAAATTACTAAGATAAATGCGTGCGGCTCGAGGGGCCGGGAGCGACAGTTGGCGCCTGCGCGTTACAGTAAGGCTGTAAATTTCGAGCGTTCTTCGTTTTAGAACGCCGGCTGCCGTTATGAATAGCCGTCAGCTCCGTAGGCTTGCCTCCGCCAGCCGCCCTCTTTTTAAACATCCTTCAATATGCCTGTGCCACCGACAATACAGTCAAGTGAGACCCGTCTATGTTATAGAACGCCCTGTGAGTGTCCTTTCTGTTATGCTTTTCAGTGTACTTTCTGCGCTGTTATATATGACCTTGGTGACCGTGACACGGTTACCAGAATAACGCCGGGGCCTATAGGGATGATTTAGTCATATTAATATATATTTATGATACATTTTATTTCAGAAATGGCGAAACTCGGCACCAAGCTTCTATGCCGCTCAATCTATAGATATGAGGTAAGACAATCCACATTTATAAATCTATAGTCTATTTATAATATTTTCAATGGGACCAATATTTAAGACATTTATAAAAGTAATGTGAGAAGTGTTCTATTAAAAATCAATTGTTTTTAATAACTGATATCGACTCTTATTGATCTATATTAAAGTCCAGACTGTTTACGTCATAAATTTATCGTAGACGCCATGCGTCGAGTCCTTGTTCAATTCACCCCTGACATTTAAAATGCACACCATACTATAGAGCTAAAAGAATAATTGAAAGAATATTATCAGATCTTCGAAAATGTTGTAGCAGATATTAAAAATAACCTTTAATAGAAATAAAAATGTCAGATAATAATAATATTTATTGGAACCATTAGATTCTAATAGAATATAATATTCCCATTTCATGGTGCAGACACTACTCATTCGTGCACAACTTAGATCCAGCGTGAGTACCTTTCTACCACGGGACATTGCATGTTTTTAGTTCGTGTTTACATTTTTTACGGTTATTATATTACTTAAAATTATGCTTTAATATAAGATTAAATAAAAATATGCACAAAATCCAACATACGAAAATTCATTGCACTGATTTGCACTTTATAAAAAGATATGATAAGTAGATAAGGCATAGTAGACAACCAATACTGCTAAGAATATGTTGCTAAGATTATGGTAACAAAAGGAGACATTTTCTTCTTATACGTTTTATCTATAACAAGAAAAAAGATGCTTTAAAACATTATTGTAAAAATAACGCCATTAGTAAATCCTTGAATTTTTTTGTCGACGTTGGTTGCGATCCAAAAATATGAACGTCATGTGCTTGTTGATTTGTTTGTACATTAGATGATTACGTTGCCGACACACCCGCGCGTGACGCTTTAATTTCACGATGGTATAAATAGATTACGTGAAAATTTATTTACTATATATATATATATATATTATAAATTCTAGTAAATGTAGTTTGTGTGACTAATCCATCAAAAATTACTTAGCGGTCTTCTGCTACTTTATTGTATCTGTAGTTTCTTAGTTATATAAATGCATGGTTTACTAATATAGAATGAATTATTTCTTCAAATAAGAATATATTTTTAACCCGCAGGGTACGAGAAGGGTCACACAAAAATGCAGATGACGTCTTATTTGATATGTTTAAAAATGAAGATTCAGGCTTACTTCCTGTTGGAAAATTTTTGGCTGTAAGTTTCTAGTTGTATGCTCATATACAAGCACCAAACAGCACTATTTATTCATCTTAATTTCCCGTTTATACCAGGCATTAAGAACAACAGGAATCAGAAAAAATGATCCTCGAGTTAAAGAAGTTATGCACAACTTATACAAAGTCCACAAAGAGTTAAACCTTGAAGGAGGATCTCCAGAAACTTTAAAACTAGATAGAAAAACTTTTAAGGAGGTAATTTCACCAAACATTGTGTTAATTACGCGAGCGTTCCGAAGCCAATTTGTGATCCCAGACTTTCAAGATTTTATCAAAGATATTGAGGAAATGTACTGGGCAGCTAAAAGTAACAGTGATGGTAAAGTAGCCAGTTATATACCTCAATTAGCAAGAGCAAGTTCTGATAATTGGGGCGTTAGTGTTTGCACTATCGATGGCCAACGATTTTCTATCGGTAAGGAGTCCTTTTAAAAATTTGTTAATAATGTTATTTTCTACTTTTAATAAAATAAATTCTTTAATTTTCAGGCGATGTTAATGTTCCATTCACTCTACAATCCTGCAGCAAACCATTGACTTATGCTATGGCATTAGACACTCTAGGCCCTGACACGGTGCATAAGTATATTGGCACGGAGCCTAGTGGTCGGAACTTCAATGAACTCGTCTTAGATTACAACAGTACGTATTTAATAACTTCTTTGTATGAATCTAAAATTAATCTCAACCTAGACAGAATCTATCTAAAGTAATGTATTCGATATAAATTAATATTTGTACAAATACTTTCAGTTAATTCTAATATTTTATTGCAAAAAAAAATTATCTTTTAACTGAATAAGTAATATAAACATCCATTTATGTATATAAGTTTGTATGTTTTGAGTGATTCTTTAACTCAAGACCAAATTACTCGACCTATTTATTACGCGTTAAAAAAAATTGGGACCATAAAAAGGATATTCCTATATTTCCAAAATTAAAAAAGAGCAACAAATGTTGTAAATATCTATAAAAATAAAATATTTTTTTGTCCAGTTTTATTCGGGTATCCATTAATGCACTTTCACAATTTATTCAACTCTATATGGCATTTTCCAAATTCAATCCCTATTCAAATAAGATAATAAACTGATTTAAAATTACTGGGATCCAGCTTTGCTTTATTGTTAAAATATTATTTTTTATTATTTTATTACTCTAAATGAAAATTATAATATCAACTAAGCGAAAGCCTTTTTATTTTAGTGAAACCACACAATCCCATGATTAATGCAGGTGCAATCTTAGTTTGTGCATTGTTAAAAACACTGGATAAACCTGAGATGACGCTTGCTGAAAAATTTGACTACGTTATGTCATTCTTTAGCCGTCTTGCTGGCAATGAAGTATTGGGTTTCAATAACGCTGTATTTTTATCTGAGCGTGAGGCTGCCGATAGAAATTATGCATTGGGATTTTATATGCGTGAATATAAATGCTATCCAGAAAAAACTAATTTACGTGAATGTATGGACTTTTACTTTCAGGTAGGTTTTTTAATAATAATAAATTATTATTGTTTAATTGCCTTGTTTTAAATAAATATTTTATTTAAAATCTAGCGTTCGTAAGTCTTATTATAAATGAATTTAATTTATTTTAGTGTTGTTCTATGGAGGCTAATTGTGATATAATGTCGATAATGGCTGCTACGTTAGCGAATGGAGGCATTTGTCCTATTACTGACGAAAAGGTCCTACGGCCTGATTCAGTACGCAACGTCCTATCTCTAATGCACAGTTGTGGAATGTACGACTATTCAGGACAGTTTGCATTCAAAGTAGGTCTACCGGCGAAATCTGGAGTTTCCGGAGCCATGTTAATAGTGGTGCCGAATGTTATGGGTATTTGTACATGGTCTCCTCCTCTTGATCCACTGGGAAATAGTTGTCGAGGTCTACAGTTTTGCGAGGTAATCATTTATATTATTTCTGATAGTAATAGATATAATATATAATCGCATAACTAATCTCATGTTCACTTTGTTATTATTCTAAAAATTACTATATTATTCTTTCCAGCAATTGATTGACCGTTTCAATTTCCATAAATATGACAACATTCGTTATGCAAGCCACAAGAAAGATCCACGCCGTTATAAATTTGAATCTACTGGACTCAGTATCGTCAATCTTCTGTTTTCTTCAGCCAGTGGAGATTTAAGCGCTTTAAGAAGGTAAGTAACATAAATATTAAAAAAAAAGTAACTGATATTAATTGTATTATAGGGTACGATAGCTTTTTTGACTTGTAATCAAAACAAAAATAAATATTTATATTTGTCAGTACTTCAGATTGTCCTGACGAGTACCAACACGAAACTAAAGAACAACCACCTCCCTCGAGAGAATAAATTACATATAAATTCAAGTAATACCTATCTGCTAAATGAAAAAGTTGTAATAATCGCTAGAATTCATTTTCTTACGAATATTTTCAAATCACACTCTACTTTTAGCTCAAATAGTAATACATATATACCTACATATCAACTTATTTTAATCACGTCACTGTTATTTATATTCCGCAGATTTATGTTCTTTTTTAATTGCTGTTAAACCCACTCACTCATACGAAATAAGCTTTCTTATGAGAATACAAAATTGATTTATTTTGCAGCTACTAGTACTTCAAAGAATAAGGCAATGCTTTATAAGTACTTATATATTAGCCACAGCTAAATTCTTTTAATAGAAACCGTCAATAAATATATAATAAAACAAACCTGGGTTATTATTAATGACTGTGGTCTTTCGCTTTCAGGCATCATTTATCTGGAATGGATATGACACTGTCTGATTATGATGGCAGAACAGCTTTGCATCTAGCAGCAGCCGAAGGACACTTGGCTTGTGTAGACTTTTTGTTGGCGCAATGTGGCGTTCCCCATGATCCACAGGACCGTTGGGGAAGTCGTCCACTAAACGAAGCTGAGACATTTAACCATACTGCTATTGTTCAATATCTAAAGGAATGGGAAAGAAGTCACCCCCAAGAAAAACTGCTCGAAAGAGCTCCTGACCGGGTAGATGAAATTCTTGAAGTTAAACCAGATGCTGATGATGCAGTAAAAGACCCAAGCATCCAAGAAATTGTAACCAGAAATGGCGATAAAGTCAAGTAGATATTAAAATACATTCACGTTCATGAGTATGTAGAAACTTAGACTATTATAATCAGTATTGTTTACATATGCAATTTACAAGTTTGAGTATGTATGTTTATAAATGAAGTAAATGCTATAATATTGTTACAAGAATGATCGTGCCTTTGTGACGTTTGGTAAATATAATTTGTTGTTGGGAAATACCTATCCAAGGCTGATACTAAAAAGCCATTATTTCGAAAATTAAATAACTAATTAGGAGTTTCTTTAAAAGTTGAATATTGTTCACATTTTATCATGTTAAAAGTCTTTCTATGATTTGCTTAAATTATTATCTTTCATTGGGTATTTTTATCTAAAGCTGCTATGAATTGAGATTTCGTCTAATTTTATATTTCACTATGTTACATGAATCTCATGTCATAAAAATTGCTGTTTATTTAAACATAATATTTTTCTGTATTACATATTTATGTAGGGCTGTGATATTTTTAAGTTGATTTAAGCTATAATAAACTTGAATTTGCTACCGGTCTTCTATTTTCTTATAAAATTCGTTATTTATTAGGTATCATGCATAATGCAAGTTATAATTAAATCCAGAAAACACTGTAGTAGATACTGATAAAATTATATTCTACCTTTTATATTGTAAGCGTAGTCGTCATATATATACCATACCTATGTATGACGACAACGCTTAGGTATAATATCGTATTATATCGTATTGTATCATAATATATAAATAATACGTACCTACAGACAATCAAACGATGAATTTAAAAAATAAGCTATAAAAGTATTATCTTGATTTCGCATAAAAACCGCAGCTTTTTAATACGCATTTATTAGCTACACCTGTCTGTATCTATCTTTATAATCTTTGAACGCGATTTTTATCCACTTCAAAACGACAAATTAAGTTGCAAAATTAAACACACTTATCAAGGATCGATGACAATGCAATAATTAAGTGAAAAAAATATAATAATTTAATTTATAAAAGAATATCAAAAATCAAACACGCTTTTATAACCGATCAAACTAAATAATGGAAAATAAATTATAGGTAGTTTAAAACATGAAAAAACACGTTTTAATGATGAATCGAACTAAAAAGTAAAAAATATTTTTTTAATATAAGAATAAATTGAGTAGTTAAAGAGTTAAATAATGTTATTGGGAAAAAGCGTGGGGTACTCGATAATCGATATCATTGCTACGCCTACGACATTGGTACGATTTCTAAAAGCAGAGTTAGTATCATAGTGTAATAAATTGCTACATTTAAAAAGTTAGTATAAAAATATTGTACAAAGCATCCCACGCTTTTTCACAATAACTTTAATTTTCTCGTTAATTACTTTATTCTTATACAAAAACTATTTTTGACCTTTTTAAACTATTATTTATTATTATAATACTATCTATGTACCTATTTGTTTTAAAATTCGGAATGTTCGAAGGTAGGATTTACGACAGATTTTTGTGTACTTTCTAATAAATTAAAAAAAAATACACAGCTGTTAATTTTTTTGAATGTTTTAAAGTAGGTACCTGTACATGTCTAAATAAAAATGTATCTAAAACGATTTGTCTGCCTTTTATTTATTGTAAAAATGAAAGGCAGATATTTATAGCTTTCAACCTTAGATTATTGACATATTAATAATCTAAGCTTTCAACATTCCAGTTCCAATAATCTAAATAAAAATAATATAAATAATATATATATAGGTATTTAATTTATAAATGAAATTTAAAGACACTGCAGTACATTTGAATATTAAATATCTAAGTGAATAATATATGTAGATGTTTCCTATTGAACCAAATCGTTTTAAACTCTTTGTTATTCTATCTCAATGTGTGACAATAAAATTATTACATAGGTATATGTGTAAAATGGCGTGGTAGATTATTCAAATATATTGTCTGTATTTATGTCAATTAAATTGTTAAATTGATATAATGTGATTTTATTTTAATACGTACCTAATTTAAATATCAATTTTACCTCGTTGCGACTCAGTCCATAAAGTATACCTATAGTTAATTTAGTGTAATTTAATTTGATTCGAAATGTTCTGCCAATTCCTTTCTAGAAAGTGTCGATTCTTTTACCACGAATTATAATTCTTGGCGTGGTTTATATTACATTGACAACCCTATTCGTAACTATTTATTCTTAAAAAGAGTTCAGGAATGCTATTTCGGTGTAAAGAAGTTCTAAGTATACTATGCAACATAACAATAATAACTTAGTGGCAATTAAGCCTTAAGTAATTATTGATTTACTGTATTTTTTATCCCAGAGATAAAGTAAGTACTTAGGGAGAAAATGTTTCCCCCGAGAAAAGATAAGTTGTAATTTGGCGACAAAATCTTTTCTTATGTAGAACCTATTACTAAATCACTTTCATCAAGTATGTGAATTGTACATTTTATATTTGATCGGAAATGAAGTTTTTCGGAAAAGGAGAAAATGTTTTTATAATTTATTTAGAGTTCCGTACCCAAAGGGTGTTAACGGAACTCTATGATTAAACCTCCGCTATCCGTCCGTCTGTCAGCGGGCAGTATCTCTTGAATCGTACGTTTATAATAGTTGTATGCAAAGGTGGACTTATCTCTAGAAGAGATCTCTTCCAGCCAACCTTCGTTCATCAGAAATAGATTGTTAAAAAAACATATTGCAAGTTCAACTTTTAGCGAACTCAACGTTTTAGGAATTCAACATTGTGGGTCCAGTAAATTCAACTTTTTACGAATTCAACATTTTGGGAGTCAACATTTTGCGAATTCAACATCATAAGAATCCAACATTTTGCAAATTCAACATTGTGGTCCAGAATGGTAATAAGTAGGGTAGAAAATTGAAATTACAACAAATAATAAAAAATCAAGACGGCGAATTTTAAAATAGCCGCCATGCAAATTTTAAAATAAATCTATTAATACATGGTGGTAGTTTTCCAATTACAGTACTAAAGCGCATTATGCGGCATAATGCTCAACTTCGAATGTTTCAACTACAAGACTTTCAGCAAGGAACATTTTTACTCTAGGGAGACTTTCAGTACCTAGCAGAAAATATAGTGTTTTTTGTTCAAGGTGACGTTAGTAATATTTTTTTATACTTTATTTATATTATTATTATTATTTATTATATGTATGTATATAATACCCAATATATATAATTTATAATATATTATTTATTATTATATATTTATTAGTTATATTTTTTTCTTCCAACACTGAACCTAGTGCACTCTGCTGGTGCACTTGAAAACTAATTCACAATTCACGTTCCAAATAAGCATCAGCACATTTCTGCATAGTGACCCACCAGTGTGGCATTATACTTTGGAATTTGAAAACTACCAGTGTTACATCTTGTATGATTTAGTGTGCAATTCCAACCTGCACTTGATCAGTTTTTATTCTTATATGGAAACTGCTACATGGGTTTTGACTTTTGATCTGAACTGGTGTGATTAGTACTTAGTCACCATGTCAATGTTTAGCTGTTACTGAGAATTTCTTGACATACTCAGTAGCCATTCAGGGTCCGAACCGGGACTCGAACCCAAGACCTCCGGATCTCCAAGTATGTGTGGTATGTGTGAGTGTGGTGCTTGATTTCTCATGATCGTGTCAGAGTATTATCCCATCAGACTTTAAGAATGAAAGAAATAGAAAGTACTAAATAAAAAATAAAACTGGTTATATCTACATATTTATTACATTACATAATGAACTTTTACTAATTAGATTTTTCATTAGATGATGTTCGAATTGGTGAAGAAATGATGCCTAATAATTTACAGTCAGCTTCTAATAGAGTTAGATCAGTATCTGATCCTAAAAATCTTGAAGACAATTCTAGATCTTTTATTTGTATTCTCACTTTAGCTCCTCTTACATATTCTTCTCCTCTATTCGTGGGTCTTGTACATACACAATGAAACTTCCACCCAAAATCTATATACAAATCATCCTCTACAATGTGAAAGATTTTACCTATGACAATTTTATCAACTGGATCGCCAAGCTGAAAGTTAGAATTGTAATGATATTAATAATATTATTAACAAAATAATTGATAAGAGTAACATTTGTTTACTACGTACTTACATCGATTAATTTGGAATTTCTAAGTAAAGCAGCAAACGTTTGTTTTATCACAGGTTCATCTTGAAGCAATTGTGTTTGTTTCTCGAAAGACTTGGCGAATCCTCCTTTGTCAGAGGGAGTGCTAGGGATTTCATTTGAAATAGTTTCACAGCATTTTATTGAAGCTCGAAAATATCTTGAATTAATTAAATATTTACATGACTTAAAATGTCGATAACGAGCTACACTACAAAACATGTTTAATTTATAAATATTGTTAGTATATTTTAATTCTAACTTTTCACATGTACTATTTTCTATTTTGAAATATTTCTAACCACAAAATACCTACAAATTTTAACTAAATTCTGACATTTTTGTGCACAGTGCCACAGACTAAGTAGAAAATAGAAATGTATTATAATAATAGATAGACAGAACTATGTAACATATCGTAACGGTAATTGGGGAAGATTTCTCGCAAGGAGGGCGCTATACGTATGGCCTTTTTACATTCAGTCTGAGTTTAAGCAATTTTTTATGATATCTCTTAAGTACCTGGTTTTTTGCCTTTATTGTGTTTGCATCTTACCTGTGCAACGTATTGTTCATGGAAGTTAGATCAGCTGAAGTAAGATTTGAGAAGAAATTTCAAGGTGGTTCTGACTGACTGATGGATAAACATATAGCATAAATCGCTGATCGTAGAAACGTGAAATTTGAAGGACGTATAGGAATACGTCTACCAATATTTAGCATCCGATAAAAAAAAGTTTTTTGAAATTCATCCCCTAAGTGAGTAAAATAAAGGATTAAAGATTGTATGAAAGTCTGTCATTATTAATGTGAAATACACAGAAAGTGGTGGTAAATAATAAAAAATATGCATATATTTGATTTTTTTGGAAGTTCATCTCTTAGCGGTATATCCCCCTTTTAAGGGGGTAATGAAGTTTTTAAGGGCAAAGAATTATATACGATCAGAAACTCATAATACTAACTAATATTATGAAGGAAATCTCTGAATCTACTGAACCGATTTAGATGAAATTTGGTAAGAAAATAGTTTGAAATCCTGAAAAGGACATAGGATACTTTTTATCCCGGAAATCATCTCTTATGGGGGTGAAAATGGGAATGAAAGTTTGGTTAGTAATAAAAGTTATGGGGAATCAAGCTAGGGAAGAACCCGAGCGAAGCAGAATGAGTCGCTAGTAATAACTAAAAAACAATACTTGAAACTTTGTATTAATGTTCTTAAATACAATTAAATAAATACGCGTTGTTCGAAATTCAATCCCATAAAGAGTTAACAATATACTGAGGGCTTTTATATTAATAGAATTAATATTTGGCACATAATTATTGTTTGCAATATTTAAAGTCAGTGCCTACTTATTGTAATTAGTACCTACCGTACTAAACTATGGAGGGTAGTAGTAAGGAGAACCGACTCATATGAGACACAAGTTGAAAAAGTGTCCAGTGGTGAACTGCAAATTGTAATTCAGAAAGTCACCGATATGGCACTAGCGTAGAAAGTATTCAACACACTCCACTCTGTTTAAAACTGCTAAATTCATATCACTTCATGAATTTAGCAGTTTTAAACAATTGGAGTGTGTTAAATAATAAATTATTTTTAGCTAAAAATAATATGCAATTATATTCTTTATCGGTGTTTGTCTATGTTACAATTATTTTGAAAAGTGCGCCACAACAAAGCGGAAATCTTTCTTTACTTGTTTAATTCATCATCGTACTCTTATGGCTTTTGGCGCTATGTTCATCATTTAATCAAATCAAATTCATCTATTTGTTTTCTGTGGGGCCGCCAATTTGATACTTGTCAGCGGTCACTTTTTATACAAGAGATAGTTCTCCTTACTTCTACCGTTCTTAAACTATTATAAACTCTGTATCTCAGTCTGTTAACTGACAATGTCATTATGAAACGTCAAATAGTCACAACTCACACGCACTACAAATGTCTAGGGATGAGCAAATGGAAAAAAAAAGATATAAAACGTATCGCTATTTATTAAAAGTATCGATATATGTGAACTATAAAATATCGACATATCATATTTTTGCCCATTTAATTATGAACATAGTTAAAATATTTGAAATTTGAAAAATTAAATACACTTTTGGTAGTTTTATTATTATTTTTACCATTAAAAGATACAGAAGTAACCATTATTTAAATTATTCGTCGATAATACACATAGTGACACATATTAGATGAACACATGACAATATTAGTTTGTGTTTAAATTATGCATCAGCATTACTATGGTAAAAAAATTTGAATATTATGTCCTCCTCCTGATGGATTTCGGCCACGGCCTACGGTGACCAATCTCGCTGGGCCTATCCAGATACCAGGGAGATATTATAGTATACAAGTATATGCGCAAACACAAGTGCACTCTCACTATTACTCTCAAAGCCCAATGGGACGATACTTCAACACAACCGATGAGATTTAAGGCACAGGACCGACGGCTTTACGTGCTCTCCGAGAGACTTAAGTAAAACATAGCTAACTTCCCAACTCCGGGATACTACTAAGAATATCTTAACAGAAAAACTCAGTAGTTAAACTTGGCTCGACCCAAGATTTGAACCCAGGACCTCTGGATCTACGGTCGTACATGCTAACCACTAGACCACCGAGGCAATTAAAATTATATTAAAATAATATATATTGAATATAATACGAACTTGATACCCGGAAAATATAAATATCTAAAATCGAGAATAAAAATATTAACTATTTATATCGATTAATTTCTAAAAAAATATCGGTTTTTTGATATATCGATATTTCTACAAACCTACAAACGTCACAAGCGATCCACGGTTTTTGATAATGTCGAATAATTAGACAAATTGGTTATTGGGCCAAAGCCAGGACAATGACCGAAGATCAAGATGTTAAAGATTCACAATCTGATTCAGGGAGCAAAACATTTGTTAATAAAACCAAGGACAAGAAAGCGAAACCACATCGGCCGCTGACAAAAGTAATTAATATTATGGCCATAACATTGTTATTTTGGTGTGTGCATATGTTCCTTTGATAGTTATTCTATTTTCTTTATATTTTAGATTATACTACGCCGATTGCCACCGACTATGACAGAAGAAGCATTTATAGAACAAGTGTCTCCAATACCTGAGCATGACCATTTCTATTTTGCTAAACCTGATATCTCTCTAGGAAATAATGTATATTCGAGAGCTTACATAAATTTTGTTAATGTCGATGACATTTATATATTTAGAGACAAATTTGATGGATATGTATTTTTGGATGAGAAAGGTAATTAATATTATATATTATTACCAATTTGTTCTGGTTAACATTGCTTTATGAATAAATTTATTTTTAATATAGGTGTTGAATATGTTGGTATTGTTGAGTATGCTCCTTTCCAAAGAATTCCAAAGAAGAAGAAGAAAAAGGATCCCAAATGTGGTACAATTGAGAGTGATCCTATATTCCAAGAGTTTATAGAAAGCTTAAGCAAAGATCAAGAAACTGAAAATCAACCCAAATTGGAATACTCATATCCTGTAAATGATAGTAAGTTAATAAAATATATTTTTATTGTTAAAATCTATATTGTACTAGTGACTCACCCTCACTTTGTTTCTGGTTTGTCCCTAAACAAAATATCTATCCAACAGGAACCATACATTTTTCCAGGATAAAAAGTAAACTATGTGCTATTCCAGACTATAATCTATCTCTGTACCAAATTTCATACAGATCCGTTCAGCTATTCTGGTGTGAAAGAGTAACAAATATCCATCTGTCCAACCTCGCAAACTTTCACATTTATAATATTAGTATAGATTTGTAACATTCAAATTCAAATTGCTACTAAGGGCAAATAAAACTTCTTTCTTATTTTATATTTAAAATTATTAAGTTCTATACAATACTAGCAACCAATGTTGTATATAGAAAACATGCCACCTGTGAATTTGTGAAAATCTGAGCATTTGCTCTCATACTAAATTATTGCCAAATTTTAGTCCACTAGGTCAAATTAACCTGAATAACAATTCAGTCTACATAAACAACTTTATGAATATGTATAGAGATTGTTATTTTAAATTTCATTTTAACATTATTATCATCTATTTTGATACTATTATGAAATAACATGAGAATTACAATTTTCAGCAACAGACAAAAAAATGCAATCAACACCTTTACTGGAATATCTTGCTGCAAGAAAACAAGATAAAAGAGGAAGAGATGAACGTAGAAGACGAGAAAATGACAAACGTAAAATGAGAATAGAAAGGAAAGGCAAAGATCTCTCGATAAAGGTACACTTTCAAGTTTACTTACATTCTCATGTAAAACTCATCAAAATGTAAAACTACGAGTAGTGTTAAGTCTCGTTTTGAAATATCTTCATTTCAAAATAACATTCCAATTTTTTTTATATCAGTCTTTATTATGACAAAATTTGTTATCATTTTTATTTAGCTTAAAAACAATCAATTTGGGTCATTTGCCTGTTAATATAAATTTTTCAATTTACTTCAATTCAAATATTTTAAGAAAATGTTTTTATTATTAAATTTTTTGTTTGGCTTTCACAAATTAAAAGTTAAAAGAAAGGAATTTATGAACTTACAAATTTTATTTATTTATTCATATAAAATTTTTTTGGGGATATTTTTTATATATCCAAAATATAAATCAAAAGGTTTATACTAAAAATTATCATTGCTTTCAGATTTTCCTATGTTAATGTATTATTTTTAGTACTTAATACCTAAACATTAGTATATAGAGAGTAAAAAGTCAAGTTTAACTTTTTTATTCTACTAAGTAAATATAGTGTAAAATATCAAAATCGGCCAAGCCGTCTCCGAGAATTCGGTGAACATACATAAAAAACATACATACAGACAAACATAGAACTTGGAAATTTTAAGTGACTTCCAAAAAGCTGTATTTTTAAGTGACTTCTAAAAAGTGGTATTTTTAGTAGTCACTTAAAATTTCCATTAAAATCCATGTGGTAATCAAACAAAAATAATAATAGGCAATAATTTAATTCCACTAATGATTAAATTTTAATAGAATATTGAATGAACTTCAATTCAATTGCTATTTATTAATTGCTTTTTTTCTGTTGGACTACTCATTGTATAGGAACAATAAATCTTTGTTATTAATACTGAATAATTAAATTTGAATTATTTGAAATATTTTGAATTTGAATGGTCATATTGATGAAGTTTTAAATAATTTGCAGCTTACTTGGTGATATATACAAGAATAATTTCATTACTTGTATATAACGATATAAATATTTTTGACAATATAAATATAATAAGCAATACACGCAAAATAGGCGCATAGTCGTCGAGTTGCGGAAAATAGCCCGAACATACCATACCATACCATATAATAAGCGATAAGGCCGTCTCTTGTACATTATCTATTTTTCTGTATTTTTATTTTTTATATTTTTCTTAAGTACAATATAGAGTTTATTATTATTATATAGAGATCTGGTGACATATCAGAAGATGATAATTGCGATGATTATTATTACAAACAAGGAAAGTATAATTTTTGGTACGGAGAACAAAGAATCTATCATAAAAGTAAAGTAAAGTATCCTAATGCAAGTGTTGATTTGAAAACAAATGCCGGTTCTGATGAAATTACAAGCACTGATTCTGATTGGGATAGTCAATTTCCTGCTTTAACAATGAAAATTCATAGTACATTTACGTTAACTTCTAATAAAGATTGTTATAAGAAATATAGAGAAGAAACCAGCCAGAAAAGTGGTGGTGATACTAATTTGAAGGTTCAAAACATATTTTAGTTTGCCACTTTTTCAAATAATGGTAGATAAAATAATTATTTTAGGTTCGAATTATTTATATTATTTAAAATTTAATGTGTATTAGAAATACATTAAATAAAAAAACATGATATTGTGGCACTATGACCATCGTGCTATTTTGTTAGGATAGATTCTAATTTTATTCATTGTATTTATGTATTTGTTGTAGTATATAGACATTTTTGTATCATAATTTATTCATATTAGACTAACTGCTCAGTTTATATTCTATAGTTAAAATTAAAACATGTTGATGTATTGTGTTAAATATGTTGATATATGTATGCATTTATTAAAATTGAATATTTATATTAATAAAAAAATAAACATATTATTTTTTAGGAAGAAGATTCTGCGGACACGGATGTTAAAAGGATTAAGCCCAGGGAGGGTGAAAGGGATAGGTCAGTGGGTGAACTTAAAGAGGATGACTTTAAGGCGGACAATAAAGATGGAACAGTGTTTGAATCTAAAACTTATAAAGATCAAAGGAAGCTTGGTCTTAACAATGCACTTGACAAAAAGAAAAGGGTAGACATTGAAAAGAAGGATAACTTTAGCAAAGACGATGATGAAGATGCTGACAAACTTAAAAAAGAAAGACGTGACAAATTTAAAGAATCTCCACGTGAACAAAAGAGTAAAAAGTATAGTGACACTCGAAAAGAAAGATTAAAGCAAGCTGAACTAGGAAAATCCGATAAACAATCGGTAATCAGCAAGATAATGTCTGCAGAGGGCAAATCTAAGTCTCTAAACCATGACGACATTAAACCTTTCACTCAACTACCTCAAGTGAAGACTGATGACCTGACAAAGATGATCGAAGATATGGACCGCAAAATGAAATTTGACGATGGTCAGTCGGAAAGTAAAAATCAAGATAAATCCGAAAATGTAAAACAAGACTTAGAAATATCGAAAATGAGGAGCAATAGCTTAGATTCTGGGGACATGTCGAGTAAAGAAGATTCGCCGTTGAAAAGGCAAAAGTCTTTGGATGATAGAAGTAAATCTAGTGATAGAGAGGAATCTGAGGAGAAAGAAAAGAGTGAAAGCAGCGAACGTCGCAGTGAAAGAAGAATAAGGAATAAGGTAATTAGATATTGTAGTCAATTGTTAAATTGTTACATATTTCCTTAATTTTCTTCTTTAATTCTTACACCTTGCTACTGTGGTCGTCACAACTTGTTTGCATCTACTATCTCCCTCTGGCAACTGTCATTTTTTACATAGTCCTTTATATCCCTCTTTGGTTTAGTATTACTTCTGTAGCCATCTACAATCATACTCAATACTCTTTTGCAGATTTGATCTTTTTCCCTCAAGATTTTACCCTTACTGTAAAAAACCCATCACTTCTAAAGTTCTCTGTTACTCATATTACTTTGACTCAATCCTTCTTCACTTCTTCTTCTTCTTCACTTAATCTGGTCCCATATAGGAATTCCACACATCCATCTCAACATTTACATATCTGCCATATGTACCCTCCTTTCATCTGTTACATACTCTATTAAATTATTTATATTGTTATAATTTCGTCATGTTGGAAGTGCATAGTCTCGTCAAAAATATCGTAACGCTATTTTATTTGTAATGAAAGAAGATATTTAAAAATTCACAATTAATTTTATAAATATACTATACCTAATGAGAATTACATTTAAAAAAAATTATGAGTTATTAGAGAATTTCCCGAAAGCAAGAGATAGCATTTTGTTGCTTGTTTATATTAAATTTATATAAAAAATTAAATCCCGCACATTAGTGCGAGACAGTAGATATTAGTCTACGGACAACTCATACAGATATGCGAGTTGAATTATTTTAATATGAACAATTTTTTGATTGATAAGAATAGTAAGGGCAAATCTAACAGTACGTACACTTTCGAACTTGGTGGGCCGTACACCAAATTTGTACATAACTAGACCTGTATTTAATTACTACATTTATATTACTTAAATGGGTATAGAAACCTTTATGCGCCATCTCGTGGAAATTCTTCTTCTGATTCTCAATTTTGACGTTGCTTACAAGATGGCGGAAGGGAATCTTAACTCCTTTGAATAATCAAATCAAAATATACTTTATTCAAATAAACTTTTACAAGCACTTTTGGATCGTCACTTTTTACATTTGTTAAATTTAATGTCAGTATATTAGTCCGTGAGGAATTTGTCACCGGCTAGGAAAGCAGTTCTGCTGAAGAGAGCCGGTGAGAGACTTAACAGTTGCTCTCTTCTGTGTAAGCAATCTATGATGTGATGATGTTCTCCTAGCCGATTCCGGCCACGGCGGCCAAACTCATTGAGACTAGCCAACTGCGCAGGAGATATTATAGTGCACAAGTGTACGCGCAGACACAAGTGCACTCTCTATTCCTGTCACTCTCATACTCCGGTGGGACGACCACTCTACACAACCAGTGAGAGTGTCGGCGCAGGACCGACGGCTTTACGTGCTTTCCGAGGCACGGGGGTGAAACACCGCCAACTTCCCAACTCCGGGCTGTTACTGAGACTTACTATACAGAAAGACTCAAAAACTAAACTTGGCCCGACCCGGGACTCGAACCCAGGACCTCCGGGTGTGCAGCCGTACATGCTAGCCACTACACCACCGAGGAAGCAATCTATATATAATGTATGACACGGCCGAAATTGGTACATAGCGAACCAACTTCGGCGGACACGAAATAAAAGTAATTACATATTGTCGGCAGACAACACACACGGGAAGATTTGTTTCGGAGCGTACCAAAGCCGGTGTCCGGCCCTACCAATGTGTACGTAATATATCGATTAAAATGTTCCGTTCCACACTATTTCTAAACCTAGACTATTTAAACTTTTATCATTTTTCATCTTCTTTAGAATTTTCTTTAATAACATGTACGATATTCGAATTCTAACTTTTCTATTACACCAACCAATCACGTTCATGCCACAGACTAGCAACATAACATGCAATACGCACTAATCAAAGTCCTATTCAAAAGAAACCTATATAGAATATAGATAAAGGAATAAAATTAAAGTTTCTGTTTGTAATGTCGAAACAAAAGCTTTTTACTAAATGCATATGAAATTATATACCGTACTTATAAGAAAAACACAGTATTTACTATTTTTGTCTGTTTGTCTGTTCGTTCCGGCTAATCTCCGAAACGATAACGAAAACGAGAAATAGCTGATGTTATAAGGAATAACTTAGGTTACTTTTATTTTAGAAAAAGTATTAGGGTTTCGCTCAACAAAACTAAAATGTATCTAGAAACTGGTATGAAATAAATTACTTATAATACGCATTATTTCCCAGGATCGTCCCAGTCTAGTGATATACCAGCCGGGTATGGGCAAATTCAGTAAACAGCGTCTGGCGAAAGAAAAAGAAACAGTCCAATCGCCCACAGGAAAATCTGTAAACGACAGCGAAAAGAAAGATACTTGAGATAACCACATTGACTTCCAATACTCGGACAACAATCAACGGAATTACCCGGAGCTGGCATTGTAACGTTCTCGCAGAAAGTAGAAGAAGACTCTGAACGTGCCAACTCATGGAACTATGTAACCAAATCTGTCGTTTTGTTTCATTTACGCGCAAATTTGAGCCTTCCATTATTTTTTTATTCTTATTAAAATCAGTGTAACAACAAATGTTCTATTTTTAGCTTGTGACCTTTTAGTTCAGTTTGTTTTATTTCATTTAAATATAATTCATTTTTAAATGGGTCTTGGTGTTTTTTTTTGAGTTGAGTATATGTTGAGATGTATGGATAAAATCTATACAGGTTAAAAAAATTGAAGTGTCTGTTTGTAAAAATAACAGCTTTTTACTAAATGCATATGAAAGTGTATATATATGGTACTAATAAAAAAACAATTTTTAAAATTCCTCCTTAGAAACCTTTGGCTGGCTAAACCTTAAGACATACATCAAAGCAATGTACTAAAAAATTATAGATCTTAAAAAAATGAAAATCAATAGTATATGTTTACCTCCTTAAGAACACTCAATACCATACTTATCTTTAGGTACCTATAATAAAACTAACTTAATCAAATCGATGTGCGCGTTTCACGCAAAAAGTACTGCAGCGATTGTAACTAAATTTTGTGTAGTGATAAAACTTAGTACTCGGGTCAATATTTAGGATACTTTTTACGACAGGCAAATTATTCATTCCCACGGGAAATACAATAACTGGTTCTATCGAGTCGTCCTTAGAAATTTATATGGCCAACGCTTGCTAAACCTAAAGATACATCAAAACAAGCAATTTTGCCTTTTTCTCCCGCCAGATGTCGCGATCACAATAGCCCTCAGTATATTGTATGGCTCTATAGCGTGGGTAAATTTTTAAATTTAAATGACAAATTGTGCAGTGTCAAAAATGGATACCATTTGTTCCCAAAAGACAAAAACTGAAGACATTGTGGGCCAAAGCAGTAAGACGACCAAAATTGGCGAAATACAATCTTTGTATTTAAGGCTATGTGGACATCATTTTAAAGAAAGTAATATTAAAACTCTTAAAATTCGAAGTTGAGCATTATGCGGCATAACTAGAACGCTCCGCATAATCGAGCACTTTAAAATTACTGCTTTGGCGTGATGCGCGCAACTCAGTAGCAGTAAATATACTAAAACTTTTTTTACTTGCATATTTTTTTTGCGTTGTTTGTGTTTGTGCGCCAAAGTGCGGCATTATGCTCTGTAATTGGAAAACGGGGAATAGCACCTGCTCGGGGCTACCTAATTATTATTAAGTTACAGGCACAGAACAAAAATATTCTAGGGTTACAGGTATTAAGAAGGTATGATAATAAAACTGTTTTTTTTTTCAAAAATTTTATCTGATTAATATTTTGTATCACAGTGCATTAGCTATTACGAATCCTTATTCTTAATATATAAAAAAAATAACTTGAATTTGATTACAAATAAAAAATACTTAACTATCCACAATATCTTTGGCAAATATTAACATACAAATTAGTCATATGTGCGACATATTCTCTTGACAAAATCATGTTAACTAATTTAACTCAACAATATGGACTTAAGAATTAAATTTATTTTTAAATTAATAAGAAAATTCAATTTAATATTTTTGGTAGGTATACTGTATACCAGTAGCGAAGGGTCTTACCTTAAAATTATTTAACTATAATTTTACATACATTTAATTTTTTAATTGTATATTTTTGGAACGGCTTACCTCTGCTAAAATTTCACCATTCGCCACTGCTGAATACATAACACAATGCATAGGTAATAATTAGTATTTAGTTATTATAAGTGTACACCTAGTCAGCCTTTAAAAGCCTCTAATGTTACATTCGTGCCCTAATTTAGGATGTCTATGCACCGCAGCCGTTGGCTCCATCAAATCTTATGCCCCATTTCACCAACATCCCATAAGCTACCACCTACGTATGGGATCTCTAGCTTAAAAGTTCTCCTAAATTAGCCCCTAAATTAAATTTTGTTTTTACCATCGTCTCCATCGCCCATATTTCGAGCATCTAAATTTAGGGGGTCTTGTAACATTTAGGTGACCCCTAACTGTCGGTGAAACAGAAACTGTCCCCTAACAGCCCCCTAACCATGCTTAGGGGATCCCTTAAACTTAGGTGACGTTGGTGAAATCGGGCATTGACTGCCAAGTTTATCAAACAAAACCATCCGATGCAAAACACTCTGGTCGTTGGTTACGCTAGACTTGCAATGCTGTGAACCCAAATGATTAACGCGCCGGGCCAGTTTTCAGTGTCTACTTAGATGCTTACTATACATACAATTTACAAATCAATATGGCTCATTAAATTCATTCAAATATCTGATATACGATAAAATTAATTTAATTATTGATTGTAATGGATATTTTAGAAACAGTACAAAGAAAATCATTTTCTTGTATGTATCAGATCTTCGGAAATTATCATTTTTAAAGTATGGATGCATTCGTAGTACTATTTCGTTAACATAACATTGACATATAAAATAGACCTTATTGTTATTTTATATTTCGTAACTTTTCAAATATCTCACACCCGTATTCACAAACCGAACTAAAAACAGATCAAAAAGTGAGAACAGGAAAAACATTAAACAACGCTATTTAGTATTTACACTTCAAACTTCGAAAGTAAGTTCCAATACGGCTATAGGTACAGCCTTTGATTGAACACTCGTGAGTCATTTTAGTATTGTTTGTTAATACGTGTGTAAGCCAATATTTTTTTTTTAAAAGAAAATTATTTGTATCCCCAGATAATACAACCTAAAACCATAGGTTGTATGGTCTGTGTTTGTATCCTAATGTTTTTTTTAATAGTTAACCCTTAAATTACAAAGCTCGTGCAACAAGCAACTTTGGTTCTTTGCATCGCCTACATGACTAAAGCGTGCGAGCATCTGAACAGAAGACTTTATATTCTCTTCATTTATAGTTAACGTGCTTAATATCAATAAGCATAAATGAACAAAAAAATCTTTTCATTAAATATGGAATGTGCGGATGATATACTTTCATATCTATCTATATATTATAATACGTGAAGAGAAAATTTGAACCCCTTTTTAAGCATATTGCTTGTAGGGAGGAGTATAAGCTTTGGTATAGTTAAAGTTTATATCGAAAAGGACTGCAGAAAGCCAAAATTAATTGACTTTCTTTTACCCGCGAGTCCGTTTGCGCATTTTATTTGTTTATAATTATTTCACTGCTAAAAGATATAGCATGATGTTAGATAACCTTCATGAATGTTATAAGTACAAGTACTTACATAATATAAAGATGAAAAGTTTGTTTGTCTGTACGTTCAAATCTCTGAACCTATGGGCCCGTTTCAAAATTCTTTTGGATTTTATAGGCTCGTACCTATATAACTTTGAAAAAGAACCTCAATATCGATCGTACTTAATTATGGTTGATTTTCAATGACGGCGCGATTTCTAGTGATATAGTATGATAAATCTTCTAGTTGTACAAGCGTATGCTATGTATATATATAACTTTAATTAATATTATATTGAATAATTTTTACATCCAATTGTTGATTATGAAACGACAATAATTTGAGTGAGCTTAATTTTGGACGGACAGATGAACTTTAAAATTGTCAACTGTTCTTTGCCAGAATAGCACACAAGACTAATTCATTTTATCTAAAGAACTCAGTTTTAAACAATATATCCACCCCACCTTAATATTAAGATACGTCATTGAGAAGCAAAGCGGATGACTTTTGATCTTCAGTTGGGGGTATTTTTTTTACTTCTTTCAATGTTCTCTTAGTCTGCGCAACATTATGGCGATGCATAATGTACAGGAGCAAAACGAAGCCAACAAGAAATCCTGCGAGACCTCCGGTTATTGTCAACCATGTGCGGCGGCGTGATGACTTCACACTTTGAAGCTGAAAATAAACGTGGTATTAGTTAATATTTTCGCTTTACAAATTTTGTAAATTTTATTTTATCTTATAAAAAAATGGATCAAAAATTATGAAGGACAATATAAATTTTCCAAAATTTTAAGCAACACACAAGTCACACATGTGTATACTTGTGGGACAATGTCTAAAAAGTGTAAAGATATACGGGTATGAGCCGCAGGGAAAAGCTAGTTCTAATAAATGAAATTATTTCTTACCCCGGTGTCTAGACTTTTACATTCATGGTATGTTGTATTGAGATTTTCCGACAGTTGAATTGTAGGGCAATTTTCAAATTCTGTAAAAGGAAAAAAAAAATACTTAGTTATCTTAAAATTCTACTAGATAGGTATGGGTCCATTTCAGTATCCATTAGTATTATACCTAACTAGCAATGCCCGCGGCTCCGCCCGCGTCCAGATGACCAAAAACCAAATTCTTAGGTGTTATGTTTACTGCTCTTACATTGCAGTTTTTGTATTTTTTCTCAGAAATGAGATATTTTCCCGCGGTAAAAAGTATCCTATATGTTAACCGGGATAACCAGTTATCATTATACCAAATTTCATCAAAATCTGTCCAGTAGTTTTCTCGTGATGCGGTAACAGACAGACAGACACAAAAATTCTAAAAACTATAGATTTGGACTCTGTATCTATAATAATAATGTCTATTTCAATAAGATTTTCCAAAAAATTTTTCCAAAAATACAGAGTTCATCTTGTTTTCTTTTTTTTCTTTTTTTTAATACAATAATTTAAATAACTTAATAAGTTTAACTTAAATCTACCATTTTATATCTCCCATCTAATCTCCCAAATTGTGTTCCGGTATACCCACGTAAGTGATGCTGCTGACAATAGTTTGATCTCCTGAATGATTTTGGTGACGGCGGGCAAACTCATTGAGACTGGGCAGAAGAAATAATATGACACAAGTGTGTGCACAGACACAAGTGCACTCTCTATTTATTTCACTCTTAATGTCCGGTAACACGACAATTCGCCATGACCAGTGAGATACCAGTCGCAAGATCTGATTGATGGCTTTAGATCTAGAGCTCTCAGAGGCGGGGGGGTGTAACGCCGCCAACTTCAACGCCAACTATTACTGATAACCCGGGACTCGAACCCATGATGTAGTACCTAGGCCAAGTACTTACATGTTACTTACACATTACTTACTTATTTAAAAAAAAAAAATCATTACCTCTGGAATTTAACCTCGTGTAATCACTTAATTGAAAATAAATTTGTTTTTCTTGGAACCACTTGACGCTTAATTTTAAATCACAGAGTTTGATTGCGTCAATTGACTCCGTTAAGTCCAGTTTAGCAAGCTTGCACATAGAACTTAAAATGTGCACATCTAAAGTGGTTAGTGGGTTGTGGGAAATGTTGTATAGCACCAATTGTGGCAGAACACCCAGGTCCGGTAGTGTTTTTATTTTACAATCAGATAGATCTAACAGTTCTAGAGGAGCCTTTATAGGTTTTCTTATTTCCATACTGTTTAAGCTTAAGTGCAATAACGGGTTGCCGTTTAAATACAATTTACGTAACGAAGGCAACTGGAAAATTGTTTCGGGAAGTTGGAATATTACATTTTTCGAGAGATCTAAAGTTTGTAAATCTGTTAAGTACGCAAACGCGTCTTTATCTATTGAGTAGATCTGATTTTCCGATAGGTATAAAAATTTAATGCTTGTGTAATACGACAAAGTGTCCGCATGTATTTCTTGAAGCTTATTGTCGCTAAAATCGAGAATCTGTAACAGAGGAAAACAAAGAAATGATTAAATCTTTAAAATAATTATTAGTTAAATGTAAGCAAATATTTTTGAATTTTTATTGATTTATTATGAATGATTTTACAATTTCAGTGATCTATGCAATAAAAACCTGCAGTTTAAGGTGTTTTTTTCTTATCACAATATAATATTAATAACGCTCTGATAAAAGAAGTCTAAACAGCCAATTATAACTTTGTATAAGATAAAAACAGATAAAATAATTAATCGAGACGTGCATTTTGTTTTAAACTTTTGACGTATTTACTATATATATATCTATATAATGGCTATTACACACATTACATGGACATTATGACTGTAAATATCGATGAAGACTTAAACAAATAGCATTAAAACACATTTATTTCATAAGTATTTAGATAGAGATAGCATCAAGAGCGAGTTAAATAGATTATCTACTAATAATCATTTTTTGTTTTGAATACAAATATATTATAACTTACCTCAATTCCTCCTTTGAGACTGGGTATTTTATTGAGTCTTAAGCCTGCACAATGTGCGCCATACATCTCATAAGCATATGCGTAGGTACATCTTGTTGGTAAAGATGCTAAGGCTTCAATATCTGTTACTTCTTTAGCAATATTAGTGGCCACCAACACCGCCAGGACAATAAAATATCTGGAAAGAAAATGTTGTGAAATTAATAGGTATGGTATAAAGAACAAAAGTACCTATTGACGAGAAAGTATTACTAAAGGGTTATCTATGACCGGTATTTCTTTTACATTATTTATGTATGTACCTACAATATACATACATGTAATAAAATTGTAATCAAGCCGAATCTGTACATTAAATATTTTTTGGAAAATCTTATTGAAATAGACATTATTATCGATACAGAGACCAAATCTATAGTTTTTAGAATTTTTGGCTGTCTGTCTGTTACCGCATCACAGAAAACCTCTGGAGGGATTTTGATAAAACTTGGTATGATGGTAGCTGGTTATCCGGGTCAACATATAGGATACTTTTTACCGCGGAAAAATATCTCATTTCTGAGAAAAAATACAAAAACTGCCATGTAAGTGTATACTAATACGTAAAACCTAAGAATTTGGTTTTCGGTCATCTGAACGCGTACATATATACCAATATTTTAAATTAAGAAAATTTAATTATTTTTAACTGAGATTCCTAAAGTGAATAGTTAATCCTACAAGAATATGGTGAAGATGATATGATAAAGCGGACATGAAAAAGATTGTTTGTTTATTTCATTTATTCCTTTTTTCATAGGAGTTATTAAAGACAATTACGATAATATTTTAATAATCCATTCGGAATTTGAATGAACAAAGTATCTTTGATTTAAAAGAAACCAATTGATTCAAAAGAGTTCTCATTGAATAGGTATATCTACCGGCTACCAATAGAATAATAAGCCTGTAATTGCAAGCTATAATAGCAAACTCAAATACACAGATATACGAGTAAGTTGAATATGTTTATGTAGTTAAAAATTAAAATATATATGTTTTTTATAAAATATCAAACATATATAAAAGATATTTATTAATTAATATAAACTAAGTATATAATATGTTATCTTCGAGGATACAAGAACCTATTAATACCTATTATCGTATCCGATACAGTCTTCTAAACAGTACCAGTAATATGTTTATGTATTTTCTTCTTCGGGGTTATCGTACCTCGACCTTTGCGCCGTTCTCAAGTCATTACGTTCGAAGAAGTATAAGCAGTTATCAATTTATATTAAACTGATGAAATCATCCTCTTATGTGGACGGGTCCATGAATAAAGAATAGGAAGGTACACCTTAAACGTTCTTTTCTTTCTCATCGTGATAAATCTCCGTTGGTGATGAGTTTGTTATATCTTTAAACTAAACTCTAACTATTCACTACTCAGCCTGCTCTTCATCTATACTTACTAATATTATAAAGAGGCAGAGTTTGTTTGTTTATTTGTTTGTACGCGCTAATCTCAGGATATAGGTACTAATCTGATTTGAAAAATTCTTTTTGCATTAGATAGCCCATTTATTGAGTAAGGCTATAGGCTATATATCATCATCGGTATCAAATCGGTTGAGCTATTTTTTACCCAGTTAAGTAGGAACCAGTCCCTCCAGAAAATATTATTGAATCTAAAATTATTGCTTAAAAATCGTGCGACACCTGTTACGATTAGTATGATGGCACTATATCAGAATCTTTCCCGGTTTATATCTTGAGTCTTTGCAATGTTTAATTGCTATGGGAATTGGGATATATCATTGAACGCAGCATAAGTGGCAAACAATTAGATATATATTTAATTTCATATATGTACATAAGTATATAGATAATATACTTATGTTAGCGTTTATAAAATTATAATTCCCAAGTAATCTTAGGAAAATTAATAGTTACAAAGTAAATTAATATTTTTTTCTTTTATAATAAATAAGTACCTACAATCTACATAGGTAGTTAGTAGATGTGGCTCAAGATGTGCATTCTACTTAAACATGTCTATGATAAGGACTCGTGATCTATCGCTATCGCTTGTTCTAGATATTATAATATTGCATATGTAACAGATTGAGTTTATAACAAAAAGTAAAATTATATTTTTCAAGTTTTTTTTTTAAATCATAACACGTGCAAGAGCTTAATTACGGATACATATTTGAAATAGATGTATTTAAGTATAATAAGGTAGTGGGCACATCAGAATGGATATATCGATAGTTACGATTGACTATCAATAGAAAATGCGTGAAATTGGAATTTTGTCATCTCCACAATAATCTAGTCTATGATTCTAACCTGAAACTTATAGTAGACTAGCATTGCCTGCGGCTCCGCCCGCGTTCAGGTTAACAAAAACCAAATTCTTAGCTTTCACATATTAGTATACTCCTCCTCCTACAATGCAGATTTTGTATCCTATATGTTGACCCGGATCACCTATCATCATCCCAAACATGAAAATCCCTCCAGCAGTTTTTCCGTGATGCGGTAATAGACAGACAGACTGACAGACAGACAGACAGACTGAAAAAAATTCTAAAAACTATAGATTCGGCCTCTATATTGATAATAATGTCTATTTCAATGAGATTTTCCAAAAAATATTTAATGTACAGATTTGGCTTAGTTACAATTTTATTATATGTATGGATGTATCCACATTATTATGACGTATATTCCAGACTAAAACTAGTTTATTATGTTTAAATTTCAAACTATACAAGAATTACTTAACTAATTTATTAAAAGTTTATATATATGCAATGTTTAAGATTTCACTTTGTTATGCACACTGTTTGCATGTCGTTTAGATAAAATGAACACTTTAAAACAAACGTTAATTAAGATCCTATGTCACAATGGTAGGTTATTAGTAATTATTAGGTCTTTGATCTGGATTCAGAGTAGGTTGGAGGTCTACAATATCAGTCTCTTATTTATACCTAAGCTTAAAAGTTATAAATATTATAAAATATTGCTGGATCTATATAAAGTCCAAAAATACCTAATACCGATACCTAAAATACATTTATATTGTTGTCCTTAATGAACTCTGCTAGAATTACAACGGACCAAAACAAAATCTAGACCGATCCCTTGTTATGGAGCCCATAAAGGTACCAACTAACGAAATCATGAACATGATGATGATCAACGATGATGATGATATCATCTACGATATCGTCCATGCCATGACTAATAACACGAAAACATAGTAGTTAACTTTTTAAGCCAAAATTCTATATCTATTAAGATAAGTGAATGACAAATCACGAATGTGTATAAAACATTTCCTGAAACATCTATGTAGTATTTACGTCGGACATACGCCGCACCTATAATTTTCCTTCGTCATATAGTGACAATGTAAAACAACTTAGTTACTCGGTACTTACTCGTAATGTCAGCACATATAATGAAAATAATTGAAGTTAAATTAATACTAAATTAGCCAGTCTAAAGTAATGCAATAACAGTGTTGTGCAGCAGATAATAAGGGTCGTCCTCGCAACACAACAATAGGACGTCCATCTTTCGATCTTTCAATACATTAACTCGATGTACCACATTCATGGTCTCTACAGTATTTCTGTTTTTGTTAGGAAAATAACAGAAAATTATATAATAATTATAATATCACAATTATAACATATCGTAAATTTCCCACTCTCGGCATAACTTCACGAAGATGATAATGAGTTTCATAATCTTTTCAGTAATTGACCATGTCCTAAATACAGTTGATAGAGATAATGTTACGGCATATCTTCTGCTGACTCGTTTAACGATAAATGTTCAAGGTTAAGAAGTACCATACATTTTTTTTAAGAAAAATATAAACATATAAAAGAAATATTGGCATGGTCTAGACTCCTAGAGGTTACCAGTTCGATCGTCACCTAAAATGTTATTTCCTGTTATTTTTTGCCTGGTTGGAATTTGGTGTTATATAGTACTACTAGAATTGCCCGCGGCTCCGCCCGCGTTCAGATAACAAAAAACCAAATTCTTAGGTTCTACATCTACATATTAGTATACTCTTACATTGCAGTTTTTGTACTTTTTCTCAAAAATGAGATACTTTCCCGCGGTAAAAAGTATCCTATATGTTGACCCGAATAACCAGCTATCATCATACCAATTTCATCAAAATCTGTCCAGTGGTTGATCGAAAAATTGGTCCAGTGGCCAGACAGAGAGACAGGCAGACAAAAATTTAAAAAACAATAGATTTGGACTCTGTATCGATGTCTATTTCAATTAAATTTTCCAAAAAATATTTAATGTACAGATTCGACTTAGTTACAATTTTATTATATGTATAGATTCAGCGAGCATTGTCTGGCTATAGGAATATTGGAAACCAGAGAATATACTAAAGCCAATATAGAATATTTGTCATGTTTATAAAAAAAGTATAGATTTAAAAAAAAAGTAGCGACTTACCCTCGCTCTGCTCGGGTTCGTCTCTACTTACGTTTTAGCGTTTAGTATAAATTATGCAATGATGAGATATTTCCTCGCATTAAAAAGTATCTATATGTTTACCCGGATAACCAGCTATCATCATACCAAATTTCATCAAAATCCCTCTAGTGGTTTTTCAGTGATGCGGTCATAGGCACACCGACAGATAAAAATTCGAAAAACATTAGATTCGACCTCTTTATCGATAATAATGCCTATTTCAATTGAATTTTTCATAAATATTTAATGTACAATTTCGGCTTAGTCATAATCCATACTAATATTATAAATGTGAAAGTGTGTCTGTTTGTTTGTCCTTCTTTCACGTCGAAACAGAGTGACGGATTGTCCTGATTTTCTGTGTGGACTTAGTTGGAGGGCTGGAGAGTGACATAGGCTACTTTTTATGAGATAATCTCATTCTCTCCAATATCGCGGTAAAAAGCTGCCACCGACTTCGAAAATATCTGATTAGGTAGGTATCTATTCTAAACGAAAGCCCCCGTTTAGTTATTTTTTACATTTTTGTGCCTGGAAGTCGGTTTTTTTTTTAATTTTTATTGTAGTTTTAGCACGAGTGAAGCCGCAGGTTCTGCTAGTTTAATTATATGTATAGATATGGGAAATTCTACTAAACATTATTTTTATTTTACAATTTATGTTATCTTTAAAAAAATATTGTTGTCTATAGTTATGTATGTATGTATTATCGCAAATAATGATACCTATATGAAACGAACTATATTAACTTTGAATACCATCCAAGGGACCTAGTACTAATTTTTAGGCCTTTTTCCCAACTAGATCAAGCATATCAAGTCATAGTTTTTATACCTTTATTTCACAAGAAGTATAGAATTGAAAACATAGAGATCAATCCCAAGAAACAATATCCAACTCGGGATATTGCAAAGTTAGAAGGCAAGTGTTCCGTCTTAATTGGTAGAGGTCAAATTAATTCGTTTAATTATTGACTTGGTCTCTTCATCTACTAAATGGGTAACTTCGCAGAAAGAATCTTGCAAGAAATGAATCATTAAAGTGGTCATTGTTTGTTATACTCGTGGTTGTTAATTCGTTGTAAATTTTAAAAAATAAGTTAATACCAAATTTGGAAAACGTACAAATATTATATAGGTTAAAGGTTTAAATTCATACTATAACGTAGTACCTAATCTATACGTAATAAACATATAATAAAATTGTAACTAAGCCGAATCTGTACATTAAATATTTTTTGGAAAATCTTATTGAAATAAACATTATTATCGATACAGAAGCCGAATTTATAGTTTTTAGAATTTTAGTCTGTCTGTCTAACTATTACCGCATCACAGAAAACTACTGGAGGGATTTTGATGAAATTTGGTATGGTGATAGTTGGTTATCCGGGTCAACATATAGGATACTTTTTACCGCAGGAAAATATACCATTTCTGAGAAAAAAATACAAAAACTGTAATGTAAGAGTATACTAATATATAAAATCTAAGAATTGGGTTTTTGGCCATCTGAACGCGGGCGGAGCCGCGGAAAATGCTAGTCTATACATATGATAAAATTTTAACCAAGCCGATTTTGTATATTAATTTTTTTTTTGGGAAATCTTATTGAAATAGACATTGTTTTGGATTTTTATGTTACAGAGGCCGAGTCTATAGTTTTTAGAATTTTTGTTGTGTCTGTCTGTCTGTTACCGCATCACGGAAAAACCACAGGAGGGATTTTAATGAAATTTGGTATGATGATAGCTTGTTATCCGAGTCAACATATAGGATACTTTTTACTGTGGGAAAATATCTCATTTCTGAGAAATCGATACTAAACCTTAAAACGTAAGTATGGACGAACGCGAGCGGACCGAGGGTGAGTCACTAGTTTAAATAAAAATATAGCATAAAAAATAAGCTGGTTTAAATAAAATACGACTACATTTTTTTGGAAAACTCTGGAGTGTTTCGACTTCAACGGACTATTGAACGGAAGCTCTACATATTGTGAGGGACACTCCTGCGCATCGTGCGTGGCGGCCCCAATTGTCTGATTGATCTTTATGATGTGCCCACGCCCCTGACAATGTTCATCGAAAGAATTTTGATACATAAACATCTAGATCTATTATAGGTATATGTAAAAAAGAAGGTAAATTTTATAAATGAAAGTAAATACTGTACTGTACAGTAGGTACCTATAGGATTTTCCGTCTAAAAAAGAAGCACATTTAATTTAAAACGGTTTAAAAGCTTAAAATTATTTTTGTTTTGTATTGCCAAGCTATTAATAAGTTTGATATATCTTAATATGGTTATTTTTTCAATAATTTTTTTTTTCAAGAATTGATTGTTGAAAATAGTAAATGGCGCAATTTTATACATTCTAATTGAAAAAAGGGTTATTATTTATTTATTTATTTATTTTTCATTTAATCATTTATTTCAGGCAATATTTACAAAAATATGTTAAATATGTAAACAGAGACCCATAGCATAATATATACTTTAAAACTAACATATACTCGTATATATTAATTATAACTATTTAACACGTAGATCCAGTATTAGACTTTTTAAAGTGTGTGTTATTGTTTTATATATCACGTAGATACTAAATTGCCAATTTATCAGCCAAACACTGATAAGATTGATTCATTTTTATTCTATGAAAAATATGTGATAGCGTGACGAATATATATGTATACCTACTAACAAGATATTATACATGTTTTCCAGCAAATAGCAATACTTAGGATTTCATTTGTAATGTCATATTATTTTGTTTTTTTTTTCATTCTAAGCAAATATAAAAGTATTTTAAAAAGCTTTAAATCTTTCTCTGTTTTTAGAGTTCCGTAGCATAAAATATACGATAAAAATAAGTTGGTCTGTTGTGACTAATAATTGATATGTATGTACGCAGTCGGTGTTATATATATATTCAAAATAATCAAAACGAAATTCTGTCCGTTGGTAAGCGCATTACTACGAAAAAACTTGCCTGTAAAAATAAAAAAAAATACAGAAAAATTTAAATGTTTTTTCTATAGGATTTTTATATGATTTTTTTTGGAAATCGAACAGGACAACGTCTGTCGGTTCAGCAAGTTCGAGCTAAAGTTCTTATTATGTATGTGCAATGTGCAAATGAATATCTACAATATACATGAACACTTATTTTTTTAGTACATAGACGCAATAATTCCCTACTTAATTCCTCTTTTCACCACACACCATCAATAGCCCAATTAAATCGAATCGAAACAATCACTTTCGAATAAAATATTAACCCCGTGTGGGAATCCAACCCCCGACCTTTGGTGTACTTCTTTTATATACCTATAGCAATTATAGCAATACCTTAGGCGTAGTTTAAAATCAACGGATTTTCATTAGAACTTCCAAACATCTTTTTTATATCTTTAGCGATTGAATTTACAAACCGGATACCTAATCTCTGTGAGGAACCTACCTGCCAAAAAAGTTTGTGCTATTTATAATTTCTGAAATGTCGTGATTAAACTGTGAGTGGTATTTTACTTTTAAATATGTATATAGATACTCCTAGATATTAGTTAGGTATGTAAGATACTGTACAAATTCTAAATGTATTTTTAACCCTCGACTCAAAAAGAGAGAAGTTATAAGTTTAACGTGTGTATCTGTTGTATCTGTACATCTGTGTATCTGTCTGTGGCATATAGCACCCAAACAGATGAACTGATTTTAATTGTTTTTTTTTTGTTTGAAAGATGACTGTATCGAGAGTGTAGAGCTATAAATGAAGAAAACCCCTTCAGCCATTTGCAGGCTTTCAATCATTTTCGAAAGGGTAAAAGAATACGAATAACTACCACAGATCTAATCGATTTGACACTTACTTTAATTACTTCCGTTACTTTAATGACATTGCAATGATATAGTAACCTAGGCCTGATGCTGCACTACAGAGGAATCCGAATACGTGTGACCCCAGCCTTGTGGCGACAAAGTGGCCGTTCGTCAGGTTTTTAGTGGGTAGCTCCACATAACCCGTAAAAATAACCATAAACCCGAGCGAGTACCCGTAACAGGGTTTTCCTGACGTTAAAAAAAGGCCTGATGCTGCAACATCAACTGGAATCTGCAAGATAGGTACTCAACTCTTTACTAAAATACTGCAGAAAAATCGTGTTTAGACTCATTGTAATGATCTCAATGAATAGGGTTATTGTGTTGAGTTATACTCATTTACAAGTAAATAATTATCAATAATTTAGGATATTATCATTAGATCAACAGATCTCGTCATTAGTTTTAAAAATACGAAATAAATTTTTGTTTACTTGCTTAGATACTTACATATCTTTTTAATTATGTTTGTCGATTTATAATATTCTCGAAAAGCATTAGCTATCACTTTACCACAAATAAATAATACTTACACCTAATAATTATTTTGCCTATTAGATATGTGGCCATTAAAATACGATTGGTAATCATGAAGGTACTAAGAATTATTTGTAGTGTATGTTTCAACGTTATTTAAAGTTACTTTCAGTTAGGGTTATCTATATATTTCCTACATGTACCTACTATATATAAGAAAATAAATAGGTGCCTTGGTTGGTACCTATTTTTTTATATTATTATTAGTTTTTAATTATATCAATATCGATTCAATTTTCGTTTGGCAGTTAAACGTAATGTCTATTTTTATTAACTATCCATACCTGATAAAAACAAAGTGTTATTACTTATTATATACATATACCTATCCCATATTGATTTTGTTACTTCGAAATCTATACTAATATTATAAATTTGAAAGTGTTTGCTTGTTTGTCCTTCTTTCACGTCGAAACAGAGTGACGGATTGGCGTGATTTTTTGTGTGAAGATAGTTAGAGGGCTGGAGAGTGACATAGGCTACTTTTTACCGCGGAAGATTCTAATTCCCACGGGATAAAACGTTATAATACAATCCAAAAAAATATTTATGATCCGAATTACTCGAAATTTGGTATTAATGCTCTTCAATAAAATTAAATAAAATATACTTCATTTAGATTTTTTTGAAATTTATCCTATAAGGGAGTGAAATAGGCGATGAATGTTTATATGAAACTACCTTTTTAGAGATTTTTTGTAGTTTTAGCGCGAGCGAAGCCGCGGGTTCTGCTAGTATTACATAATTTTTTATTTTAATATTAATTAAATGGGGGAAATAATGCTAAATTTCTATGTAAATATGAACTAATTTATTTACATCATCGGTACTGGCTAAGTTATTGCGAATTTAGATGATTCAAGTAGGTACTAACGTAAATCTATACACAATAATTTTTTGATACTTTTATATTTCAAGAAACCGTCATAGTCATATTTTTTACAGATATAAAATATTCACTACGACTTAAAGGGGCGAAAATATAGAAAACTTTTGATATAATAAGTTGCTTACGGCTTTTTGATTACTTACTAATTGATTCTACATAAATGGTCTACAATTGTGTACTATTTTTTAAAATACTATCAAGTTTTGCTTATAATTTTATAGAAGGATGTACGTGTACATCCATATAGCAGTTCTTTTTACTTGCTACGGAACTGCAAACTTAATAATTAAATTCATATTTCAATATCAATCAAATTTTAATAATAATTAAAGTATAATATATTATATTACCTGAACATTTTGATATGTAGTAAATGCAAAGTTAACGAATGTCAAATTCTGAACTTAACATCACCAAAATTAAAAGTATCTTTTATAAGGCTTTTAGAAACACACTTTATACTACTTATGGGATGTCACATCACACGCACACACACACTTTCCAGAGAGCCGCAATCTGCAGCGGAAGGCGTTCGTTGAATTGATTGAATTAATCCACTCCTGCGCACTGTGACCACAGTCCTTATTCGCAGAGATGTTTTTCCCTCGGAGGATCAAATGATACTGTCATAGTAATCTTTTTTATCAGTGGCTCTATAGCCCAATATCTAAACGAGACAGCTTGAGACAATGAATACGTGAACAATCGACGATGCCGAATATCAATAGTAATTGACGGACTCCTATCTAAATGCACCGATTGGCTGTAAATTATGTTTATTCTTGAAGAGCGCGCGATAAGTAAATGTCTTTGTTCTATGTTGAATTACATATTACAATCAATAATTATTTATATTGATGCAAGCAGTATTTGTTAATTATATACTTACTTTTCATTAAAAAAATATAGAGATAATGATAGAGCAGTTGATCATATAGCAGAATGATAGCCTAACTTAATCATATTTATAATAAACTAAATTAAGTAGTCGAGGGATTTAAATACATTATTATGATTTGTAGGAGATCTAACGGCGAACTATAACTAAAATATTAATTATGTAGTTCGAAGTTGGAACTGTTTTAGTGCCTTCTATGATCTATCCTTTATTTCATTGGAAAATTTACAGCGTTCCTAAATCCTAGTAATACTTAAAGTAATATTTGCCTCTCTAACCATTAGGTTTACAAAGGTCCACGTTTTTATCCCGAATCAGTTATCACAGGTAGCTCTAGCTGCTAGTGGTCTACCACGCGTGACCCATTTCGATGATTTTTTTTAATTCGGCACCCGAAAATATGACTATGCTGTAAAATTTCAGTCTTAATTCTAAGTTTATAATCATTTATAAGTAAAATCGAAATACAAGATGACACTGTCAGACAGATTATTTTGTTAACGGTACTTAAAGTTGTACTCGTATATACTTATTGCTCTTAAATATACTTTAAAAAACATCATAAAGATAAAAAGTTAAATATTCTTACATTGTAATGGAAATTTTTATTTCATGTCTTACTTTTATTTGCTTTAAAAAATTATACTTGCGTGAGCGTCTGGATGTTAACTAGTCTAATAAAGTCAGAGTAAAAATTTCTTGTTTGTTTGTTGTTCATTTATAAAAGATTATCTCTAGGATTTTCGTCCATAGAAAACTATAATTTATTAATTAAAATGACGTAAGTACAGAATAGCTATTTTTGTTAACAAATCAAAGAAAAATATGCAGATTAGGTACCTACTCACTTTATTCGCCATGACATACGCTAATCTAACGAATTGTTATATATGAAGATAATGTATTTCAAAAATAATATCTTTAATACTTGGCGGCGAAGCTATTCTCTATCGGCAGATCTAACTTTGACTGATAAAGTGTTAGAGTAGTCTATAAGCTATAGACAAAAATAATATATAGCCTCTTCGCGGAATGACTGGTTTATACCTACGTTTGAAAAACGCGGAACGAATTTCGGCAAACCCCAAAATAAATTCCAATTTCTGCCTTTGACTAATATATTTTCAGGCAAGCCTAAAATACCTAACTTTTTAGTCGAACGTCAAAAGCAAAATAATCTTTTTCGGACTACGTCTTGTCTATCCTAGGTCAAATTTATTGAACGTCGATTTGTACTGCATTTGTCGCATGTTTAGTATCTATTATACATCATAATCTAACTCTTAGCAGCCATTTTTTCATTTGTTATCCATATACGTGCATAGACGTGCACATAGACGCGCGTCTGTGTAAGTTTGAAGATTAGTGAACCATAGTGAACCAAACTGTCTTGTAACTAAAAGTGTGGATAAAGAAGCTTTAAAATAAAATATTCAGAACATTACTAACAAGTGTTCATTTCATATTGAGAATATAAAACAAAAAATGAGAAAATTATCTGTGAGGTAGAATCTGCTAAAATAACTATTAGGAAAACTTCTTTACAGTATCGCCGTCTTGAATGCTACGATTTTGTATGCTACGGGGACAAAAAAAGTTATATCAACTTGCAATATCCGATACAAAAGATACTCGTATCCAATACTACGTTAGTATTTATGGTCATGGTGACAGAGACCTCACAATTAAAGCGTTGAATTAAATGTATTTTAATTAATTATTATTAACAATCCATCCTTATAAATATTGGAATAATAAATATTAAAAAAATAAGCAATAATATGTTTTTTTTTATAACTAAGTCTAACAAACTAACACATTCCTGTAAATAATTAAGGTCTGACTGGTCACACCCCGATTTGATTGTATTTTTCGGCATTTGACCGTCCAAGTTGGTCTCTCCTAGGATTAGACATAAATTCGTTAGTCAAAGGCCGAAACACTCTTAGGTTTAAACGTTAGAGGTTTGGCTAGCCAAATCTAGAAGCGTCTGAGCTTCGAAATTTAACTATAGCATTATGGCGTTTTTATCGGAAAGATCTAAAAATATCCACAACCGATAAAGTAATTGAAACCGCTGCTGTTCTTAGTTCCAAAAACAGCCATTAGGGAAATCTAATTACTGCCCAATGTCCATGACACATAAGAAATTAATTTATTGAAATTGCAACTGCTATTTACTAATTAGTTGTTACTTAAATAAAGTATGATTTTATTACAAAACTGTCGCTTACCGTTCGATTTACTAATTTTAAATCGAGTTCAAACTAGTTACTTTAAAAGTGATTTTGATGTAGGTGTACTCAATTTTTGACTAAACCAAGCGATAACGATTTTTATGATTTTTTTATTAATAAAATAATATCGTAGAGACTTTAAATGTATACATAAATATGTTGGGACATTAACATTCAACACCACTAGTTCCATGGTAAGCTACGAGGCTTGTGTTATGGATACCAGATAGTTGATACACTACACATATATAACTTTAAATACATACATATTATAAATATAAACACCTACGACTCATATACAATAAGATCTCATTATCAAAAGATACAAGCATTCGTGCTCATCACACAAATGAATGTCAGCTGGACTCGAACCCGTGACCGCTGGCACAGCTAGCAGGATCACTACAAACTGAGCCAAACGTGTCGTTATACATAGATTTATTTGTTTAAAAATTCTTACTAGCAAATGTTATTCTTGATACAGATTCAAAAAATGCGTTTAGTGTATAGTTTTTGTCTGCACGTTTGTCTGGTAACGCTATTACTTGAAAACTACTGAACGGCTTTGATTGCTGTTTAATGAATGTTATTTAAAATAGATTATATGATTTGATATTATGATGATTTTCCTAGAGTCCCTAGAAGTGTGGACCAGAATTCTTACTTAAATTCAGTTATTATGAAGAACTACTACCTACATGACCTTTCAGTTTTCATATACTGAGATACACATCTACCTAATTATGACCAGTCATGTGGTCATTTAACCTTAATGGCGTAGGTACGTCATATTTAGCTTCATTTAAAATATAACATGCCAACAAATATAACGTTTGGGGATAAGTGTTCCTTTAAGGTCAAGGTCATGTTTTTACGCCATTGATTTCTTTGTTTTGAATTTTCCTTCGTAAATTATTATGCCTTACTAGTCCATGACAACGAAGTTGCGTAAAGATAGTAGGTAGGTATTACATATATCTTCATAGCATCTCTTTAGATACTGCTTATACTCGTATCAGAGAACTAAACGATTGAAACAAAATCGGATAAGTGTAGTTAGTGCATTTACACATTACTTATTATTTATTTTATGCAAATACCATTTTGCAGTAAATGCTCATTATAAAGTATCTATAAAATTTCATTGTAATTAAATTCATTGTATTTGTTAAATATAGCTAAAGAAAGTATTTTTGCAGCTGCTATATTAACAAAGAGTGTAACATAAATTATCTTGAATCTCAAAAACCTAGACTAGTTTTTAAAGTTCTAGTAGTATATAAGTGTATAATCTATGGTTCTAGTAAAATGCACAGATTAAGTATAAGTTACTACCATGGATGACAAATAAAAGTTACTACGTACAAGACAATGGATTCAATTTAATCTTACTTTGACAGTGTTGCCCATAGAGAAATAAATGAATTATATTCTATTAGTTTATCAGATTATTTTACTTTCAAAGGAAACGTATTAAATACCTTTTTTTAAACGACTTATTAACGCTTCGTCGATGCGCGTTTCACGGACCATGTTTTGTTTCATTAACGCGCCGACTAGACGACGCACATATCATGAAACTTTGTCTTTTGTAAATTTATAAAATGTAGGCGTACCGATACAAAGAAGAAACGCGAGACTAGTAGATTCTAAGTATTCCGATTATAGATAAGTTACCTACTCTAAATATTTTGTATTGATTTTATTTTGAAACGTTACGAAGATTACATCTTTTCCTTCAATATCTCTTTTGGGTAAAGGGTACAATTTTCACACGATCGACTCTCCCCATAAATTGCTATGTGTAAAACCTGAAAAATACCAATTTTAATTTTATTTGATTGGCTATTTCCGGAAAACTTACCATATGACTGAACTGTTTATAAGCTTTGGAGGACTTAGCAGAAAATATGTACAGAACAAAGTCTTAATCAGTAAAAATCATATAAAATCTCAATGTTTTCCATATTAAAGTTTATAAAAAGTTCTAATTTGGTAGGTTTTACAGTTTGGTGTACTAATTAATATTATTAGTTTACGACCTTGATCGATAGCCCCTTTTGCCATCAAATTGGAAAACAGGCTTTTATTAAATTAAAACTCACCTTGATCTTTTTAGATCTGCCGCCCGGAACCTAAGACTATATAATTGGCGAGAGCTTCTCAATGATTAAGACCACAGACTAGATAGATAGACAGATAAGGCCTCCACCTAGGTACATCGACCTACCCTACCCCAACCTGCAAATTTATGATATTCGCAATGAAAAAAATACTAATCTATAGATTTTTAATAGCTCAATTCAACTACGTAGCCCTTCCAAATTGCTCACCATTAATTATAAAATTAAAAATCAATAAAGTCCTTGAAAAAAAATTCATTTATCCGTATATTCAAATTTCTATATCTTTTGATATATACAATATTTTAAATTGCTCAAAGTTCTAAAATACTGCTCAAGTTGCATTTGTAATTGCTCAAGTAGAGTTCTCACCAGCTCCACTTTCCTTAATTATTAGATAAATATAAATAGTTTGAATAAATTTAACGTATAGATAGGTGAGTGCTGCGCATGCGCGCAAACAGTAACGCGAGTCGCAAGATCGATCGATCGAAGAAGATCGTAGCAGTATTATTAAATTATTGATTGCTGATCAGAGTTCAAAATTCCTTTATATTAAAGGCAGTTTATATTCATGCAGTTTGTTTCTTTGAAATAAAAATGTCATTAAACTATATGTATATTTAAAAATAAAAAAAGTTCCGTCTTGTATTGATGTTAATAACATTTTACTAATGATCCCTGTCATGGCTATTACCTTAATAGAATAAGCATTTGAACATAAGATTTTGTCTTAATTTATCTGTTGGTATTAATTTTCATTTATTGGTAGATTCCAGATCTGTTCTTTATGTTATAATATCTGAAGTGGAATCACGTAATGTGAACAATTCATAAATTCAATAAATTTAAAGAAATCCACCGAGAAACAGAATTAAGACGTTGAATTGGAACGATTGTCCAAGCCCGCCGAGGCCGACCGACAATGCGCGGTGCGCATGCGCACGCTCACTTAACCTACGTTACATTTATTACAACTATACTTTTAATTATTTAATAATCAGCGAAAGTGGAGCTGGTAAAAACTCTACTTGAGCAATTACAAATGCAACTTGAGCAGTGTTTTAGAACTTTGAGCAATTTGAAATATTGTATACATCAAAAGATATAGGAGTTTGAATATACAGATAAATTAATTTTTTTTCAAAGACTTTATTGATTTTTAATTAAATAATTAAAGATGAGCAATTTGAAAGGGCTACGTAGTTAAATTGAGCTATTGAAAATCTATCGATTAGTATTTTTTTCATTGCAAATATCATAAATTTGCAGGCTGGGGTAGGGTAGGTGGTACATCGTCCTAGGCCTCCACTGTTAGGCATGTTACATCATTTAAGGAAAGAATATTATATTCATTTGTCAGACAATAACAACGTTTACCATGGCAACAAACAGTTATCAGTTAACTTCATCATGTCCCTATTTGCCTGCCGGTGTACGTGGGCATCATAAAAAGTTTACTCTCATAATTTTTTCAAACATCCCAAAAGAAGTGTAACTTCAAAAAACATTCACCTGTAGACGATTTTTAAGAGTTTTAAAATTACTTTCTTTAAAATGATATCCCTATAGCCATATTATATATAAATATTGTGATTTCGCCAATTTTAGTCGTCTTATTGCCTTACCCTGCAATTTCTTCAGTTTTTGTCTTTTGGGAACAAACAAATCCATTTTCTTTGCATCCTGGCACTGCACAATTTGTTATTTTAATTATATAAAATAAAAAAAAAAAAAATCCATCCACGCTATATAGCTTTATAAATAATGAGGGTCATAGTGATCGTGACATCTGGTGGGAGAAAAGGGCAAAATTCCCTATTCCACGGTCACAAGTCACAACATTATGAAAACGAAAAAAATTATGTCAACTCTGTCCTACTGAATTTGACAATACGATGACAGTTTTGACTTTTGTCGTAGCGTTTGCGGCTTTTTGCCTCTCTAATAATAATATTTTGGTGTAAACAATTCGTTAATATATAAATGTTTAGATTAAAGTTTTTATAAATGAAGATGAACGCTACCAGTTTGTATGTTTCTACTTGTCGCTTAATAATTCTTGCTGATGCAGCCGACAAAAGTTCGTGGACAGACTTGTTTCGTTTGGTTCCTTATTTACGACAATCGTTATCGTGTACAGTGTGTGGAAATTTATTGAAGGAACCTTATACTCCAACGAGCTCTGGTTGTCAACATCACGTCTGTAAAAATTGTAAAGGTGGAAGAAAAAAACTAAAACCTTCGTGTACTTGGTGCAAAGACTATGAAAACTATAATGAAAATTTACAGTTACGTATTCTTTTGCAATGTTATAAAAAACTTTGTGAATATTTTATGGGAACAGATACATATAAAACATTGTTAGAAGAAGATGAAATAGCTGCAGGTGTCAATGGTGGCACAGTGGCAAGTTCAGGCTTAATAGACTTAATACAGGAAGGAGCTGGTTTCAATGACGATTATAAGAGCACTGCAGGACTTTCAAAATCTGCCTATAGTATATTACCTTGTGTCTATACAAACTCTGCGTCAACACAAACTCAAGCAGCATCAACAACAAGTAATTCTGATTCAAGATCAACTAGTAAAGATTCTCCAAATTCTAGAGCTATTTCAAATGGATCTCCTCTTTACTCTGTTATGTATGCAGGTTCGGGAAATAAAATCACAATCAAAAGGAAAGCAGTTGATGAGACAGATTCACCACAGACTGAAACTAGCCCACGAGAAGGAAAAGTATGTAAAATATATTGAATATTGTTATTATTGTTTTTATTACATAGTTAATGTGCTTTATAATTTCAGTCAAATCAATTAGGTTTTAAGAAACCATCTAATAGGTCTAGAAGCTCAACTAGCAGTAAGCGGAAAGGATGTAGATGTGGTAATGCTACGGCTACACCTGGTAAATTAACATGCTGTGGACAAAGATGTCCATGTTACGTAGAAAGCAAACCATGTACTGAATGTAAATGTAAAGGTTGTCGAAACCCTCATAGACCTGATGGAATGAAGGTAAATTAAACTTAAACAAGAAGAAATTTTGTATTTATATATTGAAATTTTATGTTTTAATATTGTTTTGGTAAAAAGTATAATACTTTTTATTTTAATATATACAAAATATAAATTCAAAATATTGTTAATCAATTAAAATATATTCTATGTAAATATATCTCCTTCAATCTTCTTCAGGTCAGGCCTCACATACCTCAATTAGATACTTTGCAGATAATAAACACAAATCCCGATAGTTCCCCATCATGCTCAGGTTCTATGGATAGTTTGGATACTGACACTCTCACTATGGAGGCCATGGAGGAATCTCTTACTTTTACTACAGAATTAAAATCATCTAATATTAAAGGTATGTTGTAATATAAAAAATATTTCATTGATGATTGATCAGTCATTTTCTTGCTATAATCATTTGGTATTTTTAGTAACATTATAACTTTTTTAATATAGAGTGCATATAAGAAGCAATTTGTGTTTTATTTTATTTTATTATTCTTATGTTACTACACAATATATTTCAAACTCACAGTGCTTCTATCCTGCACTCTATATAAAAAAAGTGGAAATGCTATGAAAAATGTCTCATTTTTAACATAAATCCCAATTAGACCTAAGTTTGGCATCTCACAAGTAGTATTAATTTTAGCTTTTTTTTCTTTCATAAATATAATTTCTTATCAGGCATACAGTCTACTTTCAAAATATGTAAAGATCGGATCATATGACATCATTCTTTTTGTTATTCTGGGGCAGAAATTACTGATACATTTCGTTTTTTCACAATTGCATAATAACACTGAAACTAGTAGTCTTAAATAATATACATTTTCATTTAAATTCATACTTTTACAGTATATACCAGTCAATTACAAGAAGTGTCACCATTATTACCAGCAACAATAATGATGGATGAAGAATTACCAGCGTCACCTGATGATGACTTAAGTTCTCCGCGTGATTACACAACATGTTCTCCGAGAGATCATGACCCAGATGCCTCTCCACAGTCCACTCATGAAGCAAATAGTGACATCGAAGTTGATGTATGACAGCAACTTTCCCTCGCAGGTGACTAGGAGATTTGTCTTATCGTTAGATTAGAGATACATAATTTTCACACAAATACAGTTAGGGACAGAATTTGTAATTCATAAACAACAATATATATATAATAATACATAGTATAAAATAAAGTGCCTCATGCAGATCATTTTGTTCATTTATACATACAATAAAATTCTGAGTCGAATCTGTACATTAAATATTTTTTTGGAAAATCTTATTGAAATAGTAATTATTATCGATACAGAGGCCGAATCTATAGTTTTTAGAATGATTATTTTTGTCTGTCTGTCTGAGAACGCATCACGAGAAAACCACTAGACAGATTTTGAAGAAATTTGATATGATGATAGCTGGTTATCAGTGTCTCAGGATACTCTTTACTATGGGAAAATATCTGATCTCTGAGACATCTATACTAAACGTTAAAACGTAACGAGAGATGAACCCGAGCGGAGCGAGGGAGAGTCGCTAGTTATTTATATTATTCTATGTCAAAGTAATGATATGCAAAACATGTTTTCCATAGTCAGTAGCAAATTTCATATAAAGTTTTCATCATCTACCATCTCAATTTTACATACAATATTTGTTACAGTTGTCAATGCTTGGTTTTAGCTTTTTGCCAGACGGGGACCTTAACTCCTCCAGGTAAATTTCTAAGAAATTAATGAAATTTCTAAGATATTAATTGTTAACTATAAAACCAGTGTGCCCGCGGTCGTTAAGGGATTAATCAATATTCGAAATTAAACATTATAGCACCATACTCAACAAGTTGGTTATTTAAAATAACGAAAATTATGTACCTCTACTAATGATAAATAAATAAAATATTTTATTTGATTAAGTTTGTAGTCACTTGTGTGTCTTGATAATTACATACAAATAAATTTAATTTTTAAATTTATATAAACATAATTTCTTGAATAAATTAAATTATTATTTGTATTAAGCTAGTACTATTTAGTGTAAATATATGAGAATTTCCTTTGACAAACTAGAGAACTAAATAGGCCTTTGTATTATTTTCAAAGAGGGTAAATGTATTTTAAATATTTACTTAATAAAAAGTAAGAAATGAATGGATGCTGTAAATACTTTTCATTGTGAACATAATTGGCATTAATATGGAATTATTACCTCATAAGTTATAACATATTTTTTATATGAATCATTGGCAATGAATCTTCAAAACCTATAAACACACATTTGTATTATATAATTAATATTATATAAATAAAATTACTACATTTCTGTGAAATTATGATGAGGTTTGTGAAACTTATGCAGTGCTGCCATCTGTAATCATTTTTACAGAAAGCAGTTTAACAACAACTCAATCAAAATAATTATGTTAAAATTAATCATAAAAATCTTAACATCAAATACTTTATGTATATTTTAAATAAAAAATAATAACATTTGAATCTCTTGCACATTTATGATAAAAATCCATTTCACAAATATAAATTAAGGTTTTACCGTATGTGGGGAAAAAAACAAACATTTTCATCTTCTTTTTATGTGAAATTGTACTTTTGCTTGAAGTAAGTGATCGATTTAAAAGATATGAAGAAATATGAAACATGATAAATAATAAAAAGGTATTTTCATAAACGCGTTTCTATTTTAATATATTACTTAAATAAAATTATATGACAACTGTCCTGTTATTTGTGAGCAGGCAAAATTTTAGATGTATAGAAAATTTTCATAGCACAAGTTGCTGATTTTTTATAACTTATTTGTAGTAAGTACTTGGTAGACTATTTTAATTCTTCATTTTATTTTGTACTTATTTTAATATTCCAAATAAATTCTATAGATCTCCCAAAATTAATGCAAGAAATGATATTGATAGAAAACATAGGTTTTTAGTTGAAAACTGTAATAGGCAATATGCGTGTGATTTCAATAAAGGTAATTCTTTTTTATAATCTTTATTGCTTTTGAATTAAGCCTATATTAATTTTTTTTAAATGTAATTTCGTTTTTGATTAAGAAAATAACTATTAAAAAGTGCAAAAATAGGTGGGAAAATAGTAGTAAATATGACGTCATAGTATTATCATAACAGCGTGATAAGCGATTTTCAAATTGAGTCGTCATTTTTCTGTGTATATCATACTGTGACGTCATTCCAAGCGCGCGTAATTGCGGGTGTTTAAAGTATTCGTATTGGTATGATATTGTTAATTTGTTTTTTTATACTAAATTTTTGTTTTTTGGAGCTGGATATTTTTTTTAAATTAAATGAAGATGTTTAAATATTGTATAAAAAAACACATATTCCCTATTGATTTGTGGAGTTGTATATGCTACATAGGTCTATGTACGTTTTTTTTTTATTTTCCATAACTGTGGTTGAATTTTGTTGACACATAACTATAATATGTGCACGACCATCAATTAAATACTTGACCAGGAAAGTATTAAAGCAGTAAATAATGTATGAAAACGAGCAATGATCGTAATCGTAACTTCCCATTTTGGTGATCAGAAGACTGCCAATCCAGATCTTGTGATTGAAGGACATTAGACTTTTATTGAAAGTATTGTAAAATAAACGATTATATCAATAAGCTCGAGAGCATGCAAGTAAAGGCTTTTCAATTTGCCTCTTAAAAGGCAAATTTAATTTACAAAATTCAGCCACATGAAAGTAGGACGAATTTCGATTAAACAATATGTACGTACAAGCTAAACTGCGGTAGTCTTTTACCCCATATACAATTCCTTACATAATCCTATATGAAATTTCATTCTGTATACTTTATCAATCAGTGAAAAATTACCTTTTTCAATATAAAACCAACTGTTTTATATCAAAATTATTTTTTACATTAATTTTAAGATACCACCTATAATATTGAAAATTTTATGTTTTAATTTTGACATGTACAAGGTTACTATGTAACAAGAATTCTTTTTTTTTGTAATAAATTGTACATATATGAAAATATAAAATATTTATGTACAATGTACATATATATTACCTCAGCCATTACCCAATGTATTTCTATCCCATACAAAAAAATATAGATGAATCTGATTAGTTTTCTTATTTATAAACGATTTTAATTAAATTCAAATATATTATGACATTCATTTCCTAATAGCTTTATTATTTTATATGAAATTAAGAAATAACACAAGTTAATTGTATAGTACTGATTGATATATCAAAGTAAGCTCGGCCAAAGACGAATTATACTTATACTATACACAATATTATTTTATGTCTCTATATAACCCAAACAACCAAGATAAAGAAAATAATTTGTAAGAGAAAGTGTACATTTAATGCCAATAAATATACAATAATGAGAAGAATAATAAATATTAGAATGTTGCTGTTAGTAATATATATTTGACTGCAATGAATACTTTGTATGCATGAGTGTCAACTACAAGTGAGTCTGTGATAAAACTATCACCGATATTAATGTTAAAATCTTCGAGTTTTCCACTGTTCATATATATTTTGGCATTATCGCAAAGCACTTAAGTACAAATGGAATTGTATAAGATGATAATTAATCATACTTTTAATTGTGAAAAATAACTGTATTATTAATGCCATTATTGTACTATGTGAATGAAATAAAATCAAATATTTTTGTTACATTTGGATTTTTTATTATAATAACCTGTTACATTATATAAGACTTAGATTGTTTATGTTAAATTTTAAAATATGAGGCACTATTCAATTTTTAATAAATCATTGGCTTTTTCTTCTATTTCATGTGTTTTTTGGCTGCTAGTTTGATCAACTTGGTCACTTTGAATATTCCAAATTCTATCGAATTCTCGTTTGAGAGCCTTTATTAGGGTAGCTTCAGAAGTGAGGAGTGTGCTGTCTCTATTGTGATTCACACGATTAACTTCGTAGTCTAAAGAGCCCACAATGGCTATGGTATCTTGGTAATTGACATCTATCAATAAAAATTCATGTTCCAATTTTATTTTCGGGCTAATTACCTTTACCTCTATTCCTGACTCAATAAATGACTGTAAACTCTTTAAAGTAGCTTTACTATGCACGATAATTCGAACTCTGACGTGGTTTTTTTGATGTGTGTTAATAAGGCACTTTGAAATCGTCTCGCTGTCTAAAGTTGGCACGCACATATCTATAGTTCGACTTGCGTGTACTATTAGATAATAGATAGAAAAAAGATTGTTCAAACCTAATTCTTTTTTTTCCTTATCCCCTTCTGCTCCATAGAATAAAACGTCGTTAATTGCGTCATTCTGCTTGCTAATGCCCACGATGTTCGTAAACTTTGTAATTTTTTCTGATATTCCACCTAAAATGGATGCACCTCCGAATACAAAAGATTTCCAATTTATTTTGTTCATTTTCTTAATATAAATAGGTACTTTAATTGTTGTCAATTGTGTTGGTGCTCTCTTTAACGTATCGATTAATTTGTAAAGTCGAGTTTAAGTATTTTTGAACTACCTACATTATTGTATTCAAATCGTGGTATGTCATTAGGAAGAAAGACAATTTGTTCGACTATATTTTAATAAAAAGTTAGCATGATATTTATCGATTTTTTTATTAATGTTTATGTAAAGTAAATAACAAAAACTAAATATATTCTGGAAAAAGAATATTTTGATTGAAAAAAAAAAATATTTTAGTTGCACAGAAATAAAATATTGGCAATAAATTCCAATTTCGAAATGATTAAAACTACTGCTGAGTAATCAATCCCTGGATAATTGATAAGTTTATAGGGCGTAATCATAGATGGCGCTAGATGCACAGATTTTAGAGTTTAGAGTTTAGAGTTGCTACTTGGCCTACGTAGCAACTCTAAACAATATATCTAAAAAAAATAGAAACCGACTTCCAGGCACTAAAATGTAAAAAATAACTAAACGGAGGTTTTCATTTAGAATAGATACCTAATCAGATATTTTCGAAGTCGGTGGCAGCTGATGCAAAGCAAATCTAATATATTTCGATACGTAAAATACATATTTACCTATTAGATATTCATATATTACAATATCGTCGGCGGTTTCTATTTTTTTTTAAGTTTTTATTTTTCCATTTTTAGTGCAGTAATTTGTAAGAAGAAAGTTTTTTAATAACATATTCGATTAAACAATTTATTTAAAAAATATATTTATTGTTGATATTTTAAAAAACCGCTCGACCGATTTCGATAAAATTTATATGGGACCACCTGGGAAGTATACCCTTTGAAACAAAAAAAAATTCAAATCGAGTCTTAGAGTAATCGGTGAACATACATTAAAAAAAAGAAAAAAAAAACATTCCGACGAATTGAGAACCTCCTCCTTTTTTTGGAAAGTCGTTTGATTTTCTTAATATTTTGATATTTTTAGTACCTCTCAAAAGAGGCTTCCTGGTATTTTGAGTTTTTTTGATTACTGGTTCAAAAATATATTACATATATTCATAACATATTCATAAAGGTATTATTGCGTTCATAAAATCAGAAAATATTTAACCTCTCATAACAGATAATCATATTTTAACTTAAACGCGCTTCACAGAAACTTTTTATTTTAAATTCATAAAAAAATATTTGACTGACAGCCGTTAAACAGTTGAAGTTTGGATCCTTTTTACTGCGTTTTATATTTTTATTTACTTGTATAATTAAAACGAGTTTTCTGCTGAAGTATAATGTAAGCAAAATAATGTCGGAAGATTCGCCTCGGAAAACCGTTCAACGCAAAAATGCTGATCAGCGGCACCAATCTTATTCCCTAAAAGCGTCAGGGGATTCAGCTCCAGAAAAAAAAGCGCGATCAAAAAGCAAAATTAGAATACCAAAAAGATTACGCTACGACTTGGAAAATGCTTTAGTGGGAGTAAGCGCTCCTGACATTATTTAATAGCACCGTTCACCATCTGTGCCTAATGCTATATATTTTATGAACTAAAAAAGTATTTAAATTTTATATATTTCTTATTTTTAGCTATGTGATATCTGGTTTGAAGAAATTAAGCCATATTTAGTGAGAAATAATATAAAATTACACGTACACGACGATAAAGGCGGTGGCAGCGGTGACCGCGGTGAAGTACCCAGCACATTCAAGTGCTCCCACCTCGATCCAGGTAGATCTGATGTACGAGCCTTATTTAGCTCTGACATCCTGTAATTTATAACTTTAGAAATAAAACAGACATATAATTATTTCAAGAACAGGCATTTACTTAAAGTAGGTACTTAGTAGAAGATTTTGTATTATTTTAATAGTGTAATATACTCGTGAACGTCTAATCTATTACTATAAGTAAATAATCTAATATACTCGTGAATGTCTAACCTACCTATTACTATACCTAAGTAAATTTTACAATTTAAAATATTTTCTTAGTGAATCTTTGGATCAAAATTAGACAATGATTTATAGCAAATTATAACTGTATTGTTATGGTCGGAGTTAACGATATAATATATGTAAATAAAATAAAGACTTGTATAAATTATATAAAAGAGCTAATAAAACTTTATACTTAATTAGCATCATCGTCACACGAATGCGAACTTTGCAAGCTGCTGTTCAACGCAGCCAACAGTATTGAAAGCGCACTGTCGCAAGCAGCCACTATCACAGCTGTCCCAGGAGGTTGCCCAAACACGGGTATGGCGAGGATTCAAAATTGTTTGACGTTTTTTTTAGTATCCTTATTATCAGAGCTAGAGGTTGTGAGATTGTTGTTTGTACATATTTCACGTAGCAACGGTTAAGAAAAAGTAGTTTCGTAAGTTTTCTCAGTGATGTACATATTCCAAACGCCCTATGCATTAGTATACCTTGACGACAAGTTTGGCTCAGTTTGTAGTGACCCTACTTGCTGTGGGAGCGATCGCTGGTTCGAATCCCGCTGGGGGCATTTATTTGTATGATGAGCACGAATGTTTGTACTCCAGTCATGGGTATTATATTTATAATATGTATGTATTTAAAGTTACATAATATGTGTAGTGTATCAACTACCTAGTATCCATAACACAAGCCTTGTAGCTTACCATAGAGTAGCTAAATTATTATAAACTCACCTTAATAGATACCTTTATATATATATATATTTAATTAATATAGATTTTTGGTATTAGTAGCATATCTATAGGCTATTATAATATATTGCTGTTTGTTTGATTCAAGTTTAATTCAATAATAACTTAATATGATTAACAAGTAACTAAAAGCGATATATTAAAAACTTCTAGAGTTATTGCAATAACTGCAAAAAAGAGAGGGCGCGAAAGCCGCGTAAGCGGCGAAAGTGCCAACAAACACAGTTGCGGCAGCCAGTACCGCGCCTCTGTCGTACATACAGCATACCGCCTTTAACATCTCCCACAGAAAAGATAGCAAACACTTTACAACAAATATCTCTTCAGAATAATAAAGTATGTAACTTAATATATTAATATTTTAAACAATTAAGATAATTCACTTTTAAAAATTTGAAGGAAACTATACATTTTTGCTTTACCATATAGGATTTAAAACTAAAAAGAAAACTTCAAATGAAAAATGCATCTACACAGACAGATTGTTTCTCTGATAATATTACAATTACAAAAAAGATATCTAATACGAAGTATTCGTCTCCAAAATTCTTTCGGAGGGATGCGAAAACCCCATTGTCACCTCCTAAGCAGAATGTATACCAAAAGGATATTCCACTGTTTCAAGATGTTAGCAGTATTTAATAAATAGTTCGACTAAAATATTATATAGAATTTTATTATACTCGTAGTTATATTTATTACTTTCTTGTATATACAAAATTTGTAATTTTGGTATACCTACCTTGGTACCTACATATTATGTAGTTTGTGTAATTTCTATATTTGAATAATAATATCTTTAGAATAAAAGTTTTTTTGTTTAACGATTATTATTTTTTCAGGATCTCATTGATATAATTGCCAAAAGACATGAAAAAAAATTGGAATTATTATTTACAAGCCCCAGAAAGGACGACTTTCCGTCCATTATGAATTTATATGTTCCTCCAAAAGTTAAACGTAATCCAAGAGAGTTTGATAAAATTCCCCCGTGGCGGTAAATCGACTTATTGACTGATAAATTTACAAGTCTACTACATCTGTACCTCAAAACTTTAATTTTCTAAACGCAAATAATTAAATGGATATCAACAATAATAATTTGAAAATTAATATTTTAAAATATAGTTTATTGTAGCTAGATTTTTATGCATTTATAAATAAAATTTTAAACAAATTTATCATTGTATTATTGTTGTGTTTTATAATGTATGTGAGAGAGAGTAGCACGTTTAGTAAGATGTTTCTTAACTAAAACGTGAGAGTTTTATTGTTATCTTCTTTAATATATTCAAGTAGGTACAAGCTTTCACAAAGCTTTTCTGCAAATTTTCTTTAGCTATTTTTCATTGTAATAAATAATTATTTTCTTTTTAATAACTCCGAAGTTTTATAAGAAAAAATAATATATCACTCGCACACGACACTTTATTGGTATACAACTTACGTCTATCTCTTATCTTACGACTCTTTACAAAATTACAACAGACATATCGACTATATAAGGGCAGTATAGTGCGTGTTTTCACACGAATAAAATAATTTACAAAAAAGCAGTCGAACATATACATCACACGTTTTAAATAACTAAATAAATAAGTCACACTTCACCGAGCTTCGTTCGCAACCGCGACAGCTGGCCGCCGTCCGGCCGGGGCCGATGCACGCTCTTTGGATCTGAGAAGAGTTTATGGAATGTCCACGCGTTTTAAGGTTAATTCGTATGTTTCACGTAATCCGTTTCGTAAAACGCCGTGGCACCGTGCGCGCTCTTCCTATCGAGCGCACGAACGCGCACGAAAAGAAACGCGGCCACTAGGGACGCCACAATCAACACTAGCAGCAACATTACGAGACCCGCTACGAACGACGGCACGGACATGCATATCGTTTCTGGATCGCTAGCTGGTGATTGAATCACTACGGTCTCGTTTGAAGCGGCGTTGTTTAGAGCGAAGTTCACATCGCCCGGTGCTACTACTTGGATCGTTCTACTGGTATTGACATCAGTCATCTCTTGAGCGTCACGCTTATAAATTCGCGTTGGTGATGTTTCACGTCTCCGTCTTACTCCAACTAATCTCTCCGGTAAATCTTCTACGGAACGTGGTCGTCCGCCCAGTGTTGCTAAGTTACCATGGCCCTCGTCTTTCCTCTTAACGGTATTGTAAATTCCCCTGCGTCCGGGTGGTGGTGGTGGTGGTAGATTGACGTCATCTTCGTCCCGTACTGGCGCTGGTGATGATGGACTAGGTGCGTTAGGTGTTGATGACACTTGAGCTTGTGGAGGTGGTACTGCATCATCTCGTTTCTCTGAATATGCGCCTACAACATCTGCGGGATGCCGAGGGTCAGGGAACGCAGGTGGCACTCCATATTCTGAGTGCGGCCCTGGTGGAGGGGGACCGTATTCTCCATGAGCTCCATTAGGTAACCCGTATTCGCCTGCACTCAAACTGTTACCTCCTAACAATGGTACGCCATAATCAGCACCTAGTCCTCCACATTTTGGCTCTGGACAATTATACCGGCAGACTTGAATTACACACTGGAAGTGGACATTCATTGAGTCGGGGAATTTGAATGCTTGGAAATAAGCAAACGATACAACTGATGCTGATGGGCCGAAATTCTTTATTTTTTGGAATTTACTCATAATCTTAGGCCTCACTACACACCCGTATTGATCGACTAATTGAATAGGTGCTCGTTTACCGTCGTGTGCTACACAGTTTCTTACAAGCATATCGAATTTATTTTCATCATCTTTAATCGCAAGGACCATAGTCATAGTTTGACCTATTTTAACTATTCCCGACACTTCTGAGGCCCAAGGGCCTTTTCCTACTTGTATTTGCATCCAGCACTGCAAGTTATCGCCGAGAAAGTTAGCCGTCACGGCGTGCAGCATGTCCACTTGGAACGGTCTGAAAGTTACCGCTTTCTCGTAATAGTCGTACCACGTACATCTAAGTTTTCGTGCCTGATCCCACACTTCTTGAACGTATGGATCATATTGAACTATGATTGTGTTTTCAACGTATGATCCGCTTGGTGTAGGACTTCCGTAAGCTGCAACGTTGTGATTTCCTGAGCTTGCCATACCACAACTATTTAGGAATATTTCGAATGTTGCGCTTAAGTGACCGGTACCCGGTTTTAAATGCATACAGTGGGGGTCACTGTAAAATCCTTTCGAAAATATCATACCGTAAAATGGTCTATCAAATTCAATATTGACCCGCATGTGTGTTTTTTCACATTGTACTTGAAGATGTTTTATTTTCGGACTATCTGGTGTGGTGAGAGGCCAGGGATCGTCTGTGTGTGATTGGGGAAGTGGTGGGCCATAACCGCCGCCTCGGTGTTCTAAGGGTAGAGACGCTGAGTCCACAGGTGGTTCGCATATTGCATCCTGAAACATGGGAAAATACCAATAAATATTTCTATATATCATATCAATAACCTAAATACAATAATTGCAATAACAAAAAAATGATGTGTAATATGGTTGTAATCAAAATAGTAGTATTTTCAAGACAATTCCCAACTCGTTATGACTATAAAAACTTCTGTACACAATAATCAAAAAATATTTATATGCGTTTTGATAGCTATTAAGCGTAATGAATGCATCGTTGGATAGAGCACTGAGACATTCCAGCGGCGCGAGCGCGTCGCACTCTAGTTGGCGGCACGCGCGTGCGCTCTTCCCGGCATTTCGCGTTTGCTTCTTTCCGACTTTCTACACTGATGGATAGCTCGCAAGATCAATTATAATATTAATCAGCGCAATCATACCGTCCATATGAGTTCCACCGGCTTTCTACATGTTTTATGAATACCAAAATTTTAACTTTGTATAAGCGGTATACAAAAATATGAGTGTAACGTGTTAAATTTCCATTGGAACTTTACATATTTGATATTATATTTAAAATTGCTTTCGTCTGTCATAATTTATGTTCTTAAATCCATAGACGCTAAGTCTAACTTAATAGACCTACTGCTTTTTTTTAAAATAAAGATTTATATGAATAATTAATTCATATAATAATTAAATAAATAAGAGAATCTGGTCAATAATGCGTGTTGACAGTGTATCTTAATTATAGTTAAGCTCCATTTCTTTAATATTTAACATTATTTTATAAATATAAGTACTATATATAACATGAAAATACATCACAAATTTAGAATTTTTACTTTTGAAATAGATGAAATTGTACGCGGTTATAAATTGACTGGCAAATATAAGTAACGAATGTCAATATGAATGCTTAAAGCTTGGGGCCGTGCTCACTATCGTATTTTCTAAACCGGTTAGAAATTATATCCACTGCTCGAGATCGCAGAGGAAAGCACCGGACACGCATCAACATGCGCAAATCTAAAAAAATAGCTTTCTTTGACTATCTGCGAATGGAAATTTAAACTACAATGACTTAGCTGTACAAGCATTGTAATATCGAAAGTTATTAGTTAAGGTTCACTTCAAAAGCGAAAATCTGAAGGCACAATATGAGTAGATATACCAAAAAAGTGTGAAAGCATAACAACGTTCCGCGTGTGATGTCAGCAACATAACTTTTGAAGTAATTCTGAAGATGCGTATATCGATATGGGTGACATTTTTTAAAGCAAAGCGTATATTATAATTCAGAAAGAGAGAAATGAAGAATCTGTTTGTAATCTTAAAATAACAAATTTTTACTAAATGCACATGAAATTATATACGGTGCTATTAAAATTTTAAAATTTTTGTCTGTCTGTTTGTTCTGAATTATCTCCGAAATGGCTGGACTGACTTTGAAAAGACTTTCAGTAACAGATAGCTGATGTTATGAGGAGTAACTTAGATTACTTTTATTTTAGAAAAAGAATTAGGGGTCCGCTCAAAAAAATTTAAACGCACCTAGAGCGAAGCGAGAACATATTTGTTATGGAACCTGTCGTGAATACGCGGTATTCAGTATTCTACTGTATATAATTTTAGATAAATAATGAGTGATAATTCAATTTATTTTTTGTAATAGCAAACCATACGTTACCACTCAGTGGCTAGTATATAACTGTTTGTCATCACACGGAAAGCACTCGCGTGCTGCTAATGTTGTATGTTATACCACAGAAATGCTAACAGATTTATGTTTACCGTTGGCCATTCTCTATCTAACTGAAGATTGATAATAATAGTATCGTATCGTTTGTAAATCAAGTGATTTAAACACACAACCAACACACACACTCGTCTGATTATATTGACTTCTCCATTCAACATGGCATTGGCAGTAATGTGTAGGTGCACTCTTATAGGCCATAAGAAAGATTTGAATTGACACGTTATCCCGAATTTATTACTTCACATAATTTTACTTTTATTATTTAGCTACTATTTTATAAACTTAATTATTCCTTAAACACTATAATACTTTTATTAAACAAATATGAATTTGATAATTATATCTATTAAAGTAATATAAGCAACCTGTTCGATACTCGTAAATGAATCGGTCAAGTGCGCAAGCGCCAAGTGCTTACGCTTACGCAGGTGAAAGCCTTGTCTTTATCAGTTTCCACCGAACATGATCCTGATTACAAGTTCTAATCCCAAAAACAAATAACATTTTGTAACAGGAATTATCCATATTAAAAACAAAATGTTAACCGTAGAAAAATAAACATTCATTTTTTACATTATATTATTATTATTATTTTTTTGTTATCATTTTTATCCTACATATGAACTACATACATACATATATATTTCTCTAATAAAAAAATACCTTAAAAGTGAAAAATGTTATAGGAAAAATAATAATCGACATTATATTAGAGAACATTAAATTAATAACTTTGAGTATAAATTCTAGATTATCTATCTATTAATTAAATAAATGTACTTTCCCATTTAAATATTATTGTTCATGGAATTAATTTATAGGTAAAGGTCGTCCAAAAGACCCGTTCCTTCAATATTTAGTACAACGCAGAAGAAAGTTGTTAAAACCGGATTTATGTTTTCATTTGCATTGTTGTGGATATTGTTTTTAAATAAGTATGAATGACATACGAGCTTGAATTAGAGGGTCAACGTATTTGCAATACCCATTGTCTTGGGAAATTGTAAAGCTGAATCTTGTTTGTCATATCGGTGCAACGGGTGTTTTTTTTTATTTTTATATAAGCACACCTGACAGACGTTGTCCTGTCTAAATTTCTACAAAATGTTTTATAATTTTAATTTCATACAAAAACCCTTTACATATAAAGTTACCAAATTTCAAAAACCGCTCAATCTTATTCGTGTCTTCCTCACAAAACGTGACACTGGCAGAATGGATTGCGTCTGTTAACGCAACTATAAGACATTATAAAAAAAAACCTTACATAAAAGCACTATAAAAAAGCATTTTCCATTTTCCAGGTAACTTTTCCTTTTGTCTCTAAAACCCTTATTTAACCGCTATTATGCTATTACTTAATATTAACAACAAACTTTAAATATATATAAATAGTGAAAACCCAAAAAGGGTGTGCTTCGCAACGAACAGCATTTCATTTTTTAATAAGTAGAGAAGATAGATTCATTGTTTACAAAGTCATAAGCTCGGCAAAAATCTGTCTATACATATATAAAATTTTAACTGAGTTGAATCTGTACATTGTATATTTTTTGGAAAATCTTATTGAAATAGACACACTCCACATACAGACCGAATCTACAGTTTTTAGAATTTTTGTCTGTTTTTTCTGTCTGGAAACGCATCGCGAGAAAACTGCTGAACAGATATTAATGAAATTTGGTATAATGATAGCTGGATATTCGGGTCAACATATAGTATACTTTTTACAGCGGAAAAACATCTCTTCTTTAAGACATCTATACTAACCGTTAAAAGTTTAAAACGTATTCAGGGTCGAACTCGTGCGGAGCGAGGGTGACTCGCTCTAAATATAGTTGGACAAATATCAAATAATTTTTATTATCAGTTTATCGATATTTTAAAATCACATATGCATAAAAAAAAATCAAATTTTAATTATAGATATAATTACAGAAATACAGAAGAAGAAGAATGATTACAGAAATGATAAAAATACAGAAATGGTTTATGTTCTATTACGTTCTAGTACGTGACCATGAACTTTGCGGGGACCCATCGAGGTGCGTGAGTACTTTCACCATTCTGTAAGTTTCCTTTTCATCGCCCTTATGCTAAACATACATTCTTTAGGAATTTGCTTAGCTATTTAAAAAATAAATAACTATCCTGCTACCTCGCTAATAAAATTTAAACCATAGTCATATTATTTTAATTGAGAAAATTGACTTAAATGAGTAAATAAGCTTTCTACAAAAACTAGATAGCCTTAGTTTTATAACTAATGTTATCACGTTTATAAAATGTAGGTTTGAGTTTGTAGATAGTTATATATTATTGAATTGCTTTAGGAGATATCCAATAAACGAAAGTGATCCGTAATTTACACTTTCTATGACAAATTGCTTTCTAACACGATGAAGCGAAATCTTCTCTCAAACAATACATATGTATGTACAACTGTTAAGAAAATATTTTCTTCTAGATTCATTGTATATTTGCTCATTATATTTTTATAGTTTCTTAGAACATTATATTTTACAACGTATTATAACATTGAGTGTTCACATTTTGTCCACAAAATAGAAGGAAATAGTGTTGTTGAATATCTTAGATATTAGAGCTATAGGTAGCTCTGGCCCTCAAAATTTCTTAATGTTTGTTATCACGAAAATATTATAAAATGTAACTTCTCGATTAAAAATAACTCTAAAAAGTTTAGATCTATTATATAATTTGTGGTGCTACATCTACAGTACATTTTCGATCCATGTAAGTATGCAATATTATCATTTATCTCTATCTATCTACACAATATTCGAAATTAATTTCACGTTTCGGATAAAAATGATTTATAAATAATATATAATATCAAGCGTTACGTAAATTCTGCTACTTTTTTGCTCGTTGCTCCTGTAATACGAGAATTGAGAATGAAACTGCTTACACAAAACTCTTGCATCATTCTGGTAACAAATTTTACCCACAGTGAAAGTGCCAACTGTCAAGGTATTTAGCGTTCATTGGCTTTACGGGACAGTAATCGTAATGATTTTAAATATCACATAAATTATTGAAATTTCTCATAATGTTCGGCAAAAAATATTTTATGATAAAAAATATATATGTATGTTTAGTGAAATCTTTAATTGTTTAAATTTAAACTTTCGAACTTTAATGCTTATGACATAAGTCTTACTTACAATGATATTACAACTATCTTTGTACAGACTTTGTATAGCAAAATTCCATTGGTCAGTGTTTAGTGGATGCGCTAACGGAATCATTAGCCTACTTGTCGGGAACGCGAGCGGAAAAGCTGAATAATGTAGGAGCGTAGCGTAAAAATATAATACGGTTTATACTCATATATACGTGTATGAACGTATATGGTGGCTAGAATTGTGATTGAAACATGAGAGAATTTTACATCATCTATACATATAATAAAATTCTAACTGAGCCGAATCTGTACATTAAATATTTTTTGGAAAATCTTATTTAAATAAACATCTTATTATCGATACAGAGACCGAAACTATAGTTTTTAGAATTTTTGTCTGTCTGTCAGTCTGTTACCGCATCAAAGAAAAACCACTGGAGGGATTTTGATGAAATTTGGTATAGTGATAGCTGGTTATCCTGGTCAACATATAGGATACTTTTACCGCGGGAAAATATCTCATTTCTGAGAAAAAATACAAAAACTGTATTGTAAGAGTATACTAATATGGAAAACCTAAGAATTTGCTTTTTGTTCATCTGAACGCGGGCGGAGACGCGGGAAATACTAGTATATCTATATTTTTTTAAGAAAACTAAAGAAAGACATTCAAATTGCTCCTAAAATATCCTATCAGTTGTGTTCTCTCTTACAAGAAGGAAATGCGGAATAAATTTCACGTTAAGGAAATATTCTCGGCACGCACTGTACAGAATACTAATGGCGCATGCTCCCATCTCGTATAAGTTTTTTTTCTGAGTAAATAACATAGTAACTAAGTAAACTATCGATCAGCTTCAAAATGGAAAATGACAGTTTTCTACTTTTGTAATCTTTCGAGAATTATCTGTTGAATTATTGTCCGAATTGGCTTTCATAACATGGCGGTTTTTTTAACCCTAATCTACTAATGACCTATGGATGCTGCTCTGGTAAAAAATATTTCTATATAATCTTTTGTTACGGTTAAATCTAATATTATTTTATAAATCAGTAATGTTGCAACATGACACATACATACATATTTTAAATGGAATCTCGTAAATAGTAATAAATACAACAGAGAATCGTTATTTAGTAGTCTATGCATATAATAAAATTGTAACTAAGCCAAATCTGTACATTAAATATTTTTTGGAAATTTTTATCGAAATAGACATTATTATCGATACAGAGGCTGAATCTATAGTTTTTAGAATTTTTGTCTGTTTGTCTGTTACCGCATCACGGAAAAACTACTAAAGGGATTTTGATAAAATTTGGTATGATGATAGCTGGTTATCCTGGTCAACATATAGATTACTTTTTATTGAAAATATCTCATGTCTGAGAAATCTATACTAAACGTTAAAACGTAAGCAGGGACGAACCCGAGCGGAGCGAGGGTGAGTCGCTAGTATATACGTAAAATTAAAATTAGGCTAGATTATTCTTAAATTTACTCTCTAATTATAAGTGTATAAATAAAAAAAATAAGCAAACGTAAAACTTAATATTTATTTTATTAATAACAAACTCGAACTTTATTTAAGCTACCCCACGACCACAACTATATATTAGAGAAATAAAAAGAACCTATAAAAATAAATATATCCAACTGACCTGAAACAGGAGCGTCGTGAACAGCAGCAGCAGCCTGGTCCTCTTCATAGTCGCAGTCCAGTCAGTCGGCGGCCTGCAACCAACGCAACACATTGAGGTAGGCACTATGTACGCGCCGTGCGCTTCGCAAACGCGGGCGCATGCGCTAGAGGCGCTTCAACTTGGACGCAAAAGCGTGCATGGTAAAGACTGGTGTGCGCAGGCGCATCGACGCGAGCCCCTCTCGGTAACCCCCTCCCTCCTCCCGCCGACGCTCCCTCCCCTCCAAGCTCCAACCTGACCCAATGACCGAGTGCAGCTTACGCCGGAACTGCACCGGCTTACGTTCGCTACGTCTCTATGGTCGCTGATGCGCTCCCGTTGCGACGAGCGGAAACCACGCGTGGCCTTCACCTCACTAAAGCCAAGGTCGTTTCATATATTTTGCAATATATATTTTTTCGTTTTATAAGCATAAGTGTTCTATTATTAGTATTTATGTCATATCTATACACATAATAAAAAAGTAGAGGTCGAATGTCTGTACATAGAAAAAAATACTAAAAACCGAGTCAGGAGGAAGTAAGAAGAGAAATAAAACAAATCCATTTTTTTATTTTTTTTTGTTTCTCTGTCTGTTTGTTTGTTTGTTTGTGTGGGCTAATCTCCGAAACTGTTGGATTGCTTTAAATAAAATTTTGCATGGTGGTAGATACCTTATATCCCCGGTCTTCATTTTAGATACTTTTCATCCCGGAAAATTAAAGAGTTGCCGTGGAATAGTTAAAAAACTATTGTAACTTATATAGCTACTTATGCTCACCAACTTATGCACCTAATTTACTAAAATTTAGCATGCTGATACCTTATTTTACCGATCAAACAACATAGTACTTTTTATTCCGGAAAAACGAACGGTTCCCGTGGGGTAGATCTGTATGTGCTTTTCTAGAGGCGTACCCGAACGAAGCGAGGGTAAGCCGCTAGTTAGATATATTTCAATATTAAGTTGATACCACGAAAGTACACTATTTAAAAAAAACATAATATAACAATCAGATAAAAGATTAAATATTTTTATATATTAAGAATGATTTGTTATTTAAACATACTTAATCGCTCCACGACCGCGGACACGCCGGCGTGTCAGTTAACAATAGATTTCTTAGAAATTTATCTGGAGGTGTTAATAATATTTTTATAGTTAAAATAACGTAAGAAATAAAATTGTCACATTTTTATCATTATGTTACAATATTAATAACTTCTTCATTAATAATACTAGTTAAATAAAATAAAATAACTCAAATTAATTAATAATTATTAAAACAATAAAATTTATGACAACTATTATTTATATACAACTATTTTACATAGGTTCGTGACAATGATGTCTTAATTTTTTCTTAAGAGTTCGCAAACATCTCAATGTAGAGATGCCCGACAAGGCAATTAATTTTTTTATGCCACCGATCAATCCGTACGAAATCAGGCTTCGTTTGCAAGAAAGTAGACCCTCGGGCATTTTCTATTTTCATATAATCTATAGGAGATATTATAATAATAGTTGGTGTAGCAGGTGCCGGCCTACTTCAATTAACCAACAAACAGACCACAGTGAATGTAGAGCGACATTCGCCTAATCAAAATCAACCGCGACCATAAATAGATAAAGCTCTCTCTATAAAAACCAACTGATTTCATAATTTTTTTCATGAATAACCAATAAGAGATATTTTTTTTTATCAATGTATAAAATTTGACAAGATTTAAAAACTGTTTAATAACAGTAATTTAATCTATACTTACATTATGATATGAATTTTGTAAATTATATTTTTTTACTTGAAGTTACACATAAAGCTTATAATCAGAATTGTTTTGACTTAAACTTTATTTTTATATTTATTTATATATAGAAGTGTCTAAGGAACAACCTACTATTCGTAGATGATTAGATATAATTGTACTCGTACAATTGTTAAATATGCCTAAGGGGACATGAAAGCGTTTATCTCCAAATTGCTAAATCAGTCTGCTTTATTAAAAGCTCATTATATAGTACATGTTTCATTTTGAATCATCGCAAAGCCAGTTATCTAATTACACAAAATAAATCTGCGATCATTTATCTTAAGTTATTAAACTTAAATTTCTATCTAGATAAAAGGTTTAGTTGTGATATTTCAGCTTTTGCTTTTGTACCGTACACATGCTGCGTACAATTACATAGTGTATAAAAAGTGGAATACAAAATGATTTCACAAAAATAAATGATAATTGTAACTTTAGGTACTTTCATTTTCTATTTAATTTGCAATTTAAAGAGGGTACAATAATTAACAAATCAGTGTTTCTCTACAATTAGCTTCATTTTTAATAAATGCAAGAATTAAAGCTGTTTAAAAGTTAACAAAAAAAGTAATAAAAAAATTATGTTATGCTGTTTACTCATGATTAAATTATCCAAATATTACTACTATTTTATTGAGTTTAATTGGTATTTAAAATTTATTTAACCTACTCTAACATATGAGGAAAGCTTTCATTTTAAAATTAGTTATACACTGGCAAAATCAGGCTGTATTGTACATTGGTAAAATCTTAACTCGTCACTTTCGGCTCTGATTAACGGCGCATGCGCAAGCGCTATGACTTTTAATTGGCTTGCAAAAAACTGAAAGTTTCACTTAATTAATTAATGGAAATGGCTCAAAAATATAAAATTTTCTTTTTAACAATAACACATTTACTGTAAGAGCGTATACTGTAGAAAGTAAGCAAGAATTTTCGCTATAATCCTCAAATTATCATATTTATGTATGACATTAGTATACAAGTACCTAACCAGTATAAAATAACTATCTCGATATTAAAAGGGTCATATTTTTTAGTTTTGTTGTAATGAACTATGGATAATAGAATTGAAATCTATAAAAAATATTTTATAGTGATAACTTTATAAATACAAATACTCTGATGATATCACACGCTTTAGAAATTCTCTACAAATTGTCGTCGACTTTCTGATGTAAAAACAGAAAAATAATCAAACTCAATTGAAGCGTTGCAAGAATAGCATAATTTACTAACGTTCCAACGTCGAATGAGTATTGAATTATTCTGAGACAAAGATATGAAGCCATTGAATTTGTTTTGCCAGCTTTCGATTTTAATGAAAAACTGCCTTCGCGTTATTTTATTGTGTTCTGTTTCATTAAGAATTTTCACTTAAAGGGTCATTGATCAAACGTGTGTATTTATCATGATTACGGTTAACACCTCCAGGTAAATTTCTAAGAAATTAATTAAAATTCTAAGAAATCTATTGTTAACTGACACGCCGGCGTGACCGCGGTCGTGGAGGGATTAAAGATATAATAACTTTCTTGAAGCTTCTGAATGCTTATAAATGAAATAAATCTATACATATAATAAAATTCTAACTAAATCAAATCTGTACATTAAATATTTTTTGGAAAATCTTATTGAAATAGACATTATTATCGATACAGAGGCCGAATTTATAGTTTTTAGAATTTTTGTCTGTCTATCTGTTACCGCATTACGAAAAACTACTGGAGGGATTTTGATGAAATTTGGTATGGTCATAGCTGCTTACCCGGGTCAACATATAGGATATTTTTTTCCACGGGAAAATATCTTATTACTGAGAAAAAAATATAAAAACTGGTTAGAATAAAACCACGATGATACTATATATATTTTACTATTAAAAATAGTTTATCTTGAAAAAAATAATAACATTAGCGCTATTTTATTGTGTTTTTTCATCTGAACGCGGGTGGAGCCGCGGCCAATGCTAGTTTGTTAATATAATCGCACTTTAATTTATTTTGTACAGACAAAATCGTCCCGAGTAAGAAAACATTCTCAACACTTACAAAAGGTTGAAAATAAAATAATTTGCAAAGATTAAAAAATTTTCTCGTTGGGAAAGACTACTTGATAGTTTACACACATTGTTAAGTGTATTATATTTGTATATACAAGAATCAGTTTTAGTTTGGCCTTTTCAACTATATTAATGTGGGATTACGCCTAAAATTTCCCAAAATAGTAAGACAAATTATTGTAAGATCTCATCATATCAATATAAGAATAATTCAAACAATAACTGTACTTGCTAAATGAAAGAAGATTGATATTATCATATCAATATTCTTGATATCATTTTTTCGCTTAATATATAATATCAATGCAATGAATGAATTATTGCGATTAATAATTTTAACGTAGCTACCCGCTACACCTGCTGAGTAATTTGTCTTTTCGCGTGTTGCGTACACCGTGGTCTCAAGGTTACGCCACGAAAACACTTTCTCTGCTCTGTTACTCGCAGTTCATTGCTCTCCGAATTTTGCATCTCTATATAAATACTAAATCGCAAGCTTCTTAATACTAAAACGACAAAAAAATTATTATGAAACAATGAAATACGAACCAAAATAAATCCCATAATAAAGTCTAATATAAATTATTTTCAACATCAACTTAGTATCAGCCGGTGTTTACGTTGAATGCCCATGTTAATGGCACTGAGAAACGTAACGTGGCCCACTTTCTCTTTTAAGCATACGTGGTCTTTCTCTCACAAGCATGCACTAAACTTGGTAGAGTGAGATAACTGTATGTTCATGAGGCTCTACTGCAGCAGCCTGGCAGCTCGCTTTCTTCGGCGCACTTGGCATTAGAAGCACAAAGTCCGGTAACTTTCGATAGTATGACAACGTATATTCTGCAAGTTCGATTCAACTATTCAATGATGTGACGCCCTCGCAAACGCGACCGATACAATTAACTAATCTGCCAATTGTTGCGTAACATGATTTTTAGTATTAGATTCACGTCTTCTATTATTTAATCATAAAGTAAATTTGCATATTATTATATTATATCATTATTAATGCGATCAACTTTCCAAATATGTAAGTCTTTCACATCCGCCGGACTTAGCATACAAATGATTACTATTTTAAGACATGCTATATAGAGGCTCTATTAAATCATTGTATTATAGGACGGCTTTATTCATAGTGTTACAAAATTAACTATAATTTGAAATTTGTCTGAATTCTACTAGGATTTTTAAA